CCCTGCCCCTCCCCCTCCCCCTCCCCCTCCCCCTCCCCCTCCCCCTCCCCCTCAGGCCATCCCTCCTCCGCAGCGGAGCGGCGGCGCGGCTCAAGCGCCCCCGGCGAGCAAGGCAGACGCGATGGCGGAGGTCGAGGCGATGATGAAGGCCTACACCAGCGCCGCGGGCGGCGCCGGCGCGGGCGGCGCCGGCGCCGGCGCCGGGAGGCAGCGCCAGGCGGGCGGCGCTGCGGACGCGGCGCTCGCGCCTCTGCAGCGGGCGCTGCAGTCGGCGCTCGCCGCGGCAAAGTCGAACTTGCGCAAGCCGAACCTCAACACCGCCCTCGCCGCCTCGGGCGCCGGCTGCCTCGCCCTGCGCGAGGTGCTCTCGCACGACCTGCTCGGCGCGAGGGAGGCGCTGCGAGGCGTCATCGGAGGGCCGCTGCCAGAGTTCCTCGGCCGCCTGCGCAACTTGGCGGGCGCGGCGATGCTCGCGGCGGCCTTCCTCAAGTTTGATTAGCCGTCGGCCGTGGCGGTGCGAGGCTAGTCATGCCGGGGAGGCCGGCGAGCCGTCGCTCACTCCTCACAGTGCCCACCGACTTCATAAGGGAAACTAGGACTTCACAAGGTTAGTCCTGTGGTCCCACCTCGCTGACGCTTCTCTCTTTGCAGTTGCCAGTTCTCTCGTGACTCGTCGCAAGTACGGCATGTGGTATAGTCGAGCTCGAGATCTACTGAATAACTACAGAAGAGCGTCACAGAAATCGCATCACATTCACAAAATCGGCTTGGCTCTCGCTCACACACAGCGTTTCGCACAGGTCTATCCCCTCAGTTGACAGGCACACGCAAGCGACCCGCTAGCGATTGGACCGCACCCGAGTGCCGAATCCGAGACGGTTCGGGTCTGGAGGAGCGGGCCTCACCCGTGAACTCAGGTCGTGCTCGGTGCGATGCGCCGCACGGAGACGGCCACTGATACTGTTCGCCTCGGGCGGCGCAGGTATCAATCTGCGGGTCAGGCAGGACGGATCGGTGGCGCTCGAAGCCTTGGGTGGCTTCGGCTCGTCGGTGGGCATCGTGACAGCGGTAGAGGGACGCGATGCGGCTCACGAGCGGAGCGCGAAGGGCGCGGCCTGGAAGGGGCGCCGCGGCCTGGAAGGGGCGCCGCGGCGTGGAGGGGCCGCAACCGTAAAATTTCTTTTTCAATGGATGTGGGTCTTCCAGGAGGAGGACTGCTGACAGGGTTTATGTTTTTGTCCGCGCTGCCCTTTTCTTTTCCTCGAGCGACCCGCTTGCTTCCGCGGCGGCGATGCAGGACGGCCTCGTCCGCAGGAGCATGGTGCGGAAGCCGTGGCGGTCGGCTGCCGCGGCGGAGAATGTATTGCGGCTCAAGCGCGGCCTTCGTGCCACAAAGATAGGGAGAGATGGGAAGTGGCGTGAAACGCTCTTCAGGATCGACGCAGATGAAGTCGAGCTGTCCTGGGACGGCCACAGCCTCGGAAAGCTGCTCGGCCTGCGAGGCGATCAGCGGCGCGTCAAGCTGTCCGAGATTCTCGACGTGCAGCTGGGTGTGAGAACGGACGGAGCCGACGACCCGGACGGAGTCGAGCTCGGGATGGTGCGCACGATCGGCTTCTCGCGCCGCGCCTCGCGGACGGGTCTCCTCGAGACGAGCGGACCCAGCCGCATCGACCTCAGCTCGCGCGGCTCGCAGAACGCAGGGTGGCTCTCGAGCCCGAGCGCGCGCGGCGGTGAGCACCTCAGCCTCCGGCTGACTCTTGTGGGAGGCCTACCGCCGCCGCCGTCGAGCGTCGGGCCGTCGGACGTCGAGCGGCCTCGCCTCGCCTCCATCCACCTCCCGCGCGAGACGCTCTCCCTCCGCTGCCCGGACGAAGAGACCCTCGCCCGGTTCGGCGGCGCGCTCCGCTGCCTCCTCGACGAGAGGAGAGCTGAGCCGGCACCGCTTGGGCCGTCGGCGCTCGCAGGCGCCTTCGGGGCGCCACTCGAGGAGGCGCGCCGCCTGCGCAGCGTTTCCCTTTCCTGCTGCGGCGCACAGTCACGCACACACGCACAGATACTCACGCACGCACGCACGCACGCACGCACGCACGCACGCACGCACGCACGCACGCACGCACGCACACAGTCGACACACTTGAAGCACGTGTAGCCCGCCGCCTCGGGATTAGAGGCTCCAAAGCACGGAGCCTTCTCTGCTCTCCGCCTCCTCAGGTTGCGCTTTCAGACTCGACGCTCGGAGGCGGCGGTGCAGCAGGCGGCGGTGCAGCAGGCGGCGGTGCAGCAGGCGGCGCTCCCCTCGTGCCGGCGGCGCTCGAGGCGCTCTGGGGCGCGCTGGTCGGCAGAGGCGATGGGCTGCGCACAGAAGGCGCCCTGCCCGCCCGCTCCTCTCCCGCCGCCCCGCCACTCTCAAAGGATGGACCCGCCCGAGCACGCCTCCCGCACCGCACAGCCCTCCTCCGCCCTCCCTCCGCTCGCCCTCCTCAGCCCGCCTCTCGGCCAGTCGCATCCCCGCGCCCCTGCGGTCGCATCCCCGCGCCCCTGTGGCGAGGCAGCTGTCCACACATCCGCCCGGCTGTGCGCAGGCATCTTCCGCGTCTCCGTCGCCGAGGACGAGCTGCAGGAGGCGGTGCAGCGCATGCAAGGCGGGCAGGGGGGGGAGGTGCTGCAGACGGCGAGCGCGCTCTGCCTCGCCTCCCTCATCAAGCGCTACCTGCGCGAGCTGCCCTCGCCGCTCTGGCGGCCGGTGCGGGAGAGGCTGGCGGCCGTCCTCGAGGCGGGAGGCGGCGAGGCGGCAGGCGGCGAGGCGGGAGGCGGCGAGGCGGCGGGAGGGCGCGAGGAGGGAGCGCCGCCGCCGGAGCCGAGCCGCTGCGAGAGGCTGCGCTCGCTCTTGCCGCTGCTCCCTCGCCGGTCGGCCGACCTGGTCGTGTGGGGCTGCGACGCGATGCTGGCGGTGGTGGAGCACGAGGAGCAGAACCGGATGAACAGCGTGGCGATCGCGTCGGTGATGGCGCCCGTGCTGATGCGCGGCCTGGCGCCGGAGGGCGGCGACGGCGAGATCGGCGCGAGGCCGGGCGACTGCGGCGTGTCCCATCTCCCGGCGGCCTCACGCCTCGCGCTGGTGGCCGCGTGTAGGCGACGTCGTGGCGCAGCTCTCTGCGGCGCAGGACGCGGTGCGGCTCTGCATCCTGCTGCTCGAGGCGCACTCGACCAGGCGGCTCGAGCACATGGTCGAGCGGAGGCACGCGGGCGGCGCAGCGGTGAGGCTCGCGGAGGATCCAGCGGCAGGGCCGTCTTTGGAGGATATAGATCCAGGGGGCATCGTCCACTCGGAGCACCGCGTCGCCTTTGCGACGGATCTATAGGTACAGCTGAGCTGGACTCTTTTTTCTCTTCCGAAACGTGATTTCTCTGCTGTTTCCGGAAAGAAGAAAACTTGGCACTTGGAGCACTTGGAGTGCAGTCATTAACCTCACATCCAGGGCCGGGGAGCTGAGAAGCGCACCCAGCGGGCCGGATGATCGCGGTATGGGTATCGGGTTGCGGGCAAGAGAGCCCTAGCCCTGGGAGGGTGCGCGTTCGCAGGGCAAGGGCCGTAAAGTAAACACGGGTCTCCGAGGGTTGGCTCTGCGCTTTGGGTTTCCCCTAGCTCTGCGGAACGCCCAGTGCTCAGTGCTGAGGTCTGTGAATGGATCGCAGTAGCCAGCATCGGGCCTGACCAAGCCCGCTTGCCCCCCGGGGGGGGGCGCCGCGGCGGCTGCTGCGGTCTGCGCCGTCGCTGCTTTGGCGCACTGCGTCCTGCGTGACGCCAGTGGTATCCACGCGGGCGCGGCTGGAGGCAACAGTTTCCCGAGGTACGGCTTTTGCGAATACCACCACTTCTGGCCGAGACTAGGGGCGCTCGGCGAGCTGATCGTCCAGTCGCACCTTCGTTTAGAGGCGCCCGAGCGTGCGTGGGAGAGATGGCTGGCGTCCAGCGCAGCAACGGCAGGCAGCATCCCGAGGTTCAACGGAACGTGGGCGGGCTTTCAGAAGCTTTGGGCGTGGCGCCAGTGCGCGCCTGGGCCGTGCGGTCCTCACGGCCGGCCATGCCCGCAGCGCTATGAGGGCTTCGAGTGCGGCGCGACGAGAGGCGACAGGTACTGCTGCGACGCGCAGGGCTGCTACCACGACGGGTGCGATAACGACGGCTGCTTCCCGATGTACGTGCCCTGCGTTACGGAGAGGTGCGGCAGGCCAGGGGAGTGCGCATGCGAGCTCTCGGTGTGGCGCTGGGACTGGTGGCGAAGAAGGGGTGCTGCGGAGCGGTCGCGGTAAGGCCGAGACCCTATCCCAGTGCAATTTAAAAAATGAACTCGGGGGCACAGGACGTGGCACAAACGGGGCACAAACGCCAGGCTACAACTCGTAAAGATACCCTCTACACGTATGTGTGTGTGCGGACGGATATGGCTAGACCAGAGCTAAAAGATCTAGATTCCAGATACATAGATTCTCAAACGCCAAAGAGACAGCCTGTTTCTCTTTCACTTTCTAGTTTCTTCAAGAAAGCCATAACGCGGCTGGTGCTCGTGGAAACTTTGGGTGGCATCGCACCGCCCACCAAGCAGTTCCTCCACGTGTTCGCCAAGGAGGCGGCGGGCAGCAACACGGACCGGACGGTGTACGGGGCGGCGTCGGCGAGCGCCTCCTCCTTCGTCGTCCACCACACGCAGCAGATCTCCATGGCGGCGGTGGCGGGCGACGCCGAGAACATCAACAAGCAGGCGCGCAATGAGCGTAAAGACTGGCTCAACTCCCCAAAGCGTGCCAACTGGGTCAACGACGTCAAGAACAAGCATGCGGCAGACGTCATCCTCGGCCCCAGTGGAGGGCGCCCGCGCCGCCTAGCTCTGCGGACGGGCCCCTCCACCCTTCACGTACGGATCATGTAATCCCCACACTCGGTTTTCTTGTTTTTATCCGCGTTCTCTTTCTTCTGTCCTGCAGCGAATTCTTTCTCGCCACACTGAGACTTGTGCCCAGGCGGCGTCGCGCCTTGTCGCTACACTCTCAGCTCGCTACACTCGCAGCTCCCACCGGCTGCAAGCCCTCTCGCATGGACTTCTTCGCGAAAGCTGCTGCCGATGCGCTCGAGCAGGCCAAGAAGTCCGCCAACGACGCCGCGGAGAAGGCGTCATCTTCTCTCGCCGCTCCCGTCTCACTTGGCTCGCTTGCAGAGGCGGCAGCTTCACGCATGGGCGAGCTCGAGGCCGTCATGGCCTCTACGCCAGGAGAGCTCGCGAAGCGGTCGGCGGAGCGGCTCGTTGCGGACGCCCGGAAGGAGGAGGCGCCGGTGACCCCAGCAGCGAGAGGCGCTAGGGCTGGCCGCGATCTGGAGCCGCTGGCCGAGGCCGTCGGGCGCCTCTGCGACGCGTGTGCCTCACAGCCGGCCACGGATGCCTCGCTCGAGGCTCTGGCGGCAGCAATCTCCGGCGCTGCCGCCGCAGCCTCCGCTGGCGCCGAGGATCGCAAGGCTCTCGGCGCAGAGGTGAGCCAGCTGCAGCTGGAGGTGCGCGGGCTCAACTCGAGGCTGCAGTCCGCCGAGGCGCAGGCGGCGCAGGCGGCGCAGGCGCTCTCGTCCTTGCGCGAGCACGCCGCCGAGCAGGCGGCACGAAGCAATGCCCAGGCGACGGATCGCGAGGCGGCGGCATGTAAGGCGGCGGCGGCTGCAAACGAGGCGGCGGCGGCTGCGCGGGAGGAGGCGGCAGCGGCGCGGGAGGAGGCCGACAACGCGCTCGCTCGCGCTGCCGCCGCGGAGGAGCTGGCTGAGGCTGGGACGAGCAACGCCGAGGCCGCGGCGAACGAGGCAGCGCGCGAGGCTGTAGCTGTGAACAGCGTCTCTTCACGCTTGTACCGTGAATAGGCTGCGGCGAACGAGGCGGCTCGCGAGGCGGCGCAGCGGCTCGAGGCGATGCAGGCGAGGTATAGCCGAGATGTGGCCGAGATGTGGCCGAGATGTAGCCGAGATGTAGCCGAGATGTAGCCGAGATGTAGCCGCGGCTCGAGGCGATGCAGGCCGGGCGACTTAGCGGGAGTCGTCAGACCGACCAAGCATGAGTGGTTGGTGAGTGGCTGACTCACTAGGCCGAGTGGGCGACGGAGCGCGAGTCGTTCGTCGCTTCGGCGGCGCGCGAGCGCGAGGCGTCGGGGCGGGAGGTGCAGCGCGCCAGGGAGGAGGCTGCGGCGGCGCGGGCGGAGGCGGAGGCGCGGCTCGGCGAGGCGGCGGAGCGAGCCGCCGCGCGGTACGCGTCCGCCGAGGCCGCCGCCGCAGAGGTGGAGTCGGCCCGCTCGGCGCAGCTGGAGGGGCTCGCCGGCCGGGTGGCCGAGGCGGAGGCGGCGGTGCAGGCGGCGACGGCCGAGCGGGACAGGGCGAGGGCGGAGGAGCGGTCGCTGCGAGACGCGGCCGCCGCGGCGGTGTCCGCGGCCGCCGCGAGCGATGCCGCTCGGGTGGCGGACGAGCGGGCGGCGTCTGTGCGCGTCGCCGAGCTGGCGGCGCTGCTCGAGGGGCGAGCCGCCGAGCTTGCGGCGGAGCGCGAGCGTGCGGACGCTGCCGAGGCGGCGGCGGCAGACGCGGCGGCGGCGAGATCCGCGGCCGAGGCGGCGACAGCGCAGGCCGCCGCCGCAGCCGCAGCCGCAGTGGGCGACGGCTCTGCGGTTGCTGCTGCGGTGGCCGAGGCGGAGGCGGCGGCGGCGGCGGCGAGGTCAGAGAGTGCCGAGCGGGTGTCAGAGAGTGCCGAGCGGGTGCGGCGAGCCGAGTCCGACGCGCGAGAGGCGCGGGCCAAGGCGGCCGAGTGTGCGCGCGAGGCCGTGGCGGCCGACGCTCGCGCTGGGGCGTCCGCGGCTGCCGCTGCCGAGTCGGCTGAAGCGGCCCGCGGCGAGATGGAGCGGCTGCGTTCCGCCGCCGAAGCTGCCGAGAACGCGTGCGCAGAGGCGCGCGCCGAGGCGGCCGCCGCCGTCTGCGAGCGGCGACGGGTCGAGGAGGCGGCGGCGCAGCAAGCGACAGCGGCGGCCGAGGCAGCGGCCGAGGCGGCGGCGGAGGCGGCGGCGGAGGCGGAGCGCGCCGCCGCCTTGCTCGCCGAGGCGCAGGCCGCCCAGCGGCAAGCCGTGTCGCAGAGCGCACGCCTCGAGGAGGACATGGCGGCCGCTGCCGCTTCGGCGGCGGCCGAGCTTTCCACTGTCAAGGCGAGGCGCCCCTCCCCGCCCCTTGAGAGCCTTCGCGAGAGAGCTGACGACACTCCCTCCACCGCCCCTCTCTTAGATGTCTTCCGATGCCGCAGCGGAGGCGCTCCTATCGAGGGCAGAGGCGGCCGAGGCGGAGGCCGAGGCGGAGCGCGCCGCCGCGGAGCGGCTCCGTGCTGTGCTCGCGGGGCAAGGGTGTGAGGCGGAGGCGGCGCGGTGTGAGCTGTCGAGTCGAGCTGCAGAGGCGGAGGCGGAGGCAGAGGCGGCCAAGGCCGCGTCCGAGGCGCTGCGCGAGGCGCTGCAGCAGGCGGAGGAGGGGAGGCGGCGGGCCGCGGCAGAGGTGGACTCGCTGGAGGGAAAGCTCGCGGCGAGCAGCGTGGAGCTGGCAGAGGCGCGCCGCGCGATGGACGACGGCGCGAGCGTCTCGACCGGCAAGGTTGCGCAGCTCGAGCTCCGCATACAGGCGAGTGAGCGCGAGTGGGCACGGGTGGAGGCCGAGCGGGCGCGGGTCAGCGGCGAGAGCGCGGAGCGGGAGCAGAGGCTGGCCGCGGTCGGAGCAGAGCTGCGCGAGGCGCGGGCTGCGGAGGCGGAGTGGGCGCGCGTCGACTCCGAGCGTGCCGAGATGGCGCAGAGGCTCGCCGACGATATGCGGGACGCGCGGGCGGCGGAGGCAGCGGCGCGCGAGATGGTGCGTTCCCACGAGGCGAAGCTGCAGGCGGCGGAGGCGAAGCTGCAGGCGGCGGAGGCGCAGCTCTGCGACGCGAACGCGGCGCAGCGCGCGTCCACCGAGGCGCTCCAGCAGGAGATGCTAATTAATTAACATTAGTTAATTATCAGCCATTACTTAATTCTCAGGCTCTCCAGCAGGAGATGCGCGACCGGATGGCGCGAGCGGCCGAGGCGGCCGAGGCGGCGGCGGCGGCGGCGGCGGCAGCGGCCACCAGCGTCGCAGCTGCACCGGCGCGCGAGGAGGCTGCGAGCCGCGGAGTCTCTGCACCTCCGCGCGGCGCCGAGGCGCGCGCGCAAGGGTTGCCGGCGCGCCCCGGAAGCCCGGCCCCTCCCTCAGCGGTGCTGGGGGAAGTGTCTAGGCGGAGCTGCTCGAGGCGGCTCAGCGCGAGGCGGTGGCGCTGAGCCGTCGGCTCGCCGAGGCGGAGGGGGGCTTGGCGGCGGAGCAGGCGCGGGCCGCCGGCTTGCAGCGCGAGCTGCAGGCTGCTCGCGAGGCGGCAGCCGCGGTGACGGCGGCCACCGAGTCGCGGCTCGCCCAGGCGGGTGCCGTCTCCGCCGAGCAGGCGGCGGAGGCTGCGGCGGAGCGGCGCGAGGCGGCGACGCTGCGGGACGTGCTGCAGCAGGAGCGGCGCCGGCACGCCGCCGAGGCGGAGGCCCTTCGCAAGGAGGCGGCGCCCGGCGGCGGCAGTTTGCGCCAGGTGGGCGTCTTGACCGAGGCGCTCGAGGCGTGCGCCCGCGAGCGCACCCAAGCTATCGCCGCGGCCGAGGCGCGGGCACGCGTCCAGACGCGCACGCTCAGCGGGGCGCTGCAAGAGGCGGACAGGTCGCTCGCCGCCGCGGCGGCGGAGGCGGCGGCCCTGCAGGCGTCGGTCGACGCGCAGCTGCGGGAGCAGGCTGCAGCGCTGCGGAGGGAGGCGGCTGAGGCCAAGCAGCGCGCGACGGCGCTCCTCGTCGCCAAGGAGGCCGATCTCCAGCGCCTCACCACCGCACCGCGCGCGGCGGGCCCGGCCAGTGGGGTTGCGCCGTCGGCTGCGGCGGCGGCCGCGCTGCGAAAGGCCGAGCGCGCGGCGGAGGCGTCGAAGAAGCAGTCGGCGCGCCTCCGGGCCGAGCGGGACGAGTGGCACTTGCGATGCGTCGAGCTGCACCACTCGCTCCGCGTCGCCACTGGCGGCGCCGAGCTGGACGGGGCTTCGGGCAAGTCGGCCGACGCGGCCGAGCGGATCGTCGAGGTCGCCAAGCAGCAGGCGGCGCGCGAGAAGAGCTGAGTGGCCCTCCGGTCGCGTCTCGGAACCTTCTCGGAACCTTTCTGTAGGCGGCGCGCGACGAGGAGCTGATGGCGTCGCGAGTGCACGTCGGCGAGCTGCAGGAGGCGCTCGTGGAGGCGCGCTCGTTGCACACCGCGCTGCGAGAGCGGTGCGCCGAGCAGGAGCGGCAGGCGGAGCGGGAGAGGCTCGCCGGCGGCGCCGCCGGCAGCGGCAAGGACTCTGGCGCGCAGCTCGAGTACCTCAAGAACATCGTGCTCAAGCTCTTCACCATGGAGGACGGGCGTGAGGCGCTGCTGCCCGTCATCGCCACCTTCCTGCAGTTCTCGCCCGCCGAGGTGAAGCGGGTCCGACTCGCCCTCGAGGCGCAGCGGCTGCGGCCGGCGGACGACGGGTGGCTCTTTGGGCGGCTGGGCGAGAGCTGGCTCTTTGGCAGCGAGGAGGAGGCGCACCGACTCGCGCGGCCTGCGCGGCCGCAGAGGTCGGCCGCGCAGGCCTCGGGCGCTGCTGCGGTCAACGGCGCCGCCGACGGGTGGCCAGAGGAGCTCGAGAGGAGCCGGCAGCGGCAGCAGCGGCTGCGCGAGCTGCTGTTTGCGTCGCACGAGCACCTGTCGCGCTACCAGCGAGAGGAGGCTGCGCAGCAGGCATACGCGCTCGCGCTCACCACGGCGCTGCGCGACGCCGGCATCGAGCCGCCCGAGCCGCCCGGGCCGGAGGCGGAGGACGAGGACGGGGACGGCGATTCGGACGACCCGGACGGCGACGATGGCGTCTCGGAGGGCGAGGCTGATGAGCCGGGCGCTCGCGCCGCGCCGCCAGAGGCGCCCGCCCCTGCCCCTGCGCAGCGGCGGGCCGTCGCGGCGAGAGGCAACAAGGGCGGCGGCGCTAGGACGTCATTCCGCGATGACGACTTGCGAGCCGCGGAGAGCAGCCTCGAGGCGGAGCTCGAGGCGGACGAGCAGGCCCGAACCGAGCTCGAGGTGGCCATCCGCGCCGCGTCCGCCGGCGCCGGTCGCGAGGGCGTGAAGCGGCTGGAGCAGGCGGTGGCGGCGATGCGCTCGCGCGGTCTCGACGGCAACAACGAGAAGAGGATGGGAGACGCGGCCGCGCTGCTGCGGCGGGCGAGGTCGTGAGTGGTGGGGGGGAGGGAGAGATCGAGTACGGCTTTGTTACGGTGTACGTGTGTCAAAATCGCTGTTTGATCGCGCATTAACTTAATGCGCGCGATCAAACAGGAATCAGGATTATCACGCCCATCAAAGGCATCGCATTCTTTCCGTTTCACAGTAGCTACACAGATCAATTCAGATCTCTCACACGCGCGCGCGCAGTAGCTACTCCGCAGTAGGGGCATGCTTCGAAGGCGCGCGCCGCGCGCATGTTTCACGCGTTTGCTGTATGACGCCACCCGTTCACAGAGAATGAACCGCGGTGTCAACAAAAATTCACCTTTGGCGCGCGCGCTCTCACACGGCACGCACAGGATACACAACAGGCTGTGTCAACACTCGTGGCTCGCAGTCAGCTAGTGCGAACCGTCTCTGTCAGTGGCATGGTCAGTGGTCGGCTCGACACCACCTACCCGTGTACAAAAAGGTGCTCGGCGTGCCACCTTCCGCCGGCGCTCGCCTTTCAAGTGAAGAACAGTCAGGCTCAGGTAGGTAGGTAGGTAGAAAGGTGAAGAACAGCCAGGCTCGGACTGGACACCAACGCGGTATGGGTGGACGCGAGACAGATGATGACGACACGCACGAGCGACACACAGACACAAACAGGCTCACAAGACACACAGCCAGCGGGCTGCCACACACCCTGAGTTGGCGTACACATAAGTGTGCACACAAACCTAGAAACCTCACCCCACCTGTGCATGCTTTTGATTGAGAACAAGAGCGGATTCGGCATCGGGCATCGCAAGCCGAGGCGAAGGACGCGTCGGCCAACAACAACTTGTCCTGACGCGCAATCGCCTCGGCTCCCTTGGCTGACACGCTCGGCGTGCCACCTTGAAGGCCCCCGCACGGGGGGTCCCGGCCGACGTCATGATCGTCCGGACGCGGCCCTCCGTACACGGAAACAGGATACTGAAGGCATTCCCGAACTCAAAACAGGATACTGAGGGCAGATATGAGCTCAGCTCAGTGAGATTTAGCTGCACATACCCTTAGTATCCAGAATAGTCCAGTCTGAAAAAAGTCGGTCCGACCGCGCGGAGCCGTCTGGCTGTCTACAGAGCCCCCGCGGCGCGCGGGGCCTGGTCCTCTCGCGGCGGCGAGGAGGGAGCGAGCGCCGTGATCAGCGTCAATCCTGTGTGTGAGGGGGGGGGGGGGGGAGACACTTATGCTCGTAGGTCAGGGAGGTGTAGATGGCCGGGATCAACCACCTGCACTCGGATGAGCCGCAGCCTAATCTCCGCCACATCGCTGCAGCAGGCAGCAGCTTGCCAAAGGAGCCGCCGGTCGTCGACTTACCGTTGACCTCGGCGATGAAGTCGCCCACGCAAAGACCGGCGGTGTCGCCAGCGCCTCCCTCGACCACGTTGGTAATTTGGTGGTTGTTGGGGTCGACAGAGATTCCAAGCGTCCCGCCCTTGCGTTCAGGGCGCGCTTCTTCGCGCCAGAGGAGCCGCCAGCCTCGTCGTCGGCGGTACTCCGCGCCCGCTTGCGGTGGGGAGCAGAGTCCGCGGCCGGCGTGATCAGTTTAAGCGCCTCGTCAAACTTCCAGCCGGCCTGTTGATCGCGTGGCACGTAGACTCCTTCGTCGGAGGGGAGGTTGAGGTCGAGGAGGCCGAGCACCGACTCCATGTGGTATGGGGCGGAATCGTCGACGTTGTACTTGAAGGTGTAGACGCCGTCCGCGCCTGACTTGGCGTAGAAGTTGCAGTGGATCTTATAGTTGACTGCCTTAGCCTCGTCGAACGGCACGGGGAGATAGGTCCGCACGTAGCTCCCCCTCTTGCCGCCCGACTTGCAGAGCATCTGCTGCACGCGTCCGCACCACCAGTCGAACCTACCCGCGCTGTCGTACGTTGCTATCACAACGTTCGTGCTGATCTCGAGCATTGGTGTTGCACTTGTGAGCGGCGACTCCGTCGGCTAGTCGGCGGCGGGCGCCGCGGACGCGGCGGTGTCAGAAGCGGCGGGTCCGGGTCCGGGGCCGGTGGCAGCGGCGCCGGGCGCAAGGCCGGCGGGGCCGGTGGCAGCGACGCCGGGCGCAAGGCTGGCTGCGGCAGGCGCGGGGGGGAGGGCGGCAGAGGCGCGGTCGCGGTCGAGATCGAGCTTGGCCTGCTTGGCAGCGGCCGTGATCTTCTCTAGGCGCGACGTCGGTAGCTGCTTGCCGGCACCTATGCGTGATGCCAGCAGAAAGGACGCTGATTCATGCTCAAATGCGACACCGGGTATCTTCGAAACAGCTGCCGCTGGCATCCGCCGTGGACTAAAAACTGCGATCTCAGTGCCCCAGCACGCAAAATTTTCTCTGCGGGGCTACCGCCCCGCACCCCGCCCGGGATGAATTCACACCTCTCAACGGTTGTTCACACTTGGAAAACTCATCGGATTTGGGCCACTTGCCTGGGCGACCCCGGACCCCTGGCGGACGATCATGACGTCGGCCGGGACCCCCCGTGCGGGGGCCTTCGCCACCTTCCGCCGGCGCTCGCCTTTCAGGTGAAGAACAGTCGGTCGGTCGGCTCCTAACTATCTCGCTGCATATAGTAGCGATGAGCTCACTAGCTAGAGCTCACACTAGCTAGAGGCCGTCATCGCATTCGCCCTGGGACCCAGCGCTGACTTCTGACTGTCTGCGGTCTATCCCTTTCTCGACTGTCTGAGCTTGTGCGTCTTGGGACCGTGGTTGTGTTTTTGTGTGAAGAACAGTCAGGCTCACGTGAGTGAGTGAGTGAGTGTGCACACACACACACACACACTCAAACTCACCAGATCGCCGCGAAAATAAAAAAGCCAACAAGCTCATCATGCTCGCTTTCCGCTGCCCGGCCGCTGCGCCCTCGAAGTGGTCGCACCTGAGGGTGGCGCACCTGCATGGACCTGCTCGACGCAGCTGACGAGTGGAGCCTACTCCTGAGTTTCTCACAGGCTCTAGCCACCGCTGCCATTGCCATTGTCGGCGCACTTCACACCGCTGCGCAGCGCCGCGAGCAGGCGTTGGCGCAGCGGCGCAGCCTCATCCGCGAGGCGAGCGGCGAGGCGGACTTGTGCTTTGCTCAGGACTTCTTTGTGTGCCGAATGTATCGCGACAGTGATGGCGTCCACGTGCTTCAAGAGGGCGACTTTGCTTCCATCCTCAACGCAAAGGTCCTCTTCCCGCCGACGGCGTGGCACCGCGCAGCCCGCTCCAAACTCATGATTTTCCTCGAGTCGATCCGCCCGAGTGCGCACTTGCTTGGAGGTGGTGGTCCGGTCGACTGCCTCGCCGGGCCGTACGACCCGTGCGTGGCGAGGATCCGCCTGGCGATGCAAGCGATGGCGACATTCTGGTCGCCGCAGCCGCCGCTCAAGTCACCCTGCACCGACGCGCACCGCAATTTCATACGTGACAGCTACGGTGGCGGAGAAGAATGGGAGCTAGTCCTTGCGATGCTGCACCATATTCGGCTGAGCGGGCGCCTCGACCACGCTGACGCGCCGCCGGTGCGGGCACAAGGCGGCGCGGCTGCGGGCGGCGCAACCACGATGGTGTGAGCAGCGGTGACCGGCGAGAGAGAGACGACAGCAGGTTGTAGGCTAGGACCCGACGGGATCGGGGGTGCGGATGGAGGAGATCTTTCTCGAGCCCAGGACCGCGAGGCTCTGAGACGTCTGCGAGTAGAGACGTGTCTGCGCGAGAGTAGTGAGTACCCTACGGCTGTGTCGTGTGTGAGTGTGTGAGTCCTTTTTCGTTTTTTTAGTTTTTATCGTATTAGTCAGTCCTCCTGTTATTGTCCCCAGGCGCAGTTATTGTTATGGTGTTATGGCTCTCTGGGCATAGCAGCCCCATAACATGTTATGGGTGTTATGGGTGTTATGGGCCCGGGCCCATAACAGCCATACCCATAACATGTTATGGGCTGCTATGGGAGGGCCGTCCCGGGTCCACGGTGTTATGGCCCGAGAGGCCACGCCGGACTGCTCGCCGCTGGAATTTTCGCTTCGCGCGCTGCCGCGCGCGCGCGCGCGAGGTAGGTTCGGCATCGATCGCCAAATATTTTCTCTTTTGCCCAAGTTAAATTCAATAACATCAACCTGCCTCCTGAGGCTGAGCGATGGCTTCAGATTGCTCAATCAAGACCACCGGCCCTCCCCCCCCCCCCACGCAATTTGCTTCCCGTTTCTAACTCGTACTCGCTCTGCAGCTCTGCACGCTTCCCTCCATTTTTAACTTGTATGTCTTTCTATGTCTTTCCCGCAATTTAACTCACGTCCTTTTTCTTTCCTTTTTCCACTCATGTCTCGAGGTTTCTAAAAAGTGGAAGCTGGCTGCTCCCGCTTTTAGTAGTTAAAGCTCCGTGCGCGCCAGTCCCGTGCCAGTGTCGTGCGAGGGGCACTTGGAGTACTTGGAGTGCTATGAGGTGTTATGAGGTGTTATGAGTGCTGTGAGGTGTTATGAGGTGTTATGAGGTGTTATGGTAGGGTGGGCATAACAGCCATAACAGCGATGGGGAGGTTTATGAGGTGTTATGAGGTGTTATGGGGTGTTATGAGCAGCCAGCCATAACAGCCATAACACCTGTTATGGCCGCTCCCATAACCTTGAGTGGGGACAACTGTTAGTAAAACAGACTCTGTATATTGTCTCCGGGCCGCTTACATCTTACGCGTGGCACAACCCTCTCTTGCCTTCTCGCAGTCGCATCGCTCGCTCTCCTGTGTGTCTCTTCGAATGATACCGGTCCGCGCGCCCCGCGCCGGCGAGTAATTTCAGCCTCACTGCTCCGCGCTGCCCGTGTCGTCCTGCGCTTCAGCGGCATCGACCCCGGGGTCGCACGCGGTCGGCACGAACTTTGCCTCCAGGTAGCTGATGCAGCGCTCGGCGTAGTACCCTGGCGGCTCCGTCGACTTGTTCCTCTCGAGCGTCTTGATACACCTCGCGACTGTCTTGGCGCAAGTCCAGTTCTGCAGCCAGTCGATGAAACCGAGGTAAAGCAGCTGCACCTCGCCGTCCGCGGCGCACGCCAGCGGCTGGGTATGCCGGTCGGTTGTGCGCTGCAGCGCCAGCGCGATGGCCGTGCGAGAGGCGGGCAGCCGCTTGACGCCGAGGATGAGCGAGTAGTCCATCAGCCCTCGCGCCGCGAGCCACTCGCAGTCGTACCGCACGGCGCGCATGACCCACTGCTTCTGCTGCGCCGTCACCCGAAACTTGACCGTACTCGCGTGCTGCTTCCCGTTCCAGTATTCGATTCGCTCCGGCGACCAGAAACACTTGCCGCCCCACAGGCAGACGTTCCAGATGCGCTTGTGCACCTCTTGCACCCGCCGCCCGTCGAGCGTGAGCGTCTTGTCGTCGGCGGACCCTTTGAGGTCGTAGGACTCGAAGGCACTGGCCAGCTCGCTCCGCACCGCCTTCTCCTCTCCCTCGCTCAGCTCCAGCGCTGCAAGGGCGTCTGGAGGCAGCCAGTTGTTCATCGCCGCGTAGTTGCGGTGCGTCTCCGGGTCCTGAAAGTGAGCAAAAAAGCGACACAGGAGGCTCTGGCTCGGCTGGCTCGGATCGTCACCGATGATGTGCAGCCTGTATTTCCCCGCCAGGCCGAGCAGCACGCTGTGGTCCGTTGCGTTGAGTTCCTTCACGATGCACGCGCGGTCCGCGGTGAACCCCATCAGCTGCCCGCCCTTGCCGCCCCCCTCCGACATCCCGCCGAAATCAAACTTGGCGAGAAAGTCCGGAGGGACCCCGAATGCGCTCCGGATTGCGGCGAACTCACCCTCATTGTAGCAGTGCATGGTCCTGCCGCCAATCAGGAGTGGCTCCACACTCGACTCACCCATCTCGGACTTGTCATCGGGGGCTGTCCGCTCGCTCTTCTCCGACCGTCGCTTGCGAGTCTTGTCGGGCCGCGCGGGGCTCAGCGCCGGCGCCTCCGGACCGGAATCGGCGGTGCCCATGCCCGACACCACGAACGATTTGGACTGTTCCCAGATCGGGGTGAAACATGGCGGCCGTCCCCTGAAAACAGATGTGCGTACCGGCCCGTCGTCGCTCCTGCTTCTCGAGTTTTAGGTATATTGTTGGCAAATCAAGACACAGAGCTCACACAGTCTCGAGTGGTATACTGGACTCTAGCGCACCAGTAAAGAGAAGGAAATAAAACTGTGTTGAAACCCGACTGTTGAAACAAATTTTTTTTCGTGTCCTGGTCGCCATTCCCGCCGCCGCCGCGGTCTCCGCCTCGTCCAGCGCCGCGATCTCCGCCTCGTCCAGCGCCGACTGGCTGCCGGCCGGAGAGGGCTGTGCACACGTTGTTGTGCGGTACGTTGGCACCGACGCGGCGTTGGCGGGCACCGTGCTGCGCCTGTGCAAGCAGCGTCGCCGCACCAGCCCGGACGCGCCGTGGGCGGCGCTCGAGGCGGAGGTGTGGGCCGGAGTGGATGGCATGACTGTCCCCGGCGCCGGCGGGTCGTGCTGCATGGCCGACGACTCCGCCGCGGTGCTCGCGCACCAGTCACTCGTCCTCTCGCCACACCTACCGCCAGGAACGATCGCGCCCGGCGCGGCGCTCGTCGCGGTGCCGCCAAGTCTCGCGCGAGACGTCCTCGGCGCCTCGCTTCGTGGGCGGGCGGGAGAGGCGCTGCCGGCGCACGGGCTCCTGCTTCCCGACTACCTCCACCCGCCGCCGCCAGTCGCGGCCGCGCCAGGCCGGCGCTTCCGCACCGTGAGCGTCGAGGTCAAGCCCAAGCGGGGCTGCTGGCGGCGGCCGCACTTGTCGCCGCTCCTCGAGTCTGCGGCGCGGCGAGCGCACCCGCGCGACGAGGGCGCGGACCCCGAGGGGCTTGGCACGCCGCTGTACTGGATGCGAGAGGCGGCTCGTTCGTCGCTGCCGCTCCCCGCCGCCGGCCCCGAAGCTGGCGGCTGGTACGACCCGCGACCCTTCTTCCACGGAGGCCGCAAGGGCGCGGCCGGCGCGGCGAGCCGTACACCTCTCTCTCCAGCAGCATCGAGACCTCGGGAGGCCCGCCGGGTAGGCGCGGCGGCCATGGCGGCGAAGCTGCTCGCGTCGCACTGCCGCGAGCGGAAGCGGGGCCAAGGCCGCCGCGAGCGAGGCGGCGGGCTGGCTGCACGAGGTGTCCGTGACGCGTCCGGGACATTTCCCCAAGGCCGCCACGCGAGGCTGTGGGTGGGCGGCGCCCCTTCGGCCGACGCAGAGGCGGCCTTGCTCCACCTCGGCGGGAGGCGAGGCGGGTAGCTGGAGGCGGGTAGCTGGAGGCGGGTAGCTGGAGGCGGGTAGCTGGAGGCGGGTAGCTGGAGGCGGGTAGCTGGAGGCGGGGCGCGTGGCGGGGAGAGGGAGGACTCTGCTCCACGACGCCCCCGCACGCCTCTCCTCCCTCCTCCACAGCCGCCTCCTCCGCCTCGGCCTCAGGGGCGCCGGAGCGAACGGCGAGGAGGGCGGCGGCGAGGCGGGCGGCGGCGAGGCGGGCGGCGAGGCGGCCGCAGAGGCGACGCAGAGGCTCGCGAAGGGGCCCGACCCCTGACCCCCGGCAGTGACCCGCGCCCACCGCCACCTCTGCCCCAGGCGCTGGCCGGCTTGGTCGGCGAGGCGCTGGCCGCGTCGCGCGTCGTCGAGGGCCTCGTCGCGGCGCAGCAGGCGCGGGCGGGTAGCGGTGGCGGGCAGGCGAGGCGGTGGCACCACCCCACCGCCGCCCCGCGGGAGACCTGTCTCGGCTACTCCCGGCTACTCTCGGCTACTCCCGGCTACTCCCGGCTACTCCCGGCTACTCCCGGCTACTCTCCCGCAGGAGGACTGTCTTGGCGCCGCGGGCGCGCTGGCGGTGCTGCGAGGCCAGTGCGAGCTGCCTCTCTCTGCCGAGGAGGAGGAGGAGCTCGCGCCGGCAGAGCCGCGCCCGGGCGAGCCGCGTCTGGGCGAGCTGCGCCGCCCCGAGGCGTGCTCGCTGCTGCGCCGCTACCTGCTCGCGGCGAGCGCCTCAGACGTCAGCCTGATGGTCACCCTCGCAGCAGAGACCCTCGCAGCAGAGGCGCCCGGCGGAGAGGTGGCCGACTCTGCAGCGCCCTCCGCCGCCCCCTCCCCGGTGTGGGCCGGCGCGAGCGGCTGGCTCCGCCTCGAGGCGGGGCTGTATGCGCGCGTCGCCCTCTTTGACGCCGACCACAAGCCGCTCGGCAAGGTGCTCGAGCACGCGCGGCGTGACGTGGCGGCGGCGCGAGCGTGGCTGGAGCTGGTGGGAAGACTGGGAGCTAGACTGACCGTCTGAAAAACTATACTGAAAAAACTGACGCACGAGATTGAGAGGCGCGAGACGCTCTGCATGCTGTGAATAAGTTGAGTCAAGCGCTAGCCGCTACAGCCTACACGGTTAATTGTGACACCTCACCTGCGTTCTCGGTTCTGAGCGTGAGCCGGTCCGGTCTCGCCCACTCGCCGTCGAGAGATGGCGTCGGCTCTCGGAGACGTCTGAGGTCGCTCTACGCGTGTCACCGTGTTCCATTCGGCCTCCCCCTCCGGCTCTCGCATCGACCGCCTCTCAGCACCCGCAGCTGACCGCTGAAGCGGCCGATGTCATCGAGCAGCGCCCACGTGCCGGCGGCGCAGTCGGGCGCCGCGGGGGTGGGCGAGAGGCCGGCGTGGAAAAAGGCGCCCTCCTGGCAGAGCCCGTACCGCCCGCCCGCCACGCGGCGGCGCGCGCCGGCGGCGGAGGCGACGGCGGCGAGCTCTGCCCGCGTGGCCTCCTCCGCCTCCGGGTAGGGCGACTCGACAGCGCGCAGCTCGCCTGCTCGCCAGACGTACGAGACTAACCCCAGCCCTGGCCCTGGCCCTAGCCCAAGCCCTAGCCCTAGCCCCTTGCCCTAAGCCCTAATCCTAGCCCTGGCCCCAACCCCAACCCTATCTCCAACCCCAACCCCAACCCCAACCCCAGCCCTAGCCCTAGCCGCTTGCCCAGCCCCTGGCCCCTGGCTCGCCTGCTCGCCAGACGTACGAGACGCCGAGCGAGTGCGGGCAGCACCTCCACGGCGAGGAGGCGAGGTCCCACCTGGCGGAGGGGGAGGGGGGGGGGGGGAGGAGGGGAGGAGGGGTGAGGAGGTCCCACCCGGCAGGGCGAGGCGCGGACGCGTCGCGGACGTGTCGTGGGACGGGGGTTCGGCGAGGAGGGCGGGAGGGCGCCCACCGGAGGCAGACGCGGTCCTTTGAGCGGTAAAAGCCGTCGGGGTCGCGCTGGATCCACTCCACCTGTGGGCCCAGGGGGGCGAGGGGCTCGAGGGGCTCGAGGGGGTCGGGTCCCCGGGGGCCAGAGGCCGGTGCGAGGCTCGGGGCGACCCCTCGCCTGCTCGCGCCAGCGGGACCGGTTGGGGAGCAGCAGCGGCGGTCGGCCGTCCTTGGAGTAGGGGGGGGCGGAGCATCGGAGGATGCGGCCCTCGTGCCAGTAGTGGTCAAAGGGGACCCACGTGAGCCACTGCGCCTTGTAGTCCATCTGGGCGCCTAGGCTCGGCCAATCTGAAGTGTGTCTAGGAGTGTCCATCTGGGCTGTCTCAGAGGTGTCTCGGAGGTGTCTCGGAGGTGTCTCGGAAGTGTCTCGGAAGTGTCTCGGAAGAGTCTAGGCAGGGCCGCCCATGTGGAAGTGGATGGTGAGGTCCTTCTTCTTGCGGAGCGTCTCTCGCAGGAAGGTGCGCTCCTCCCACCCAGACTGCCCGTCGCCCGTCGACTGCGGCGGAGGGCGGGGCGGCAGTGGTGGGGGCGTGAGGCGGGGCCTACCTCGGACCCCTCCCGGAGATGGCGCCTTGAAGCCGAGCGCGAGGTGGTTGTCGTCGACGCGGTAGAGCTCTCGCGTCTCGGCCGAGTTTCGGAAGATAGTGAGCTGGCCTGCGGGCGGGGGAAGGGGGCGGCGTGCTGGGGCGGGACACCCCTCGACTCGGCCCCCTCTCCTCCGTCTCCGCGACCCACCCGCCCAGGCGAAGCCGAGCGTGGCGCCCGCAAAGGTGACCGCGTCGCTCGCCCAGAGCGCCTCCTCTCCGACGACGGCGGCGAGGTCGCCGAGGAGGATGTCCCAGTCGACCCAGCCCCAGTGCGTGTACCCTCCCAGCAGGTCGTCGAACACGTGCCCGTAGAACGGCTTCAGGTCCGACAGGCCCTTGCCACTCGAGAGCTTTGCGCTCGCCTGCGCCTCGCCCGCGCCGAGCTTGGCCACGAACCGGCGCCGCAGCTGCTCGAGGGGGACGTGCTCGTACCGCACGTGCGAGTCGTCCACCGCCTCGCCCGCGCCGGCCGCGTGCCTACGGGCCAGGGATCGGGGCGGGGTGTGGGTGGGCGGTGCGACCCGCCGGCCGGCTTCTGCTCTCGGCCGCGCGCCGGCCGGCGGTGTGGACGGCGATGAGGGTGAAGCGAGGCGCGTTGCGCGCGTAGGTGGCGACCAGGTAGGGCCACCACGGCGGGAAGCGGTCGACGATGAGCATGAGCAGGCCGACGCGCAGCGGCGGGCGCGCAGAGGCGGCGGCAGCGCGAGCGGCGGCGGCGGGAGTGGCGGCGGTGGCGGCGGTGGCGGCGGTGGCGGCGGCCGGAGCGGCTCTGGAGGGAGCTGGGCCGCCGCCGCCGCCGCCGCCGCCCGGAGCGGGCTGGCGCTGCAGCGGAGGCTGCGGCTCACGGTGAGGAGGCGGCGGCGGCGCCGGCCACGTCGAGCGCATGACGACGAGCAGCGCGGTGAGGGCGAGGGCGAAGATGGTCGCCCGGCGGAGCGAGGGAGCCCGGCCGCCGCGCGGCGGAGTGGCGGGCATTCGCTCGCGACACTGTGAGAAAAAGAATTTTACCATTTGGGACGCATTCAAAACTCTAACACAACGCACTCTCTCACGTAACAAGGGACATTCTACAGAGATGCAGGGAGGAGCTCAGCCTCGGGAGGAGCTCAGGCGCTTAAGTGATCTGTGATCTGTGAGGGTCCGCCCGCAGGCGCATTTTGTATACCGACCGAGGCGGTGCCCGGTGCCGAACCTGTCGGACCTTAAGACAGCGTTGTAGATCCCTGGGCGAGGGTGGTGGAGAGGGCGGTCCGGCGGCGGAGCAACCACCTCCTCCCGGCGTGCCGGGAGGCAGGATGTCATCCCCCGTGATCCAGACCGCCCCGTTGGAGGTAGGCCGCTCGTCTAGCCAATCAGCCTTAAGCGAGCGGCCTGGCCGTTTTGGAATGGCCCAAGACCGGTCCCCGTCGGGAGGGACTCTGGAAGAGGAGAGCAACCAGGTGCCCGGGGGCGTCCCGCCCACATCCGGATGACCTCTCCTCCTTCGACCAGCCGTCCCCGTGGTGGTCACGCGGCCTCTGGCTGGAACGGGATCTACCTCGCAAGCGAGTCACCCGGGCCGGCGCGCGTCTTCCGGGAGAGGGGCGGGGCCTCAATGACCTAGTTGCCCGGCCGGGCGTTCGGACTCTTCCCCGTGCGGGGCCTCGGCGTCCTAGTAAGAAAGCGCCAAGAGACTGCCCTTTTTGATGCTGTGCCCGAGTACAATGGATTGAAGCGGCCGAAGCACCACTTCCTGTCCCACCTCGCGACTGACATATGGCGCTATGGACCGCCCCGCGGCTACTGGTGCTTTGGCTTCGAGGGCTTCAACAAGGTGTCTGATCAAACTGGGCGCGGAGCGGTCGAACTTTAAGAACGAGACGGTGAGCATAATGCAGTCTGGTCTATGCGCTCCGCGTGCGCTCTGCAGTCATAGGAGAGAGCTGCTAGAAAGCTGCATGAGGGGAAGGCGCATGCTGCTGCTCGCCAAGAAGCTGCTCGCCGAGTCTGAGATGGCGCTCCGGCGACACCGGGGAGGCGCCCAACCCCTCACACCCGCGTATCGCCCCCTCGGCCCTGTATACACCCGAGCCGGCGACGAAGGCGATGTAGTACGGGCCGACACCCGCTCCCGCCACCCGTCTCGCAGCTCCATCCCGTTTGGCGCCGCCGAGTAGCTGCTCGCCGAGTCCGAGATGGCGCTCCGGCGACACCGGGGAGGCGCCCAACCCCTCACACCCGCGTATCGCCCCCTCGGCCCTGTATACACCCGAGCCCTTAGACGCCACCGCCACCGCCACCGCCACCGCCGCCGCCACCGCCACCGCCCTCGACGCTGCCGCCCTCGACGCTGCCGCCGCTGCCGCTGTCGCCGCCACGCTCGCTGGCCATCCAGCTCGCCGCCGCGCCGCCGTTGACGGATCGACTCCACAGATGTGACCCTCTCGCCGTTACCGTCGCCGCCACGCCCTCGCCGCCACCGCCGCCACCCTCGCGACGCCACCGCCGCCACCGCCGCCATTGCTTCCGCCGTCGCCGCCTTGCCGTCGCCCTCGCTGCCGCCGCCCTCGCCGTCGCCGGACGCCGCCCTCCCCGCCGCCGCGGCCCGAGATGCGCTGAGATGGCCCGAGATGGCCCGAGATGGCCCGAGATGAGCCGAGATCAGCCGAGATCAGCCGAGATACGCCGAGATACGCCGAGATGCGTTGTGCGTCAATCTGCCGCGAGCCGTTTCGCTGCTGGCCTTCCCTCTGCTTTACGAGGTCGAGGAGCTCGTAACAGGGCTCGTAATTGGCAGGCGCAGGAGCGCACTTTTGATTCGTGTTTTCGTGTCTGTGTGTTTGCTTTAGGATAGGGTTTGCAGAGCGTCTCCTTTTCTTTAAACCCGCATTTTGCTGCGCCGGGTCGTATCCAGGCTCGTTACAAGGCTGGTTTACCAACTTCGAGCTCGTAGGTCCTACGATAGGGTGCCCACAGGACCCAAAAGAAAATAGCTTTCCGACTCAAAAAGGGACGCACGAGGCAAATCTGATGTTGGCCAGTTCCAATAGGAGCGAGGCCTCTTCCGTTGGGGGACCGAGTTCATAGGAAACGAGGGTTTCCCATTGTGTCCCGCTCCAGCGCGAGCGTGACACTGCACTTGGCGCCGAGCGCCCGCGGCTCAGACCTTGTGCAGGCCACCCCTCATTGGGCACGCCGGTCTGGACCGATGCGGGCGCTCGGTGTGGAGCAAGCAAGACCCCCCCCCCCCCCATCGGCGCGCGCTCGCCATTCCAACGGCCGCCAGGAGCACCAAGAGGACTCCTCATGGCTGTGCCCAAGTGGGCTTCGACCGGCCTCGGCTGGGGGGGCGCGGGTTGTCCCGGCTGCGGACGCCTCCTGCAGCCCCCTGGGATGGGGACAGCACCCAAAAACTGCCCCCGGCGGCATACAGCACTGCCAGCCAGCCTCTTCCTCCTCCTCAAGGGCTGTACTATAGGCCATATTGCGCCGCCTCCTACTGGCAGCCGGGCGGGCGCGCGCCGCGGGCGCCTCGGCGCGCGCACGGCTCGCAAAGTTCGAACGAGTACTGCCGCCCGGCCGCCTCAAGGCTGCCGGGCGGCAGTACTCGCCTCGCAAGCAAGGCGCGCACCGGCTGATCTGGGGCTGCTGCGCCGGCGGCCGCTGCGCTGGCCGCTGCTGCGCCGGCTGGCGGGCGGTACGGCCGCCGGCGGCCGCTGCACCCGCGCCTTCCCTCGCGGGCGCGGTCCAACGAGTACTGCCGCCCGGCCGCCTCAAGGCTGCCGGACGGCAGTACTCGCCTCGCAATGCGCGCACCGGCTGCTCTGGCTGCTGCGCCGGCGGCCGCTGCGTTGGCCGCTGCTGCGCTGGCCGGCAAGCGGTACGACCGCCGGCGGCCGCTGCACCCGCGCCTTCCCTCGCGGGCGCCGTCGCGCCGCGCGCGCCCAACTGTGCTGGCACACGGCACGCGTCGTCACTCAGCCGCGGAGAACAGGCGGTGCAGCGCGCGAAGCGCGCGCGATCTCGTACTTTCAAGGCTGGATCCGGCCATACCTTTGAGAATCCCTAGCGTCCCTCCCTCACAATCTCAATTTCTCGACTGGCCAACAGCATCACGACGTGCTGCGATAGGGGGTTGCCCATTTCTTTTTCCCTTTCTTTTTGCTGTGAGAGAGAGTTGTTTTGTTTAAATTCTTTTTTTGGGCCCTGTGGGCACCGTGTGAGTGAGTATTCTTGATACGAAACCACGACGACACACACCAGTCGACTCGCATCGGTTGCCTCCATGAACGGCGGAGCTATTCTCGCGCCCACACCACACCTGGCTCCAACGTGGACACGCCCATAGCTGGGGACACTACTAGGTCACGCATGGCATCACAGAAGTTTTATCTCTGGGCCCCGAAAGGCATCTCTAGCAGTGTCGTTACACATGCCCCCTCCCCTCCTGGGCGCATGCGCCTCACGTCTCGCCAGAGCATAAGCCCTTGGCGTGTGGACACACACACACACACACTGTGGGCACCCTACCTACGAGGTCGGTCCTACGAGCTCGAGGGCCCGTAACGAGCCCCGTTACCATGCTCGTAGTTTTGCTGTGTACCGTCGAGCAAGGCATCGCCTCCGTCAAGACCTTCGTCTTCGAGCGTGATGCCGCGCCTCGCACGGCCGGCGCCCTTCGGGCCAGCGCGCGAGACGCCTCCGCCGGCCTCGACTGCGTCCGACCGGACGAGCTCTGCCGCCTCCGCCGTAGCCGAGCGATCGGCCAGCGCCTCTGCCGCCAGCGCCGTCGCCGTCAGCTGTACCGTTGAGCTCTCTGGGCCGGCGCGGGGGGCCCAGAGGGTGTCCATGCGGGGGGGAGATGGGGTCCCATGGCCCGCCGCAGGCGCCGATTTTTTGGAGTTTTTTTCTTTTTTCGCGATTTTTTACTTGTTTTCATGGGAATTCGGCGAACTCCGAACTTGCGGCCATGCTATCACGCCTTGCGACAGCCTGTCGGCGCTGCTGACCGTGCCATGATGCACAATTGATCACCTGCATAGCTCGCGGCCTTAGTATTAAGCATTCAGTGACGACCTGATCGTACGGCCAGTAGGAAGGTGTCCTTCCAGCTGCGTGCACGCTTCTGGCGCAATGCGCGTCACCTCGGATGGGCTGCTGGCACTCTCGAGGCTATGCCTACACAGCCTCGCGCGCATGGGCAGTCAAGAGGGACCACGCACCTTCTCAGGACAGCGCCGGTGCCTCTCTCTTGGACCGGCAAACTTGGTGGTCTCGTGTCACCAATGTGGGACCAGTGCGGCATCGCGCCATCGACAGCTCTGAACTGCGCCTCACCACTGACCGGGAAGGCCGCCAAGTGGGCCAGCACAGGTCGCACATTGTGGCAGCAGTCAGCAGTGCATGGCTGATAGCTAGAGCAGCAGCGTCAGGGTCGCAGGGTCGGATCGTGTCAAGCCTCTCGCCCGGCCGGCCGCGTGCAGACGTCGGCCTGTCTGCTGTCTGCAGTGATCTGTCGGCGGTCAGTACGACCGATCAGGTCGGAGTTTTCTGATGGTTGGAGGGTCTATCTGTATGTACTCCTCGAGATCTCTCCAAATCTGCCCTCTGTTAGACCGGGTTAGATCGGGAAGTCGGTGGTATGAGCGAGTATGAGCGCCGGAGCCCCGTTTCCGCGCTGCTGCGCGGCGCACGGTGTGGGCCGGGGGCCCCCGCGCCGGCCCAGAGGTTGAGCTCTGCATCGCCTTCGTCTTCGAGCGTGTCGCCTCGCACGGCCGGCGCTCTTCTCGCCAGTTCTCGAGACGCCTGTGCCAACCTCGACTCCGAGCGGACGTGCTCTGCCGCCTCCGCCGTAGCCGAGCGATCCGTCAACTACTCGAGCGATCCGTCAACTACTCCCGCGCGCCTCGCCTCCATCAAAGTCGACTCTCGAATTTCAACTACTCTCCCTCCTCATGCCGCCTTCGGCCTTGTCCACACAGGCGTCGCGATCTATAGTACATCCCCGACGCCTTCAGCATGGTCCTAAAAAAGGCGTCTGAATTCGGACGCCTGTACCACCCTCCAAACACTACACACTACACACAATATACTACTACTACTACTACTACTACTATTACTAATATTAATTATACACACCCCCAATATACTACTACTAACACCACACCATACACACCTTTAATAATAATAATAAAATTCTTTTATACTTAATCTTATCATAAAAATTAATTATTAATTTTTTATATTATACCTATATCAGGCAGTGAAGCTGGCGTCAATCATCACACAAATCGGAAAGCTGCACGAACGCCTCCCCGGCATCGAGTGGCTCCCGGTTCGACTGTGAGCGTGCCCGAGCGGTTAAGGGGATTGACTCGAAATCAATTGGGCTCTGCCCGCGCGAGTTCGAGTCTCGTCGCTCACGATCTGATTCCTTTTTCTTTTTGGCTATACTCGATCTTCTTTTCCTTTCCTTTTCCTTTTTCTTTTTGGCTATACTCGATCTTCTTTTCCTTTCCTTTTCGGCCACCCAATCCTCTTCCTTTTGCTTTTGGCCCCACTCCCGTCTGGGTCATGGCGTTTGAGCAGGACTCCGTTGAGCGCGGAAAGGTTTTGCTGGCTCTTAAAGGAGAAAGCACCAGGGGCACGACGTCTAGGACAGCGCGAGACGCGCGCTGACTAAAGGACTTCGAGCTCGTGAAAAGGGTAGAAACAGGCGTCCCTCAGAGTGTCGCTGCCTCACACATTCCTCTGCCCGCCTTTCGCTGGGCTCACTGCACAAAAAAAATCGCGGTGCTCAATGCCGGCCTCCCCGGCGACAGTCCACTCCTCCCCGCTTCTCCTCCCCACCCCCACCTGGCCCGACGTGTCCCGCGTCTGGCTCGCCGAGGCCCGCGCCGCCGCCGCCGCCGCGCCGAGCCACCGCGCCAGCTCCGAGCCGGAGCCCGCAGAGTCAGAGCAGATCCGGCTCGACGCCCACCGCAGCGGCCGCAAGCGGCTCGGCGTGCCCGACGCGGCGGCGGCGGCGCACCGGGACGAGGTGCTCGCGGTCCTGCACCAGTGGTGCGCGCTGCGCCACCCGCTCGGCTACTGGCAGGGCGTCAACCTGCTGGCTGGCGCCGCCGTCTGCGTGTGCGGTGGCGGCGAGGACGCGGCGGCGCTGCTCTCCCTGCTGCTCTCCCGGCTTCCTTCTCCCGGAGGCGCCGCGCTCGAGGTTGCGGCGCTCTGCCACCTCCTCGAAGCCCGCGACCCCGCCCTCTTTGGCCGCGTAAGCGCCGCGCAGCAGCAGCTCAAGGCCGCCGCGAGCCTCGCGGCGCTGCAGTGGCTGTCCGCCTGCTGGGCGAGCGCTCTCCCCCTCTCGCCCCCCCGCACCCTCCCGGCCTCACCCCCCCCCGACCCGAGGGCCCGCCTCTCCTTCGCCTCGCACCTCGCGCCACACCTTCGCCTCGCACCCGACCCCGCCCCGACCGCCGCAGGCCGGGGTGGTGCCGCTCTCGCACCTCGTGAGCATGTGAGCGGTGCTGCTGGGATGCCGAGGCCCGGCCGCCGGCGACGCGCAGCAGCCTCCCGGCGCTCGCCTCGACGACGACGAGGACGACGACGAAGACGACGACGAGGACGAGGAGTCCTCGTCTTTGTCGGAGGGCGGCGGTGGCGGTGCAGTCGGCCGGGCGGCGCCCGCCGAGGCGGGGCTGCTGTCGCGGCTGGAGGCGGGGCTGCTGTCGCGGCTGTGGGGCGGCGCGGGCAGCTGGGCCGAGTGGGCGGGGTGGGAGGGGTGGGGCGGCGGCAAGGGAGATGCGCGCGAGGAGGACGAGAAGGAGAGGGAGGAGAGCGTCGCGCCGTGCGCCGCCGACTCGACCGGCACGCCCTGCGCCTCTCCGCTACCGCTGCTTCCGACCCTGCCCCTGACCCCAAGCCCCGACCCCAGGCAACCTGCGCCTCTCGCTGGCGCTGCTCGCGCGGGCCCGCCGCGAGGATCTCGCTGCGGCCGCCGCCGCGGACGCCGAGAGCGGGCTCGGGTGCGGAGGGCAGGCCTACGCTGTGCTGCACCGCGCCGCGGCGGAGCTTGACGAGGAGGGCTGCCTCCTCCTCGTCGCGGACGCGCGCGCCATCCAGCTCAGCGAGGAGGAGGTGGCCGCCGCCCGCGCCGCCGCAGCCGCGGACTTGGACGCAGAGGCGGTGGCCGCCGCCGCTGCGCGGGCGCGGCGGTGCCCCTCGCCGCCGCCGGCACGTGCTGCGGTGGAGGCGCGCGCGGTGGGGCGCAACGAGCGGCGCAACGAGCGGCTCTTTGGACGCGCCGCGAGCGAGGCTGCAGCGGCGCCGGCGACGAGGGCGAGAGGCCGCTCCCGACGGCGCGCGGCAGCCTCCTCCGCCCCGGCGGCGCCGCAAGGGGCGGCACAAAACCTTCACCTGTACGGCACTTGGCGAGCCGGACTCTTCTGCTGACCAGCGTCGCTGTTACCTGCGCGGGTGCGGGGCCATGGAGGCCGCGCCCGAGTCTACAGTCTTCAGCTACCCCCGTCGTTTCCCCGTGTGTGTGTCGTTGTCGTGTCCTCTACGTGTGTCTCGGTAGACGAGAAGCGGAGAGAGTGACCGGCCCAGAGTGCCGCCCGGTCACCGGGTGCGGAAGGCGCCACGCACCGTGGCGCATCTCGTGCCAGCTCTAGTCAAACGCTGATCGTCTAAGCCATGGTTTCAACGACGGCAATCTAAAAAACCGCGCTCTGTTGTGCGAGGTCGATACACGACAGTTAGGGGCAAAAAGAGCGGCGAACACCGCGGTCACCGCGCTCCGCGGGCGGCCCGCGGGCCAATAAAAGCGGCCAAAAAAAAGAGGCTAGAGAAGGCCCCGCAGGCCAGCTCCGCAACCGCACCTCTGCTGAGCTCCACCACACCGCACCGCCGATCGCGCTCATTGCACATTGGACGACATGCACAGAAATTCCATCACGATCAAAAACACGGGGGGAACGAGAGACCGAGCCGGAGAGCGACAAGAGCAACGTACCCCGACTCTCAGCTCACACACACAAAACACATGCGCTCGTCTCGTCCGACCCAAAACCACAGGAGCCAAGGCACGCTCCGCCCCCGCCCTCTCTGGCTGGAGCTCTTCTATACGACGACGTCGTCCGGGAAGGACACGCCGCCGACCGCGCCGCCGCGAGAGGGCGGGAAGGCCTGTTGCGCCTGCTCGTTGAGCAGCCGCAGCCCCTCCCAATTGAGCAGCCGCGCCTCGAGCCGCGCCCACGCGTGGAAAGTGCGCCCGTCGCCCGGATGCAGCCGCAGCGCCTCCCGAAACGCGGCGCGCGCCCCCTCGACGTCGTTGTCGGCGTCGAGCATCGACCCGAGCAGCGTGTGCAGCGGCGCGTGGCCGGGCGCGGCCCGGAGCCCCTCGCGCAACGCCGCGCGCGCGTCTGCGCCGAGGCCCTGCCGCGCGAGCAGCACCGCCTGCAGCTGGTGCGTCCTCCCGCCTGAGCGACACGCCGGGCACAACTCACGGACGGGTCCCAGACACAACTCGGCTGCAGCTCGCGCGCACGGCTGCCTCCGCCGCCGCCCGCGGCGCGAGCGCGCTCGAGCAGCTGCTGCGCCTGCGCCAGCCGGCCCTCGCCCAGCTCGAGCGCAGCCCACGACAAAAGCAGCCCGTCGTCCCCTCCTCCTCCTCCTCCACCGCCCGCGCCCTCGACGCGCTCGCCGGCGGAACAGTCGCGGAGGCCGGCGCGCAGCATCCGCCTCGCTCTGTCCGCCTCGCCCGCCTCCTTCTCGAGGCGCGCCGCCGCCTGAGGGGTTAGGGTTAGGGTTAGGGTTAGCCGCCTGAGGGGTCGGAGAAGGGGCGGGGGGGCGGGGTGCAGCGAGGGTCTAGCGATGCGGCCGCCCCTCTCGCACCACCTGCCAGAGCGGCGCGTGGCCGCGGCAGCTGCGCAGCCCGTCCGAGTAGACCCGCCGCGCCTGCTCCACCTCGCCCAGCCGCGCCTCCATCACGCCCCACGCCCGCCACGCCCTCCCGTGCCGCGGCTCCTCCGCGACGGCCCGCCGGAAGAGCTCTCTCGCCGGCTCGTGCTGCTGCAAGCTCGCCCGGGCGAGGCCGGCGCCTACGGGGCGACGCTTCCCCGTCCCGCGCCCTCGGACCAACGGGCTGCCCCGCGCAAGGCCGGCGCCGAGAAGGAGGGGCGAGGAGCGGGGAGAGCCGGCGAGGCCGCGCTCAAACGCCTCGAGCGCGTCGTCCCAGCGGCGCTGCCGCAGCCGCACCGACCCGAGCGCGTGCCACGCCCTCGCGCAGTCGTCTGCACACCCGCGACCGAGCCGCGCCTAGAGACCAGCCTCGCGCCTCGGCACCTCGCCTCTCCTCGGCCGACCGGCCGACCGACCGCCGCACCGCCCGCTCAAAGAGCACCGCCGCGCGCCGCTCGTAGCCCGCCCGCTGCTCGAACTGGCCCCAGCCGTGCAGCAGCGCAGAGCAGCGAGATAGGTCCGGGCCGACGAAGCTGCGCGCCTGCCCGCACGCGCCCGGCCGGCAAGCGGCGCGGAAGATGCTGCGCGCCCCGTCGGTGTCGCCTCGCCGCTCGGCAAAAGCGGCGTGCGCGTTGTGCAGCGGCGCGTGCTCCGGCTCGAGGTCCGCGCCGCGCGAGAAGAGGCCCGCCGCCTCGCCGTGCTCCCCCGCCTCCTCCTCGAGCAGCGCCTACCGAGGTGGCCCGCAAACCTTTGGGCTTTGGGATGCCGCCTCTCGCACCCCTCCGCCCCCTCCCCCTCTCACCCAGCCGACAAACGCGGGAGCGCCGCACCCGTGTCGCACTGCGGAGCGGTACGCGGCTCGCGCAGCCTCGAGCCGGCCTGCTCGGTGGAGGAGGGCGCCGCGGCACTGGAAGAGGTGCCCCGCCGCCGGGAGGGGCGACAGCGCCGAGAGGGGCGACAGCGGCGCCGCCTCAGAGAGGGGCGACCCGCCTGCCGCTCCGGACCCGCCCGCCGCCTCCGGAGGTGCGGCGGTGAGGGGGCCCTCCCCTTGCTCCTCGCGCCCCTCCCCTTGCTCCTCGTGCAGGAGAGCCGCGCCCTCGCCGAGCAGAGCGAGAGCGCGCTCGACGCCGCCGTGCCGCGCGCGCGCCTCGAGCGACGCCCACCCGCTGTAGAGCTGCAGCAGCCTACAGCTTGCGGGAGGCTGCTGAGGGGGAGAGCGCGGCGCAGCAAGGCGCGCGGCGGTGAGGAGGGCCGAGAGAGGGAGGCGCGTCTGCCCGCGGGGGAGGCATCCGGCTTTGCGAGCCGCCGCCGCTCTCGCTGCGTCGCCTGCGCGGGGGAGCGGTGGGCGGCGGTTGGCCCTCGTCCGCCGGCCCAGCTCTTGCCCTTGCCAGCTCTCGCTCCCGGCTGCAGATTGCGCGACGGCGGGCTCTCGCTTGGTGAGCGCGCGCCTTCCACAGCATCTCTCTCGCCGACGAGTAGCGGCGGCTACCCCACTCCAGCGTCGCCTGCGGTCCCGACGAGGCACGGGGTCAGCCGGAGCACGCCCTTCACCCGCCTTCCTTCCTCGGCGCTGCCGACGCGACGAGCGACGCGGCGGAGCGCGGAGCCGCCGCCCGCGCCTACAGGCAGGCTCCGAGAAGCGTCCGGGAGGCGCTCCCCTGCTCGCGAGGAGCGCGCGAGTCGCCCGGCGCCCGAGCGAGCAGCGAGCGGGCGCGGCCGCCGTTGCCGCACCGCTCCTCAAAGGAGGACCACTCGCGCAGCAGCTCCGCCTCCGCCTCGCCGCGCCCGCCGCGGCTGCTCCCCGGCCACCCCTCCCCCTCCTGCGCCCCTCCCGCCCCCTCGCCTCCCACCCCCTCGCCTCCCGCCGCCGCGGCGCAGGCGGCGCGGTACAGCGAGCGCGCCTGGCTCACGTTGGCGTGACGAGCCTCGAGGGCGGCCCACGCCGCGAGCACCGTGGGCGAGTCGGAGCAGTGCGCGTAGGCCGCGCGTGCCGCCTCGGTCCGCCCGAGCGACTCCTCCAGCTGCCCGAGCGCGTGCGCCGTGTAGTGCGCGCCGGGCGCAATCGCCTCACACGCGCCAAAGGCGGCGCGCGCCGCGGCGGGACGGCCGCACCGCGCCTCGAAGACGGCGTGCGCATGCGCGAGCTTCAGGTTGGCCGGACTCGCTGCGCGCGCCGAGAGGAAGAGCTCGCGAGCGCGCTCCGGGTACCCGGCGGCCGCCTCAAGCTGGGCGAGGGCGAGCGCCGCATGCGCGTCGGCAGAGTCGAGGCGCAGGCAGCGCTGGAGCAGAGAGCGGGCGAGCGAGGTGGACCCGCGCTGCTGCGCCGACTGAGCGCGGAGGAAGAGCGTGATCAGCTGGTGCTTGGAGCGCGCGCGCTGCCGCGATGAGCCGAGCACCGCCTTGCGGCCGGCCGCCACGCCTCGCTCCTGCGGCTGCGTCGCCACCAGCGCGACAGTTGCTGGCGGCGCGCGCAGCCACGACGCTCCGTCGGCAGCACCGCACCCGAGCGGACTGGCGGGCGAGACCCAGCCAAAGCAGACGGCGAGCATCGAAGGCTGTCGATGTGAGCAGGTGAGCTCGAAGAGAAAAATGACCACGAGCTCCCGGCTGCGCCAGCGCTCGCGCGGCGGCGGCCAGCCGTGCGAGTCGACCGTGCGAGCCGGTCCGAGTCCGGCCTCGACCGGCCGCGCAGCCCGCCCGAAGGCGACTAAAAATTTTGTTTTTTCATAGTTCCCCGCCGTTTGTAACGTTTTGTCCTCCGTCGCCTGCGGCGGACCCTCACAGCTCACAGCTCACTCCGTCGCTTTTCGTTGTGCTGCGGGCACGTCCGCTCTGCCAACAGCGCGTAACAGCGCGCGGCTGCTGGCTTGCAACAAACAATGCTCGTCCTGCTGTGGGCCTGCCCGGCGCAGCTCGCCTGCGACGCCACCGATGGGTGCCTCCTGCTCAACAGCAACATCGTCGGCCTTGGTGCTGCCGAAACGCTCACACAGCCGCAAGAGGTGAGCGCGAGCACCATCGCCCTCTCCGTCGAGTTCTGCACCGCCTCGATTGCCAACTTTGCCGCCTTCACGACACGCTGCTACTGCTACGGCAGCTCGTGCACCGTGCCTGGGCCCACGATTGTGACATCGCCGGGCGCGACGCTGACTGTCACCTTCACCAACAGCCTCGGCGCAAACCCAACGGGAGCGGTCACCGCAAACACGATGCACTCGCCCAACACGGTGAACCTGCACACGCACGGCCTGCACGTCGACCCGGCCGTGGACTCGATCTTTGTCGAGGTGGAGCCGGGCGAGAGCCACACGTATGCATACCAGCTCCCGTCTGACCACCACCCCGGCTTCCATTGGTACCACAGTCACCACCACGGCTCGTCCACCTTCCAAGTGATGGGCGGTCTGGTCGGCGGGCTGCGCGTGGAGCCGTCCAGTGCGAGCGATCTTCCGACGGCACTGCAGGCGATGGCGCGAGTCACGATGGTGGTGCACCACATAGCCCTCGACAACTCGGACACCTCGACCGACCCCTTCACTGTGTGGACCTACACGGACCTACATGGCCGCGTCGGGGCGACCGACTCGATCGGCGCTTCATACTCGTACTCGAGCGTGACAGACGCATGGGCCGTAAACGGCCAGTACCAGCCCCAGCACGCCATGGCACCGGGCGAGTGGCAGATCTTCGACGTTGTCAACGCGGCTGGCGACCGCATCCTCGAGCTCGAGATCAATACGGCCCTCCAGACGGCAGACGTGGGAGATCCCGCCTCTGTGAGCACAGCCACCACGTCGGGGGAGTGCTCCTCCTACCTGCTCGCCGTCGATGGGGTCTACCTCGATACGGCGCGCAGCGGTCCGCACGTGGACCACCTCGTGCTCGTTCAGGCGCAGCGGGTCTCGCTCGCGGTCAAGTGCGACACCGCAGGGACGTACTTTCTCCAAACCGCCTACTCGAGCAGCGTGACCAACTACGAGGCCGCCTCGGTGCAGAACCTCGTCACGCTCGTGGTGTCGGGCGGCGCCGTGAGCATGAGCGCCCCCACCGCGGATCAGACGTCCATCAGCAAGCCATGGTACCTGAACGACCTCACCTCCACCGCGTCGTCAGCGAGCTGGTCCATCGCCGTGGAGCAGACGGGCTGCTGCGACGATGCCGCCGCCACATACTGGCTGGGCATCGGTGACGACTGCTCGATGGCCGTCTTTGGTAGAGCCGAGGGTGACGCGCTCTGCGCAAGCGGCGGAAGCTGCGCGACGGACTGCGCGTTTTCGTGCGCCACTTGCGACGGCTCGGACAAGTACGGCTCGTGCTCGGGCACCGATTGGGCGGGCGTGAGCTCTTACCCACCCTCGTGCAACTACGCCTCAATGGACGGCGAGCAGGGAGCCAGCGGATCGTACGCCCACGTGGCGCAGCTGGGAACCGTCGAGACGATGACCATCTGGGGCAGGCGTGCCACCCTCGCCTCCGTCGCCGCCCCCACCCCGCTGCCGCCCCCGCACCTCACTCGGACCCGTCTCTGCTCCGCCTCCAGAGGCAAGGCGCCGCACCCGATCCACATCCACGTGCGAGCTTCGATCCGACCTGCTCGTGACGAGCTTCGATCTGACCGGCTTTCGCCCGAAATCATAGGTCAACCACTTCCAGTTCGTCGAGTACACCAAGGACACGGGGCAGGTTGCTACCGAGGGGTGGTACGGCAAGACAGGAGACTTTCGCGACACCTTTCCGGCGCTGGCAGGCTCGGTGGAGACGCGGGTCGTATTTGCTGACTTTTCCGGCGAGGTGGTCGTGCATTGCCACTTCTTGAAGCACGAGGCACGAGGCCAGCGTGCCCTGGCTCGGCCTGCGAACGTCGCTCTCTTCACCTGACACCTTGTGAAGAGTAGGACCTTGGCATGATGGACACCATCTACGTCAGCGCTTCGACGTCGCCCCCGTCGCCGCCCCCGTCGCCGCCCCCGTCGCCGCCCCCATCAGTAGTGTCCTCTCCCTCCCCACCACCCTCGCCGCCGCCATCTCCACCACCGCCCGGTGCCTCCTCGCCGTCTCCGCCTTCGCCCCCGCCCCCACTATCACCGCCGCCGGTGCCATCGCCGCTCTCGCCGCCGCCAGAAGGCGAGGTGGACGCGGGTCTCGTTGCTGCGGCAGTCGCAGGCGGCGTGGCCGCCGCGTGTGTGGCGACAGCCTTGGCCGTGCTCTACGCGCGCGCGGGAAGCACACGGAGTGTCAAGAGCGTTTCGCTTCCGGAGGCCTAGTGTTCCTTTTCGAAAAGGATACGAAAAATGGAGAATTGACGTTTCGTCATGCCTCAACGCGCTCAAGAGCGCCCTTCGCAAAGAATAATGTTCCATAACTACTGGGCTGGGTTTTTAGGCTTTGTGGGGTTGGCTCTCCCATCGACCCTCATGACCTCCTGCTGCGGTCTCTGAGATGGACACCAGTGGGTGTGGGACCACAGCCAGGATACACTCGAAGGCTGGGTAAGCAGTAGAGGTCGATACTCGACGCGTCCCACATGGTATGTGTCGCTGTCGGCACGCTGTCGACAGGACGTCGAGCGACACCGGTGGCAGTGCCACCCAGGAGTGGTCGGGCGGTCTCCTGTCATGAGAGAGCCACCATGTGAATTGTGATCCGTATGATGATTCCTGACAATCGCCTCAGTCAACTTTCGTCACAGTTCCCGCTCTGAGAGGAGCTGCGGGTCAGTTTGACAGCTGGAGCTGTGTCGCCGGCGTGCGGCGGCCTGCCTCCGGAGGTGCCTCAGAGCTGGACATTTCGCTGAGAATATGCGCGTCACTGTCATGCCAGCGCTACTCTGTACTAGCAGCTAGCACCAGCCGTGCGTCTCCCCCTTCGGGTCCACCCTCCCTCCGACCGAACGAGCGCCGCGCCAAAGAACCCGTCGCAACCGTGCCTCGCGGGGCTGAGCCGCAGGTAGCCGTCGTCGAAGGGCGCACCAAAGTGCTCCGGTGGCGCGAGCTCAAACTCGGCCCCGTCGGCCGAGGCCAGGAAAGCCTCGACCTGCGCCTCGTTCTCCTCGGGCAGCAGCGAGCAGGTGGCGTAAACCAGAGTGCCGCCTGGACGGACGAGCCTTGCGGCGCGCTGCAGCACCTCCGCCTGCACGGGAAGCAGCTCTTCTATGGGACGCGTCCGGCGCAGCCAGCGGGCGTCTGGGTTGCGCCGCCAGGCGCCGACGCCGGAGCAAGGCGCGTCGACGAGTACCCGGTCGAAGCTGCATCGGGGAGGGGAGGCGGGTGGAGGAGGGGTGGCGGGGAGAGGGTTGGCGGGGCGATCGGATCCGCCACGCGGGCGGTGGACGGCGCGTTGTGGGAGGCGCGCGGGGGCTGCCTCACGTCCGCTTCCGTCGCTTGAGCCACTTGTCCTTGCCCTGCTCGATGACGTGCGTCTGCACGTTGTCCACCCCCGCCTTCTTGCGGCGCGGCGCCCCGCGCTCGAGTCGCGCGTGATCGACGTCCATCGCAACCAGCCGCCCCTTGTTGCGCATCTGCGCCGCGAGCGCGAGCGTCTTGCCGCCTGCGCCCGCGCAGTAGTCGACGACGTGCTCGCCCGGCTTTGCGCCCAGCAGCAGCGCAACCAGCTGAGACCCCTCGTCCTGAGGGTCGACAACCCCCTCGCGCAGCCCGGGGATCGCACCCAAAGCAACCGCTCGCGAGGGCAGCCGGATGCCCACCGGCGAATAGGGCGTCCGCTCCGCCGCGAAGCCGGCGGAGCGGATCGCGGCGAGCGCCTCGTGCCGCGTCGCCTTGAGCGTGTTTACCCGCAAGTCCAGCGGGGCGTCCAGCTGCAGCGCGCGCAGCTCCGCATCGACGCCGTCGCCATAAGCGGCGCGAAACCGCTCCCACGCCCAGCTCGGGCACTCGAGGCGCGAGGCGGCGTCCATCTCCGCACCCTCGAGCGGAGGCGAGAGAGAAGAGAGCCACCGCCGCTCGGCGGCTGTCGTCTGCTCGGGCAGCCCCACGCCGCAGTCGCCGCCGTCGCCAGCCCCGCCGTCGCTCAGCCTCAGGCTCGCGAGCAAGCGAGAGCGAGGGGCCGGCGTCACGCCCGCCGCCCTGAGCCTCGCGTCGATCCTGCCTTGCCTGCGCGAGACGCCCTCCAGCAGCGCGGCGACCGAGGAGCGCTCCTCCGGCCCGAGGCCTCGAGCACGCACCCTCTGCGCCAGCAGCGCGTCGAGCGGCGCGCCGCACTTGGCCTGCAGCTCGAGCAAACCGAGCGCCTCGGCCTGCGCCGCCGCCTGCGCCTGCGCCGCCGGCTTGCCCCCCGGCCTGCTCGCAGCCCGCCTCCTCCCGCCCTCGCCGCCGCCCGCGTCTGCCTGTGTGGTCGGCAGGCCCGGCCCGCCGTCGGCCCAGTCGAGGAGCTCCCACCCCTCCTCCCCGCCGACCAGCTCCTCCCCCGCGAGGCGCCACTCGTGCTCAAGCTCGTCCTCACCGCCCGCGCAGACAAAGACCAACCCCTCTGCCGGCGCTGGGTGAGCGGTCAGCTCCTGCCGGCCACCAGTGCAGAGTGCGAGCAGTGCGGCAGCCTCGTCGCCGCCGGCGGCAGCGGCACCGTCACCGGCCGCCACACCGGCCGCTACGGCGACGGCGGTTGCCACGAGCGTGCGGACCTGCCTGCGGAGAAAGCGGTCGCCGACGAGGTCGAGCCGCGCTGCGAATGGAGCGGACCCGCCCGGTGCAGCAGGCAGCTCCACGAGCCGGCAGCGGCAGAGCCGGAGGAGGGTCGTCGTGTTCTTGCCCGCCGGAACGCTCCGGCCGAGCGCGGCGTAGTCGCGCGGCGCTCCTGCCAGCGGCCGCAGCAGCGCGTCGATTGTGGCCGCCTCCTGCGCCGCGGCCTCGCGAGACTGCCCAGGTGCTGGCGGCAACAGGTAGGCGTACCGGCGCCAGGCGGTGCTGTACGTCGCGTGGTAGCGCTGCTCAGCGATCCTCGCCTGCACCAGCCGCAGCGCTGCTGGGGCGGGCGACGCCCTCGCCAAAGACTCGGCGAGGGCCTCCTCGCAGAGCCCCGCAGAAGCGTGGAAGCTCACCCGCTGGGCGAGGGCAGAGACGCCGGCGTCAGTGCGGCCGGCACACGAGAGGCGGAGCTCACTCCTCCCGTCGTGAAGTGCGGCGAGCGCGTTCTGGAGGCAGCCTTCCACTGTCGGCCGCGACGCTGCCGGCTGCCACGCGTATCCGGAGAAGGCCTGGCCAAGGTAGGCCACCTCGAGCCTCCATGTGACGCGCGCGTCAAGCTCCCGTGCGTCGAGATCCCCTCTCGCTGGCCATGGGCTGGGAAGAAGCGGAGCACCATCGCCGGGAAGAGCGGTGTCGCCTCGAACTGCTGCCGCAATCGCCGTCTCAACGCTCCGCCAATCGCGTGCGGCGATCGATGCGGAGGCCTCGCTGCGCCAGTCCTCGGCCACCATCTGCAGGCGCATCTGTGGCGCATAGAGGCTCGCCGAGACGTGTAGAAATCTCATGGCGCCGCGCTGCCACCCTAGCCTTGGGTTCGGGCTCGCGGGTGTCTCGTCGAAAGCCAGACGAAGAGAATCACGCTCGCGCCGAGTACTTCGCCAAAGAGGTCGGCAGCTCGAGCGCCGTCGACCGCACCGACTACGGCACAGCCTCCGGCAGCGCCCGGGGCTTCGCCCAGCACCACTCGCAACAGCTCTCTCGCGCCGCCGTCTGTGGCGATGCGCAAAACATCAACAACGCTGCTCGCAACATGCGAGCGAGTCGCGCACTCATTCATGTGACCGGTCTCAATGTCCCACCCCCCTGCGCGCGGGCCTTCTAGGCCCGCGGGTAGTCTCCCTCCATCCCCAGGGCCTCCAGGGCTCGCACCTCAACCTCTCACAGACCAGCGCTGACCGCTCCGGGACGCACGCCGGCGAAGCACCATCAAGCTGCTGTGTACGGACCCGGCATCGCCTCCCCTGGCTTAGCTAGACTGAGAGATATTGTGCACAAAGTTGGTCTCTACAATATATACACTGACACTTTACCTCCCAGAGCTCGTCCCGGTCCGCCACGGCCATCCTCGGCCTCCGGTGGGCCCCCGGCCGCGGCGCGGTGCGGCCTGGTGCGGCGGAGTCACAAATCCGACGGCAGAGCACCGGGACGCGATCGGGCGATCTGAGGTCCAACTAGGCGTATGCATTGCCCATCCAGGGCTATCACCTGGACTCATCAACAGGCGCCTGCGGCGCCGTGGTCACGAGGATCGAGGTGTTGTTCACAGTTCACACCTGCCCAACCACTCGTGCAGCACAGTAGGGTCGCCCGAAGCAGTCCACCTCCGGGTACGTACGTACTTTTAGCTTACCTGGGAGCAAAGGGAGAGGGAGGGGTGTTCTCTAGGCCCCTAAAGGCCCTACGCGCGGCGTGAGAGCTCTCTCTCTCTCCGGGTATATTCGTAAGAGCGATCACTGGAATAGAGCGCTAACAAAGCAAACGAAAAAGAAACATGCCGCCGCGCGAGCGACGCTCCGAGATCGCCCGAGATAGCGCGGCGCGGCCCCGAGCGCCGAGAGGCGAGGTGGATGGGTTGGGGAGCGAGGCCGAGGGGGCTGAAGTGTGTTCAGTGCGGTAGATGGTCAGCTCGGGGCGCGTGAGCCGGACCGTTGGGGGCCGGTCGGCTTCCATTTCTCTCTGCGTTCTCGCACATGGAGTGCGAGGTATCTCGTCTGTCGCCGTCCCAAACTGTCACTGCTCCCCTTTCTCCCGGCCGGGGTGGGGCGCGCGTGGGGGCGGCGGGTGTGCGGGATGTCTGTGGGCCCGAGAGCGATGTGCGTGTGTCCGCCTTGCGTTTGTTTTCATAACATCGAAGGCTAGCTCAAAAAGAAACGGGTGGCGGCGGGTGTGCGGGATGTCTGTGGGCCCGAGAGCGATATGCCATGTCCGCCTTGCTTTGTTTCAACGAAGGCTAAGCAAAAGAAACAAAGCCGCGCGACTCATGCGACGGAAAAATCGGTCGTTTGCGCAGGGGGCGGGACGATCCATGTTGGCGGACGGCAACGCGTGAGCGGATGGAGACCGGGTCTCAACGCCGCTTAGCAAGACTGGCACTGCCACTCCTGCTGCTTGCCCCTGCTCTGCTCCCCGCCCTCGCACTGCTCCATTCAGGAAGCGTCGGTCCTCTCCACGCGATCTTCGACCTACCCTCACTTCCGTCAGCATTCTTCTCTGGAGACGCATGGACGCCCTTCGATGTCATCCCTCGACCTCCGTTCCTGGGCGGCCTAATGGTGAGCAACACAGGAATGCGCCCACCGGCGGGTCCTCCCAGTCCAGCATCGCCGAATCGGGTGCGCTAGACCGCCCTCGCACTCATGCACCATGCAGCATGACCACATGCTCCCGAGCCTGCTCATCATCCTCGCGCCGCACCGACCCCCATCAGATCGCCTGTCGAGAACTGCCGACGTTCTACGATGCCGTGGCGCTCGACATGATCAACCAGTACTTTGACCGCTTCACGGTGCCGGAGCCGCCCAACCCTGCCGAGGAGCACGACACCATCGGGCCGATATCCTTCTACCGCACAAACATGACGATGACGTCGGTGGAGGTGACCCTAACCCCTCCAATGATGCCACTTGCACATCTGTGGCACCAACTCGCACAAACGGCACACGGGTTGCTGGCCGTCGTCGTCGTCACCACCTCTCTTTTGCAACCGCAGATTGGGAGCTGGAAGCTGCGTGGCTGCCAGCTGGAGGGTCACCCCCCGATTACGACCCGCAGCTTCCTCAACGCTAGTCTAGGCAGCGATAATTATCTATCGAGGATCAGGGGCGACGTGTTCGGAGTCGACCCCAACGACATAAAAAACCATATGGATATGAGGCTGCCCGATGTCGTGAGGTTGGAGTTTTACGACGTGAAGGCCACGATGACGTTGAACTACTGGGCCAAGGCGCGGCAATCCTCACCACAACCTCCATCTTTGTGGGGGGCGGTGGAGCTCACGGCATCTGAACGAGTCTCCCTAGGCGGGGTTTGCGTACTTGGGAGGCGGGTCGGTGTCGCTCTCAGCCGGCGGCTCTTTTTGGCTCGACGACATCTCGTTGGATCCGGACGACATCAAGGCCATGCGCGGAGGCAGCGGGTCTGAGATTGCCTGTGGCGGTGACATGAGGGTGAATGATATGCATTATACCGGCACTTATGAGGGTCTCGAGCTGACCTTCAACAGCGACGGCGTGAACCCGCCCGACGTGGTCGGGTACGCTTGCGATGGGCATGAGACCATCGTGTCCAACCCCTTGGCGTCCGGGTGGTACTGGGACGGGCCTGGCGAGAGACCTATTGGGATTCGGCAACGGGCGATGCAGCTCATGCGAGACAAGTGCGGCGAAGGACTCATCACCGACGACATCACGCACGTTTGTCTGTTCATGGCCGGCTGGAATCAAGGCGCGGCGCACCAGTTCCTCTGCCCGTTCTGCGACGACGGGTTCGATGCTGCCACCAAGGCCACAGGGGCCATCGTCGACATTGGCAAGACAATCACAGGGGCGACAGTGGGGGCGGTCCTACCCGGGCTCGTTCCATCGGGGGAGGATAGCACGGGGCGGCAGCAGGACGACGCAGAAGAAGAGGGCGACGCATCGGTTGCTGCGTCGGACTCATCGGCGAAGAAGGAGCACTCCCGTCTCTCCTGGGGCAACGCTTCAATCACAGACCCGTCGCAGGCACTGGCACAGGCCGGCAAAGGAGTAGGTTCGCGATTTCACGGTTGAGGAATCTCTCATCCGATATCTCGCGAATTTTCAATTTAATGCGGGCGCACACGCGCCACTGCACTGGTCTGTGCAGTGTCTCTCGGTCTCGGGTCTGCGTCTTGCGCGTGGCTATAGAGGGCTTTCGGGCTTGCAGGTGCACCCCGCCGCGCCTTGTTATAATATCAACAATGGAACAAGGAAGCTCACATCATCTCATATTCGGGGCTATCGTTCATATATTTCAATAAAAAAACCTGGGGGTGTTACCTCTTGGGTGACGTCCGCTGCAACGACGCGGTCGCGTGAGAGGGACTCGCGCTCCCCGCATCGGCCGCCGACCGCGGCGGTTTGAGTGGCAGGTCCTCGGACCAGAGGGCGTACCGCGCAGCGGGGGCCTCGTCGTCGCTGGCGTGCCCCTCTCCGAGCAAGGCGCAGCGCGCTGGGCCGAGCAGCCGGCGCTTGAGGGCGGAGAGGACGCAGACGGCGGCGTAGGCGGCGCACAGGACGAGGGTCAGGCCGGCGCCGATGAGCGGCGACGTCTTGACGGTGAAGTCCATGAAGAAGTAGACGGCGTCGCCGGTCCAGTAGGCCTGCAGCCCGTTGAAGAGCCCGTACAGCATCGCCCAGCTCACGACGAGGCCGAGGTGGCGCGGCGCGACGAGGAGGGCGTCGAGGAAGAACTCGAGCGACATGAAGAGCACGTTGGCGCCGTGCATCGACAGCGAGGTGAGCGAGAGGTCGCGCCGCAGCTCGGTCGTGTCTCCGGTCCGCTCGGCGATGGCGGCGTCGTTCGGGTAGATGACGAGCCAGACGACGACGGCGATCAGCACGCTCATCGGCAGGTTGAGCTCGAGCAGCACCTTGTGCGTCACGAGGGGGGCAGGGGTGGGCTCACTCCACACGAGGCAGCGTTGTTGATTCAATAGGCGGCTACCTTGTGCGTCGCGGCGGCGATGCGGTGGTCGGGCGTCACCGGCCCGTGCTCCGCCAGGTGGCGGCAGCAGGAGCAGGAGAGGGCGGTGCCGAGCCCGAAGAAGGCGGTCAGCGCGATGAAGTTCCACACCGTGAAGAAGCGGAGGCAGTTTGGTCCCTCATAGAAGGACGAGTAGGTGAGCAGCCCGAAGCACCACAGGAAGATGGCGGTCCGAACCAGCAGCAGCGCTCGCTCGCTCACGCACGAGGACGACGTGGCAGACGCGGCGCGGACGGCGCCTTCGGAGCGGAATGCCATCCAGCCGGAGCGCGCATTCACCCACCAAAAGTGGCTCAGGCCAAGGCTGAGCTGCGCCGCGATGAGAGCAAACGTCGCGGGCCGCGCCCACTCCGTGTGCTCCCAGGGCGGCGGTGGTGATGGCGGCGGCGGGGACGGCGGCGGCGGCGACAGCGGCGGAGGAGGGGACGGAGGCGGAGGGAAAGGTGGCGGAGAGGGCGAAGGGCACGGCGGTGGCGATGGCGGCACAGGCGGTGGCGACGGCGGGTCTGGCGACGGAGGCGGCGGCGGTGATGGAAGGGGTGGCAGCGAAGGTGGCAGCGCCGGCGCCGACGACCCAGCGCCCATCCGGGCTTTAGCCAGGCGTGCGAAGCCAGGCGTGCGAAGCCAGGCGTGTGAAGGGCGCCCGCAAAAAGAATTTTGCTTGGTCCAGTTCAACCTTCTTGAACAGCGCTTGACGCATGGCGTTAAAGCGGCACTTCTCTCGCGTCGGCTCCGCCGAGCGCTGCACAGAGACCATCTTCACTGACCACCAACGACAGGTGTGCGAGTACGCGCTCGTCTACGCGGAGAAGAAGAACGACGCTCGACGGCGAAGGGCGTACTCGGTCTCCTTCACCGCCACGCAGAACGGCGACGTCATCGTCCAGCTGCACCCGCACTCGCAGCTCGAGCACGCTGTGCGCCACGAGCGGCAGGCGCAGGCCACGGAGCCGCCAGCGAGCGCGAGCCCTGCCTGCGGCGCCGCCCGCCCCTGCCGCCGCGCCGCCAGCCGCGGAGCCGGCGCCCAAGACGTATGCCGCCGCAGCCGCATCGCAGCCGCAGGGTGCCACCGCGGGTGGCCAGCCCGCCGCGCCTGCGGGCCCGGCCGCCGCCGCGCGCGTGCCGCCGCCGCCCAGCGGCGGCGGAGTGCGCGGCTGCACCTTCACTGTCCCCGCCCGGGCAGGAAGCGCGGGCGGCAGCAGAGGGCCGCACCAGCGGCCGCGCCCAATCTGGACCCCGGCTCGACAAAAACGCGCTCTCAGCGCGCGGCGGCGGGCCCTCACGCCAGTCTCGCTCTCCCTCACCGGACTCGCCGCCCGCCAAGCGGGCTTCCTCCGCCGACTCGTCCGGCTACGACACCGATTTACCGGACGAGGTGCAGCAAGAGGCTGTACGCAAGGTCTGCGGCGCGCTCGGCATGAGGGAGCAGTTCGAGGCGGCGATGGCGGCGGGCGAGCTGCTCGAGATGCTCGAGAGCTTGCCGCGAGGGGCGGTCGAGGCCTCCGTTCGGCTGATGCGCGGTTACAACCGCACCCACGGGCGAGTGGCCAGAGCCCATTCTCACCAGCCCTACCCCGCAGCGCGGCCGCTCGCCAAGCCCCGTCGATGAGTGGTCAGATGCGGATAGTGCCCGAGAGCGAGGGGTCCGGGGGGGAGCACAAACATATATATATATAGGACGCCCAGCCTTACCCTCGTGCCGCCGAGTGCATATCCTATGCGAGAGAGATCCCCTGTGCCCTGTGCCCAGCCCTCTCCGCGCGGCGATGCGCCCTCCCCCCTCGCTTTTGCAAAATCCTGCAAAGGTGGGGACGTGTCTGTCCTCGACCCAGGGCCCTAGCTTGGGATGTCCGTTGTATTTATTATTTATAGGCTACAAACACTGAAAACGTGGCTCCAGCCAGTGCACTACTTCCAAGCGTCCACCCGGGAGAGCGGCTTCGTACTTCACATGTCAAACACCAGACGCCCATTCGCGTCACAGGATCGCCGTCACCGCCGCCGACGGCCTCCGCCCCGACATCCTCGCCGAGGAGTCCGAGGCTTGACGAGCCAGCGACGAGCCCTTCTCTGGCACCGTGCTCCGGTTCCGGTCGCAACAGCCCGCGCTGAGGGCCGCGTGTCCCTCGAGCACGGCCCAGGCAAACGCCCACAGGACCGCGATCATGATGGCCGCCGCGAGCGCCACGGGAGCGTCCCCAAGGTTCCAGCCGGACAGGTGCACGTCCAGCCACTGCCCGCCGGTGATGCAGGTGGCGAGTCCCAGCAAGCAGGTCGACGCGCCAATCAATCGATGCGCGATCCGCCACAGAGGGCGGATGCGGGCGGATTTGGCGGGGCGGAGCGCTCCCCCGGCGCCCTGCAGCAACGACGCGGCGAGCAGGGCCACGCCCATGATCGAGTGGGCACTTGCGAGGTGCCTGCTCTCGTCGACCATGAAAAAGGCGAGGGTGAAGCCCGCGACGGAGAGCATCAGCGCCGCCGCGAGAAGCGCCCTGTGGAAGCGGAACCAGGCGGCCGGCTTCGCCGACTTGGCCTCGCCAAGGGAAACCTTGCCGAAGCGAGCCAGCAGTACGCCGGCCGGAGCTAGCAGCATCCAGGCGAGTCCCATCAGCAACGAGTGCGCAAAAAAGCTTATCGCGGCGCGAGGCAACCCTGGGATGGTGAAGTCCACCCCGCTGGGCGCAGCCGGCGGCGTAGGCGGTGTCGGCGGTGACGGCGGCGTTGGTGGTGGGGGAGACGGCGGCGGCGGCGGCGGCGGAGAAGGAGGAGGTCTCGGCGGAGGCGGCGGTGCCTGGGGCTGGCCGACTGGGATCCGAGGTGGCGTCCTAGGTGGTGGCGGCAGCGGCGGGGGAGGAGGCGGTGGAGGCGGCAGCGGAGAAGGCGACACGATGCACGAAGGCATGGATCGAAACGTCATCGAGTTGGCGTCGCCGGCGAGTGAGATGTCATCATCAAAGGCGGGAATTCCGCCGTCCCTGGTCCACAAGCAGCACGGGTCGCCGAGCTCTAAACCGTTGCTCTGGCCATCGCCATCTGTATCGGCGTTGCAGAGGGCCTCTGTCCATCGGTAGCCCTCGGCTGCCAGCGCAAAGCGGAATTGCGTCTGCCCGCAGCAATGGCCCGTGTCCTGTCCATTGGCGTAGCCGTTGGGCACGTAAGCTTGGTAGGACGAGTAGGCTTGCGAGGATTGAACGCTCAGCGATAGCATCCAGCAGCTGTGACTGCGAGACGGACGGCGACCGACCCTCAGCTCGCGTTCCGCGAAATTCATACCCTCCACGGTGCGGCGGATAAAACGCGCACCGCCGCGGCCTCGCAACCTGGGGTACATCGGTATCCTCGCCCAAGGGCGTAAAATAGGAAATCTTTTCCCACGGCACACTCACTGAAAGAGGAAGCTCGTCTCGCGGTCGGCCACCATCCGCGCGGCGCGAGCGTCCCCCACCAGCCGGCGCAGCGGCTGCAAGTCGTACTTGCTGAAGAGCGCGACGCAAGTTCCACCCGCGGCGGCGCCGCCGCCCCGCGGCTGGTCGGACGGCGCGGCGCAGAGCATCTGGGCGAGCTCCGGGTAGAAGTGGGCGTATGAAGGCAGGCCGTAGAAGGCGAGCTGCGCGTCGCCCTTCAAGAGGTGGCGCCGGAAGAAGTGGGCGCGCTCGGTGTAGACGAGCAGCCCCTCGAGCTCGCCTACATCCCCAGCACTCGCAGCCTCTCTCCCTCGGCCCAGCTCCGGGCAGCCCGCCCCTCCTCGGCGCGCCTCGCTGCAGCGCCGCACGCGCGCGTGCCACGTCCGGCGGCTCCGAGTACTCGGAGAGGCCGACGAATGGGACGTCCTCGTCCCGCAGCAGCTGGCGCACGCGCACAAAGTCAAAGTACGACGGCACGAAGAGCACTGCCTGCGCGCGGCGGCCGCCCGGCCGAGCCGGCTCGCCGACGGCGCGCAGCAGCGCGGGCAGGAGCCGCTCCTTGAATGCGTGCAAGCGCGCGTCGGCGAGCTCGGCGGGCGAGGCGGCGTCGAAGCGGACGAAGAGCTGCCTCGTGCCGGAGGGCACGGCGGAGAGGCAGCCAACGCCGTGCTCGGGCAGCGCGGCGACGCGGCCAGAGGCGTTGCGGCAGCTGCGCATCGCGAGCGCTCGGAGCTCGGGCGCCTCGTGCGCCGCCAGCAGCAGCGTCTGGCGCAGCCGCCCGCTGAGACCGTCGAGCGCGTACGGGCGCACGCGGCTGAAGTCGGTGTCTCGCGTCTCGGAGGGGGTGGCGTTGAGGAGGGAGAGGACTCGCGCCACGTGCGCCCAGTTCTGCATCAGGAAGACATCCGCGTGCAGCAGCAGCAGCACCTCGAGGGATGAGGGCCAGACCACAATTAAATACAGTACAGCATCGACCATGATAGCAGCACCTCGATGGACGAGAGCCAGTCCGAGTCTATAATATGATGTGTAATAGCAGCACCTCGATGGACGAGAGCCAGTCCGAGTCTATAATATGATGTGTAATAGCAGCACCTCGATGGACGAGAGCCAGTCCGAGTCTGCGCGCGCCTCGCCCGCGCCGCCGACACCGAGGCGCAGCCCGAGCGGCGATGCGACCACGAGGTCGGCCTTGTAGAAGGCGGCGTACAGCTTGGCCGACTTGCGCGAGAGGCGGAGCCCGCAGCGGAAGCAGTCATCCGTGTTGCCTAGTGGCTGATTGACATCGGTCATTGGTGATTCACTCGAGCCCGCCGCGGAAGCAAGGCGTCCGAGTCGCCCTCGAACATGGACCGGTAGTCCTCCGGCTTGGCGCGCGGTATGGGCGGCTCGCCCTCGCGATGCGCGAAGTCGGAGAGGAAGCGGGCCTTGTTCTCCACCTGTTGGGCCACTGGGTGGTGTTGTTGGTCTGAGGTTGAGGCGGAGAGGGAGCGGCCCTGGCGGCTCCGTCGCCTGCTCGATGGCGTCGGGCAGCAGCTCGAGCAGCGCCTTGACGAAGGCGAGGGCGTGGGAGCGGAAGGGGAGCAGCACCAGCACGGTCGGCCGCGTGAAGCCCTGGTCGGCGGGCGACGTCCCCTTCTGCGCCGCGCGCAGCCTCTGCCGCGTCACGACCAGCACATGCTGCAGCGTGTGCAGTGCGAGGGCGCGCATCAGCCCTCCCCCTTCGTCGCCGTAGGACGCCGGCGCCGCGCAGGGCAGGTAGACGTCGCGGTACGAGCTCGCGGCGTGAAGCACGGAGCGGCCCGTCGCTGCGAGCTTGCCGCCGTGCTCCGCCACCGCCGCCGCGTAAGACCTCCGGAGGGGAGGCAGGCTCTGGTTAGGGTTGGGGTTAGGGTGAGGGTGAGGGTTAGGGTTAGCGTAAGACCTCCGGAGGGGAGGCAGGACGCCGGCGGCAGCGAGCGCCTCGTCATCGCTGGCTCCGGCGGGCTGCTCGGGAACCGGCGGCCGGTCGGGCGGCGCGGTCACCTCCACCCGCCCGACACCGCGCAGGGCGGCCTCGCTCCCGCGCAGAGAAGCTTGCGCCGCGTCCAGCTTTGCCTCGTCCCACGAGGCGTCAAAGTGGCGCGAGTAGGCGGCGGAGCGCCAGTCCGCCGCCGAGACCTTGACCTTGTCGCCGCCACTCTCCTCGCCGACCTCCTCGCCGTCGCTCTCCAACTCCTCCTCGCCCTCCTCCTCCTCCTCCTCCTCGCCACCGCCCTCCTCGCCACCGCCCTCCTCGCCGTCAGCTCCCTCACCCTCCTCACCCTCCTCACCGTCGCCCTCCTCTGGCACGACCTCCGTGCCATCCTCGCTGTTCGCGTCCTCTCCCTCATCTAGCAAGTCATCGTCCTCCAGGTCCGCCTCGCGCCGCATCGCACTGCCCGTGGATGCCGCGGTGCTGAGATAGCCACGCAGCTTCTGCATCGCGCTGGCCGACGCCAGGCCGGCGGCTGCCGGCCGCTTAACTGCGCGGTCTTGCTGACCGCTCGAGTTGTGGCGCTTGCGGGAGCGGCGGCGAGCCATGGTCGACGTGGGTGGTGGTCGCGGAACGAGAAACGCCAACCAAAAAACGAAAAAAAAACCGGCACTAACGATAATAAGCTAAAGCTACATACACTGAAAAGTACGTACATCGAGAGATAGAGAAGAGAAAGAGACAACACACTGAAAAAGAAAAGGCGGCGCGTGCGGCGCGCCGAGGGACCTCTTCCGTGAGACCTCGACCGCCGCCCGGCCCGCACCACCGAAGCACGTCGCACCGGCGCCTGCGCGGCCCTGAGAGTGCACTGCCGGGTGACGTGGATAGCGGATGACGACCTCCTAGGGTGTGATGTCGGCTGATGCGGAGCGTGTCCGTGTCAAGTTCCCCAACGACGAAGTAGCCACCAGCCGTCGAGACGCTTCGGCCGTCTCCCTGCTGGTCGACCTCCTCGTCCTTCCCTCGTCGCACGTCCGCCTCCGCGTGGCCGCCTCCCGCCTCACGCCGGCGGTCTCGGCTCGCCTCGGCAGCAGCCTCTCTGGCCTTTGGAGCGAGCTTGGAGGGCCGCCAGGCGGGCACGTGGTTGAGCCGCTTGCTGGACTGCCGTACAACGACGAGCTGCATGCTGTGGAGGCAGCCGCCGCCGCCGGCGACCTCCACTTCTCCTTTCTCATCGGCTCGGCGCTCCTCGAGCGGCTCCTCAACGAGCTCGTCGGCGGCGGCGGCCGTGCCGGACTCCTCCTCAAGGACCTGATTGCGCACAAGGAGGTTGAGAGGCGGCTCGGTGCCTGCGCCGTGGCTTGGCTGAGCGCGCTCTTCTCGCCCAGCAGTCTCAACCTCCGCAACCTGATCTGGCACGGCTTCCTCGCCCCGCGCGAGCTCGAGCAGCGCCACGCAGCCTCGCTGCTGCGCCTCCTCTCCAGAGCTGCGGCGGCGCTGGGCGCGGCGCGGAGAGCGGAAGCGGCTCTGTGGCGGCCGCCCGCGCCGTGCTGGGACCCGAAGGAGGCGGACGCGTCCCTCGGCGGCGCGTGCGGCCTGCTCGACGCGGCGCCGACGTTCCCTCCTCCCCCCGCGGACGGGTGCTGCCTCCTCTGCCTCACCTCGCCCATGTGCCGCGTCGGCCACGCGGAGAGCGTGCGCCGAGGCCTCTCCGCCTACCGCCGGCGCCGCCACCTCGAGCCGTCGGACTAGAGGCTCGCCAGCACTCTCATGCCTCACAATGCCGTGCAGGCGCGACTTTGCCACCTTCGCCTGCCTCGTCCTCCCCGCGCTCGAGGCTGGGCTGCGGGGCAGCTTTGTGCCCGCCACCCAGTAGCATGGCAAGGCCCCGACACGGCTCAGGGACGGCTCGAGAGGAAGTAGGCAGCTTTGTGCTCGCAAACCCGGCCGAGGCGAGTCTCGGAGCGGCGCACGTCGGCGCCTACTTCTCGACGCTGGACGGCTGGGGTCGCGCACCGCCCCGCCGCCACTGGCCCGAGGTCCGATCGTCGTGACGGCGGGGCTGGTCACCGCAGGCCAGCGCTCCAAGCACCAGCTGCTGCTCGCGCCGCACCTGCACTCGGACGGGTCTCCGAACCGGCTGCTGGCGTGGCTGGGCGATGGGATGCACGCGCTGCTGCTCGACCTGTTTCTGCACGCGGCGGGGCCGGGGCTGCGGGCAAAGTTCGCGCACGGCGAGGCTGCGCTGCTGCCGGCCGCCTCGCCGCCCACCGACGAGGGCGGCGAGGCGGAGGCGGGCGGCGAGGCGGGCGGCGAGGCGGGCGAGGCGGAGCGGGGAGTGCCCGTCGCGATGAGGCTGCTGCACGCGGCCTTCCTCTCTCTCTGCGCCGCCTCGCACTCCCCCGAGAGCCTCGCCGAGCTGCGCCGCGAGGCCCCCGCCCTCGAGGCGTCCGGCCGCCTCGCGCGCATTCTCGGCGCCGCCGCCCGGCTGCGCCGCCGGTACCAGTCTCAGTGCGACCCGCTCGCGCTGCTCGCGAGGGCGCGCGCGCGAGCGCGTGGCGCCGTCGAGAGGTCGGTCGCCGAGGGGCGGCTCTACGCGGTGCGCCGCCGCGCCTCCCGGCCGCCAGAGGAGGAGGGCCCGGCCGGCGCTGACTGCGAGGTGACGTGTCCGGCTGGCGGCGGCACGCTCACGCTTGTGCTGGCGTGTGCGGTCCGGCCAGCCGACGTGGCGGCGCTGCGGAGAGCGAGCGAGCTGAGCGACAAGGTGCGAGCGGCGCTCGACGCACTGTCGTCCCGAGGCGCTCCTGGGCCGGGCTGCGCTCCGGGCTGCGAGGCTGGCTTGGTGGAGTGCAGCCGGAGGGCGGTCCTCAGGCTCTCGGGGCGCTTCTGCGAGCTGGAGTCGACCCGGCTGCGCGGCCTGGCCGAGCGGGCGGCAGCGAGGCGCGCGAGCACCTCCCAGCGGAGGAGCCTCCTGGTCGGCTGCGAGAGCACTCTGGCGCTGCGCAGGCTGGCGGAGCTCGCGCTGGCGCTCGAGGCGAGGCACCCGCTCCGAGAGGCGTCGGCCGGCGAGGCGGGCGAGGCCGGCGGACAGGCGCCGCTGCAGAGACTGCACGCTTGGATGGACTCGTTATGCGCGGCGCACGAAGCCGGGAAGGTGGGCCAGTTGGTCGAGATTGGAACGACCTTCGTGGAGGGGTTGTTGGCGACTTGAAAACTTTCAAGTGGCTTGGACTCAGAGAGTAAGAAAAAACCACGCGTCGACGTTCCGGCGTGGCTCGTCGTCGCTGTGTGTGCACATGCAGGACTCGCCCTACTCCTTCTTCGGCTGCCACGTGCTCAAGGGCAAGAAGCACGCCCTCCCCGTTCGCCCAGGCCGCGTGCTCCATCTCAAGCAGGCCGCGGTCAGCGGGCCGGCGACGGGCACCACGCGGCTGCTGATCCGCACCGCGGCGCACCAGACGCCGCTGGTGCTGTGCTCGATGCGGCCTGGGTGCGAGCAGAGCACGATCACGGCGCTTCTCGAAGAGCGCGACGCCGCCACGCTGGAGGTGACCGGTGCGGGTGCCGTGCACGTTTGCGGCACGTGGCTGGAGCGGGATCTGCTTCAGAGCGCCGACAGCTACGAGATGGATTCCGAGGAGGGCGAGGAGGAGAGTGGTGAGGAGGGGAGCGGCGAGGAGTCCTCCGACGAGGAGGAGGACGCGGCGCTGCGCGGGGCTCTCGACGATGACGACGAGGGCGAGGACGGCGAGAGCGGCAGCGGCGAGGAGGACGGCGAGAGTGGCGAGGAGGAGGAGAGCGACGAGGAGAGCGAGGAGATGGATGCGGCGCCGCCCGCTGGCAGCAAGCGGTCGGCGCCCGCGCTCGCTCCGCAGAGCAAGAAGGTGCCGCGCCACGCAGAAGACGAGGACGACGAGGAGAGCGACGAGGAGAGTGGCGAGGAGGAGGGCGAGGAGGAGAGCGGCGAGGAGGACGACGAGGAGAGCGGCGGCGAGGAGAGCGGCGAGGAGGGCGGCGAGGAGGGCGGGGACAGTGGCGACGACAGCGAGGTCAGCGACGCGGGCCACGGTGGCGGACGTGGCGGGAAGGGCGGCACCAGTTTCTTCGGGAACGGCAAGGGATCGCCCGGCGGCAAAGGCAAGGGCGGCAAAGGCGGCAAGGGCGGGAAGGGTAAGGGTGACGGCAAGGGAAAGGGCAAGGGAAAGGGAAAGGGAAAGGGCAAGGGTGGAAAGGGAGGTAAGGGTGGAAAGGGCAAGGGCGGCTACTGAGCGCCCCGTCGCTGAAACGCATCACGGTTGGCAGTGTGGCGTTGGGCTTCGTTCCACTCGTCTCGTAGCTCGTCTTGTAAAAGCCTTCGGCGCACGCGGCGACGGCGTACTGCAGCATCGACCAGCGCGGGCGGTCGCCGTCGCCCTGAAGCCAGTCTCGCAGCTTGCCCATGGAACAGAAACCAGAGGGCTGCGGGCCCACATCTCTAGCCACACCACCTGCACAAAGATCGCAAGGGCGGGGGCGTGTGAGTGAGTATTCTTGATACGAAACCACGACGACACACACCAGTCGACTCGCATCGGTTGCCTCCATGAACGGCGGAGCTATTCTCGCGCCACACACACACACACACACACGGGCGGGGGCCTGTAACTTTTACCTAGCCATGAAAGGTCGCGGAAGCCGGAAGCCCGCACGTGTGCGTCGTCTCTGCCCCTGCCAGCAGCCAGACCCTCCTGGTGTGCACTGACGTGTGATGTTTCACCGAGGCAGGCCTCTTCCCGAAGCCGACGACGAGGACCTCGAATTTACCGCTCAAGCGGCGCCGCCGCTCGTGTGGCTACGCACCACTGGCGAACTCTCAGGCCACATCGCCGAGCTGCTTACCGACGACGGCTCCGGAAGAGACTGCAAACTCCGGGTTTGCGGCGAGTCGACCTCCCGGTGTGTGCGCCGAGCAAAGTTGCGACCCGTGCGTCCGACGCTTGAGCCAAACGAGGTGGTGATGACGAGCGGCTGCTCGAGCGAGGTCATACTGACCCGACTTCTCGAAGCCTTGGAGTGGGGCGATGCGGCACAGGCGCTGCAGCCAGAGATCGTGAGCCATATTCTCTCATTCCTGGCGGTGCGGCGCGTCGATCACGAGGACGTCAAGGCGGTCTGCGCGTCCTCCCTCGACGTTGGTCCGCTGTGCAGCCTCCCGTTTGCGCTCGAGCAGACGTGCTCCAACTGGTGGATCTCCGGAGAGGGATCGATGCCGCGCGGAGTCGGGGCGGAGTGGATCGCCTTCGCGCTCAGCGCGGATGGGCAGCCGCGTCGCGTCGAGCGCATCGACATGCGCATCCCGCCGCTGCCCTCGGGCCCGCTCTCGGTTCGCAACTTCCACCTGGAGACGGCCGCCGCCGCCGATGGGCCGTGGACGCGCGCGTCACGCGAGTACGCCACGCTCAACGTCGGAGAGGTCCAGTCGTGGGCCGTCTCGCCGCCGATCGAGTCCGGGTTCGTGAGGGTGATGTGCTTGCGGAACGCGGCGCGAGCCAAGTCTGACCTCGGGGAGAGCCGGGCGAGGTTCCTGCCCATCTCGACCAGCGTCGGCTTCTTCCACGTGAGGTTTCGCTGATGTGGACGCGATTTGTTGCGTGGTGTCCGCGAATAGGGAGCTCACCTCATCCCTCAGTGCAGGATCGGCACGGTCGGGCGGTAGCCCTCGTCCCCCGACTCATTGCTGTTAGTGTGCTGCGCGGCTCCGCCGGGTTTTCTTTTCTTCGCGCCAAGCTGCTGCACTTGGGGTGGGACGACGGGGGTAGACCGTGCTGTTGCTGTGAACAGCTGGGGCACGCGCCTTATCTGGCCCGGCCCCTTGGGGACTTGCGGCTCGGGTGCGACCTCTAACCGCGGGTCGCAGACCGTGCTCTCGGTGTCCGATGACATGGCGCCTCTTCACGATCAGCACGCCAGTCTGTTCACACCTCTCTTCTGTTCACTTCACGGAGTGACAGGGGTTCGTTACCCAGTTTAAGAAAGGCTTCAAGAAAACACACACACAGAAAAACACCCTCATTTACAAACGACCGGAGCCAGCGCGCTTGTGGCTTCCACTCACAAGCACGCTTTTCCACGTCTCCGTCCCCGCTCTACCTAAGGCTTGCCGCTCGAACCAATGGCGGTGGGGACGGAGGTGTCGCCTCCGTCCCCGCCGTGGAGGCAGCGCCTCTCTCCCCGCTCGACCTATAGCGGTCGGCGGACTCGAGTTCGAGTGGGGACGGCGGCTCATATTGCTAAATATAAAATTCCCCCACCCGGGTGGGGGAACATAAAAATACCTCAGGGTGCTGTGCGGGTGTGAATGCAAGAGCGCTGCGCTGAGAACGAGCAGCTCACCCCCTCAGTGGCTAGCTGGTGTACGCGGCGCGTTCCTGCTGTACATCCTAGCCGCTGCACATGCTTGGCTCGTTCCTGGCCATCTTCATGCATGCATCTGCTGGTACGGTGACGCAACCTCCGTCTGCTCACCACCTCAATCACGTGGGTGGGCGTCGGCGAGTGGTCACTCGGCGCTACGACACGACGAATGCGCGTAGAGGGTGAAAGACAGCCGCTGTCAGTGGCTTCGTGAAAAGGTCGGCCACTTGCCCCTGCGTTCGGATGTGGGTGAGCCTAACGCGCTTCGTATCCTTCACTTGCTCGCGCAGGAAGGCGATCTGAGTCGCCACATGTCGCATGCGTTTCGAGGAGGTGTTGCCCTCGCTAAGGAGCACGGCCGCCCTATTGTCGCAGAAGAGCGGCATTGTGCATCCGAGGTCCGACTTATTGCCCTTGTAGTCGGGTAGGTCCTCGGCCATGAACTTGATGGTGTCCGAGACCGCGATGGCCGCTTGTGTGGCCTTGGTCGCAATGGCATACTCGCCTTCGGACGATGAGGTGGGCGTGGACTTAAGGCGTCCAGCGTGTGCAGAGACTGGCCCATTGCACACAAAAATCACGTATCCCGCCTGAGGCTTTTCCCCGCCATGAGAGGTGTCCGAGAAGATGATCGGCACGAACCTGTCGTAGTCGAAGCTGGCTAAGTCGGCATGCTCTACGATGTGATCGGCGAGGTTGCCATCCGCCTCGCGGCGATAGGTGATTGTCTTGTCCCTGGTCTTGTCCAGGTAAGCGAGGACGCCAAGGGCAACGTTGAAATGGCGCTCCCCGCCCCCCTTTAGGAACTTTGAGAGCATCGAGTAGGCGTAGCCAATGTCTGGCCGGGAGATGTTGGCCAACCACCCTATCTTGCCAACAATTTCGGCGTATCGTGGGTGCATCATCTCACCCTCTTCGAGGTGGGTGAGATTGGTGATGTCGTCGTTGCACGGTACGGCGCGCTTACTGGGGCGGGGGTCGTCGCCCAGGAACTCCTTGACGGTATCTTGAATGAAGAGCTTTTGGTGAAAGCTAACGGTGCCTTGCTCTAGGTCCTGCTCGACGGCAGAACCGAACACCCAGGTGAGTGGGCCATTGTCGCGCAATGTGAATCGCTCTTGGAGCATGCTCACAAACGCATCGCGAAAGTCTTGGTTGGAGCAGGCGATCACGATGTCGTCAACGTACACGACGAAGAGCAGGGTGTTGCCGCCTTTGGAGTACCGCCACAGGCACGGGTCAACGACGCACTGGATGGCGTTGATGGAGAGTAGGAACGATCGGAGCGTCTCTTCCCAGAGTGCTCCGCTCTGCTTCAGACCGTAGATGGCCTTGACCAATCGTAGTCCACGCTCGGGACGCCCCCTCTTGCGCGTGTGATCACCAGTGTATTTGAAGGTGTAGTCGAATCCGTCACCCTCAAAGTGCCATCCGGCAGGAAAGCGCATGTAGATCTGGACGCCCCCTTCGATGTAGCCGTTGAGGTAAGCCGTCTTGATGTCAAGACTCGTAAGGGCGAGGTCGTTGCCTGCGGCTATCGCCATAAGTAGCCGCAGCGTCTCATATCGAACCGTGTTGCTGAACGTGTTGAAGTAATGTTCGCCCAGCCGCTGCATGAAGCCTCGAGCGCAGACGCGCGTCTTCCAGCGGTCTGGGCGGCCGTTCTCATCACGTTTGACATCTCGCACAACTGTTGGGTCGATGACATGGACGCCGGCGGGGATGTCCTCTACGGAGAACGTCTTATTTTGTTGGAGTGCCGTTAGCTCCTCAGTGTATGACGGCATCCATTTCTCTTTGTCAGGGCCCGTTAGGGCAGACTTGCAGCTTGGGGGGATGCCGACCGTGTATGTGACGTCGGGGTCATCGCCTCGTAACATCTTCTGCTTGGTGATGAACTGCTCGATCGCTTCCTCGTCACCGTCTTCGAGAGCCTCACTGAGCTCCTCGAAGTCTGTCCTGTGCATGCGCATTGTATGCGTCATGTTCGCAGTCACGAGCTGCGCGCCGTCCACCCCCTCAGCCGAGGCTTGGGGTGTAGGCTGCTGGCTGTCATGGCGCCCAGCGACGCTCGCCCAAGTCACGTCAGTACCTTTGGGCCCTCCGGGCACGGCGGTCACCCTGGGCGGTGGGACCGGAGTTGCCCAGGTGACATCGTCCCCGGAGGCGCCACCCCCTGGAACAGCTGTCACCCAGGTTGGTGGAAGTGTCGGGTTAGACGACGGGCTGTTGACGGGGCCACCCTTGATGGCGTTGTTGCGAGCGCGCTTGGATATCTTCTTGAGCTGCTTGCTTTTGCCGCCGACTAGCACCCCCTCTGTGGGAAGGCCCCGCGAGGGTGCAGTGGTGCTCCCAGCGTCGGCTCCATCAGCGCTCGCGTCGATTATCGATTGCGTTGTGCCAAAGACAGCGTCGTCGGCGTTCGGGATGGTCGTGTCGTACGCCGTCCAGTATGTTTCTGGGTACATCCTCTCGGCGACGCGTATTTGCACGCTTCTACCCGTCTTGGGCGAGGTGACATCGAGCACGTCACCCGGTTTAGCTTTGGCAGGGACTCGGAAGAGTATCACGTCCTTTGCCTGGGGGCGTTCACTCCCCGCGACGATCGGAGGCGCTAGTGATGGCCCTCTGTCGACGCGTCCCTTAGGTGTGAACGACTCGTCTACCCGGATGTTCCGGGTGATCTTGTACTTGCCTTTTGTTAAGTCGTTGGGCGATTCGCTGTCGGGGATGTAAATGACCATTCCACGCGAGTATCGCGCTGGCCCGATGCACCATCCCTCTGTTGCGATTGACTCGAGCTTGGCACGTCCTTGGATAGGCTCGTTGAGTACCCAGGCCCGGCATCCAAACACACGCAGGAAGCGCACGTTTGGCTTGCGCCCTTTTAGACGTTCATAAGGGGTGGTCCAGGCCACATCGCTTGGGTCGGGGCTCGCGCCTTTAATTTTGGATCCGGCTCGGATCGTGCGTCGAGGCGTGATGTTGAGTCGTAGCGCTGCTTGCGTGAGCGCCATCGCCCAGTGGCAGGTAGGGAGTCCGCACTCAAGCAGCATCGCCCTCGCCACCGAACAGAGCCGCCACATCGCCTGTTCGGCGATGGCGTTTTGGTTCGGCGAGTAGGGAGAGCTGGTGGTGTGTTTAATCTCATTCGTGGTGAGGTATTCGGCCAGCGACTTGCTCATGAACTCCCCTCCATTATCATTGGGGACTTGCGGCTCGGGTGCGACCTCTAACCGCGGGTCGCAGACCGTGCTCTCGGTGTCCGATGACATGGCGCCTCTTCACGATCAGCACGCCAGTCTGTTCACACCTCTCTTCTGTTCACTTCACGGAGTGACAGGGGTTCGTTACCCAGTTTAAGAAAGGCTTCAAGAAAACACACACACAGAAAAACACCCTCATTTACGAACGACCGGAGCCAGCGCGCTTGTGGCTTCCACTCACAAGCACGCTTTTCCACGTCTCCGTCCCCGCTCTACCTAAGGCTTGCCGCTCGAACCAATGGCGGTGGGGACGGAGGTGTCGCCTCCGTCCCCGCCGTGGAGGCAGCGCCTCTCTCCCCGCTCGACCTATAGCGGTCGGCGGACTCGAGTTCGAGTGGGGACGGCGGCTCATATTGCTAAATATAAAATTCCCCCACCCGGGTGGGGGAACATAAAAATACCTCAGTGTGCTGTGCGGGTGTGAATGCAAGAGCGCTGCGCTGAGAACGAGCAGCCAAGAGTGGAAACGCGTCCTTCCTCTCCCCTCTCTCTCCAACAACTATGTTCAGCCTGCCGTCCTTATCAGCCACCATCAGGTCGCTCAACGCGATGGCGGCTGCGCGGCCGGTAGCCTTTGGCGCCACCAGCGCGGCAGTCAAGACTACGGCAGCCGACGTGCTTGTGCAGACGGCAGTGAAGGGACGGTCGTTGGAGACGCTCGACCTCCGGCGAACGGCGGTCTTCACCCTCTTTGGCGGAGGCTGGATGGGCTTCGGGCAGTACTACCTCTACTGCCGGCTGTTCGAGCGGCTCGTCCCGGGGACGACAGCCCTCGCCTCGGCCGGCAAGGCGGCGCTGGACCAGCTCGTGCATGTGCCGCTCCTCTACTTCCCACTTTTCTACTCTATCGACGCGCTGCTGCAGGGCGCGTGGGCGCGAGGCGTTGCGTGCGGCGTGGAGCACGTCCAGCACCGGCTGAGGACGGAGTTGAAGGAGTCGCTCTATGCCAACTGGAGCCTCTGGCTGCCCGCCTCCTTTGTGGGCTTCCGGCTGGTGCCGCCTCACTGGCGCATCCCGTACGTGAGCGCCGTATCGATGGTCTGGACAACCTGGTGGAGCGTGCTCCAGGGCCGCTTCCGGGCGCGCAATGCAGGAGCGGCCAGCGCTGAGCAGCTATGAGATCATCGTATTTTTGTTGGAGCGAGTATTTATTCCGTGGCGCTTGCAAGTGGCGCAGCGCGCGTGGTGTATCATCACTGCCTAAAACGGGCCGCGTAGTCGTCGTCAAGGAGCGGTTTTTCCTGGAGCCGTACGAATACACTGTTGATCCGACATCATGATGGTTACCTGTGTTCAGGTCATGCAAAACGGGCCCTGAGTGTGACCGAAACGCGTACACCGGCACATTGTCGGCCGATGCGCGGCTCGCCGCCCACCCCAGGCGGTCCCTAGGTGTTATATAGCATAAACACCGTCCGTGCAGGGCTCCTAGGCCATCACCTGGTCCACAGTGGACGGACACACAGCCTCAGCCGGCCCGGCGGGCTCCCGACCAGAGCCCGTCCGGAGGCCACAAACGGACACTCTACCGACCTTTACACCCCTAGACAACCCACTCCGACTAGCATACGGTGTCGGCCCGACCGCCCTGCGGCCCCAGCTACCAGCTGGCGCCGCTCGGCCCGGCTGGAGGCGACTGGGGCGCCCAAAATTGCGGAGCCGGCGACGTCCTCCGGCCAGCAGCCGGATCGGGCGTCCGACCCGCCCCCTCGGCGACCCGAGATGGTCTCCCCGACCCCCGAGGCTTGGCGCACCGCGCGAGGGGGGCAGCCCAGCCACCCTGCACCGCCCAGGCCGCCCTCTGCGAGCCCAGGCGCGCCGTAGAGAGTGCCGACGCGATGTCGACGATTTTGGCCTGCGAGACGGGGGCGAGGAGCGGTGTGAGGGCGCCATGTGCCCGGGCGACGGGCTAAGGGGCCGCTACACGGGCCGCAGAGCTCACCAGCACCGGCACGGTGGCGCTGGTAGCGATGGTGTTGCTTCGGCCGCCTTTGGCAGTACCTGACCGAGGGCTGACTCACGACGGCGACGGGGCTGCGAGCCGGGTGGCGGGGTGCGGGGAGGAAGGAGGGGACGCGCCGCGAGAGGGGGGGAGGGGTGCTCTCACGTCTGGCTGGCCCGCCCCGGCCCCCACGGGGTCGGGATGGTCGATGCTGCTGCTCTAGGCGGTCGTTCCGGGTCGCCAGACCGGTCCTGCGGCGGAGTCGGAGTGTGAGGGGCAGGGGCACGGCCGTGCGGCGGAGGGGACGCGCATCGCGCAGCTCGCAGCAGCCCGAGAGGGCCTGAGCCCGGCCAGGGAGTTACCCACCGCTCGGGCCAAAGAGACAGCGTCGCTGGAGGTGCGCCCCGCGGCCATTTTGTACGCCCGATGCACGCCTGACCCGGGAGGGGGAGGGGTGGTCAGAGAGACGCGGCGGGCCGGGGAGAGAGGGGACGCGCGCGCCTTCGAATACTCACTCGTGGCGCCGGCCGGCTCGCAGGGGCCGCCAGCGCCGCTACGGAGGCGCTGCCCGCCGAGAAGGTGCTCGGGAGGGGCGCTGGTCACTCCCCGGCGGCGCCTGCGGCCGGAGGGACGTGGGCTTCGGCGTGGCGAGCAGCGCGGGCGAGAGAGGGACGGCGCGCGGCTCCCAAACGAGCCGCACGGGCTTCGTCTGGGCCGCCGAGGCCACCTCCTTGGTCGCGGCGGCGGGCGTGAAGGCGAGGTGGGCCGAGGCAAGCGTTGAACGTGCCGCCTTGCGCCCCTGAGAGGGACGCGTGCGTGGGGTGCCACGGGCGGGGGGGGAGAGGTGAGAGGAGAGCGGTGGTCACCCCCACGAGGGGTGCGCGGACGCCGTCTGCCCCCCCCAGCCGGCCACTGATGCCGTGGGGGCGGCACGATCGAAAGCGGTGGTCGGGCGGGCCGTCTGAGTCGCCTGAGCGGTGCTCTGCCGGCCGGCGGACGCGCCCGAGGGTGGCCCGAGAGGGCTCAAATGACGGAGCCGCTCCCCGGCCGTCCCGGGCGCCTGTCACGCGGGCCGATGGCCCAGCCGTCCTGTGCGTGACTGGAGCGAAGGGGGGGGAGCTCAGGAGGGCGACGGGGCAGGGAAGGGGGCGGTGATGCGGTGCGGCGGGGTCTACTCGGCGGCGTGTAGAGAGGAGGTGCTAAAAGGCGACTATAAAGAGGCGTCTACGGGTGAAATGGTGCGCCACGACCGCGGGAGAGCTCTCTCCCGCCGCCCCGCGGGCCTCCCCGAGGGGCCTTGCAGCCCACGCGCTCAGGCGCCGCTGTCGCGGGCAGAAACGCAGCCGGGAAGGTGTCTCGGGCGCCATCTAGAGGGAGCCGACCCGGTCGGGTAGGGGAGGCAAACGCGAGCGGGTGGAGGGCAGCCTCGACCCGCCTACGGCGTTGTGGTGAGGGTGGGTGTGTGGGCGACCTTCCATTGAGTCAGAAGCGTCGCCGCGCGCCGCCATCGCCCGCCGTTAGATTCTTGCCGGTGAGCGCACGACGCAGACGACCTATCGTCAGAGGGGGGGAGGGTGAAGCGCGAGCGTTTCGTCGACCTAGGAGCCGCGGCAAGCGGCATGTAGCCCACTCATAGCCCCGACCCAGGCCTCGTAGCTTCAGATCGCGCGCGCAGGGTCGAGATAGCCGTCACGAGACCTAAACTCGAAAATAAAATGGTGAGTTCGCCGACTCGAGAACGGTGGCTTTTATCAAACCATGCTGCGGGGTCGCAAAAGCGCGTATGCATTTTTGCACTTTCCGCATCCATAGCGGCACAGCTACCTCTGGTCGGTGGTCGACGGCTGTCGCGGAGCCCGACAGCCGCGACAGCGGCGGCCGGGCCAAGGAGGCGGCCGAGAGGGTGCTGGTCGTCGAGCCAGCGGCTGCCGCTGGCGACGAGGGGGGTCCGGACCCGCGTCTGGGGGCGGGTGGTGCACCGGCTCGATGCCGGGCGAGCGCAGCGCCCTCCAGTCGGAGCGGCTCGGGCGAGCGAGGCGGTGGCGCTATGGGCGTTTAGAGGGGCGCCCATCGCTTCTCGCAACTCCGCAACGCTGACTTTGGGACATCGACGATACGCCCGCGAATATTTCTCAGATTTATTTTGCATGACCTGTATAGAAGGCGTGTTTAAAAATTACTCTCGTGAGGCTGTGAAAGCACGCCCAACCTAGAATGCGAGGTGGCATGAAGGTCGCTGCAAGAATTGGTGATAAACTGCGGAGAGAGATAGGAAGTGGTAGACGCCCGAGGGTGGGCGACGGCTAACACCACACTTCTCCCCTAAAATCCCTGTGTGGTGGCGGCGTACCGTCCTCCCATCCCTCCCTTGGGTTGCCTGTTTTCTTTCTTTTTCGCCCAACCTAGCGGATTTGGGATTTGGGTACTTGCCCCCGAAGGCAAGTGCGTCTGTTCACAGCTCACGAGAGTATTTAAAAATGCCACACGACCGCCTACACGCTCTACACAAATCACAATGACGAATGAGCGTTGACTATGCCGACGGGTCTGCCTCACGCCGCGCCGCCGCTCGCGCGGCACGGATGGCTGCAATCTCCTCTGGGGTCCTCGCCGCCACCGCCGCTCGCTCCTCCGGACTGCGGCGGGGCGAGCGCCTCCGGCGTCCCTTGCGCCCCTTGGCTGCCGCCTTCCGCGCCTCGACCACCCACGCCTCCTCTTCCTCCGGCATCTGCGGGAAGCAGTGTGGCGGGTCGAGCAGTGGTGGCAGCGGCGCGTCCGGAGCGACGCCGAGCGGGAGGCTGGCGGCACGCTTAAACTGTCCGCTTCCTCCGTCACGCCACATCAGGTGAACCGCTGTCTGCCCCGCCGCGCCGCCGCCGAGCGTGAAGCGGACGGGACGCCAGCGCGGCGCGAGAGCTGCGCGCGCCGCCTCCGCTTCGTCGAGCGAGTCAAAGTGCGAGAGGGTCATGTGCGGCACGAAGCCGCCGCCACCGACGCGCTGCTGGTCGTCAAACTCGGGCGCCGCGGCTTGGAGGGCCGCCTGCAGCTCGACCAGGCGGCCGAGCTGCGCCGCGTCCGAAGGCGCTGCCCAGAGCACGCCGCGCCTGCGACCACCAAACGTACCCAGCTGGTCGAGGTCCAGCTCGAACGGCGGCAGCGCTGCCGCCGCGGGAGCCAGGCGGGCCAGCGCCAGAGCCATCTCGTCAGCGGGCGCAAACGGGTAGAGCAGGTTGATGTGCGGCGGCCAGCGGTAGATGCCGCGGTCGCGAAGTTCAAGCCTCGCCTCCTGGATCGGCGGCCAGCACTCCTCTGGAGGCACGAGCGCAACAGTCGCGTGGTGCACTTTCGAGAGTGGCCGGGCTGCCTCGCCGGCAGCCGTCCCGTGGCACATGGCGATCTGGCGCCTCTGCAGACCAGCCACGCGACGAACGAGGAAGAAGAGCAGCATCCCAGACGCGAGCCAGACGCCCGCGTGGTGTTGCGGCGGCATCGGGGGAGCTGAGCGAGGGTGTCGAGCGTGCTAAATGCCGGCGTCCTGTGCCCGCAAGCTGGCACAACAAAAGCAGGCCGAAAAAAATTCCGTGTGGTGCCCGAGCATCCGGCCCGCTGGGTGCGCAACTAACAACAGGGTTCCAACTTTTTCCGGGGTCTGGTATGGTAGGCTAGTCTTGGGCGGTCAGGACCATACCCCCCCCCCCCCCTTTGGGCCGCCGAGCGTACCATACCATACCCCGGAAAAAGTTGGAACCCAGGCCGACAGCACACAAAAAGAATTCGCGGCTGCTGCCATCGGATGTGAGGTTGCCAACTGCACTCCAAGTGCTCCAAGTCGGCCCGAGCATCCGGCTGAGGCTACCGACGGCGACGCACTCCAAGTGCTCAAGTCTTGCAGCTTCTAAAAACAATTTATATGCACGCCCTCTACCGCGCCGCAACCGTATCCAAAAACCCACCCACCGACGGGCGATCTGCTCGGCGCGGCGAGGTTGCGCCGAGAAAGGCAGCAGCGCTGCCGACGGAAGGCGCGGCTGTCGCGATCGCGGCGCCGTCACCCGCAGGGCGTGCCGTACTGAGGAATGCAGCGACAGAAGGCTTGGCTGGTGCCGTTGCGATGGCGAAGCCGCCGTTAACGGGGCGAACCGAGATGCGGTGACGTCCAGTTGCCGGGTCCTTCCGGATTGCGACTGCCACGCTCGGACTGCTCTGTGCGGCAACCGCGGCAGTACTCGGCGCGCGTGAGCCCATGGCGTCCATGTCTCGCGCTGGAGAGCGAGCTGCGCCGCTGCCAAGCCCCGCTGGCGCCGCCTGGAGCTTCTCCAGCTCGGCCCTGAGACGTGCATTCTCCCGTCTTAGTTGAGGCACATCTTCAGAGCACAAGGCGGCGGCTTGGGCAGAGAGCTTTGTGTTGAGCGACTGGTTGTCGGCCCTCAGCTTTGTGACCTCGTCCCGGGCCTGATTCAGCTGCTTTCGGACGGCGTCGCGCTCCTCCTCCACGCGGACAAACCTCACCCGCAGCGCAGCAAGCTGGCGCGCCGCCTTTTGCCCCGAGAGCGCCGCGTGCTCACATCTTGCCTCGGCGAGCGCAACGCGCTCCAGAAGCACGTTGGACGAACCGCCCGTGTCTTGCAGCTTCATTCTAGACCTCGGTCTGCCGACTACGTCGTTTGCCACTGTTGACGAATCAAAGGCTGACGGTGCCGCCAGCTTGGACGCGGCGCCTCCGCCGCGGGAATCCATGGCCTTGAGAAAGTCCGCTGCTGAATCTCCCCTCGTCTTTGCGAGAAGCTGCTGTTTGCTTGAATCATTCGCCGTGCGCAATGCTGTCGGCACCACCTGCGAGGTCCCTGTCTGCTTTGTGCCAGGACTCGTTGCGCTGAGGAAATCACTCACAGACGGCCTGTTCGAGGCAGCTCGGCCTTCCGGACTGGCAATGCGGACGTCGGGATGCGTCGTAAGGTCGAGTGGGGCGGAGACAGACGCAGCGGCGGGCCGCGGCCGATGGCTTGTTGCCAGCAGGGCATTCATGTCGGACTCAGCACTCACCGCACCGGCAACCACCTCACGAACGTTTTTGTAACGCTCCCAAGATCGCCGCCGGCCGCTGTTGTTTGGCAACCCAAAATCCAAAAAGAAACCACAAAAATGGAATTATTGTGATCCACCTCCCTCGATACACACACGAGACACGTCGATAGCGGACGAAGAAGATCTGTGTCTCTTAGCGGACGAGGTGCCGGCCACTGCGCGGCTCGGGCTCAGCCGGGGCTTTCGCTCTCGAGCTGCAGCCCCTCGGCCAGCGCAGCGAGGCTCTGCGGCCCTCTCGGCGGCCCACAAGCCACGCACTCTCGCGGCGGCGTCCGCGTGGCGGCAGCGAACTGGAAGCCCTCGCCGAGCGAGACGCTGTCTTGCGCCCCGATCGGCATCCCAGAGTCGAGCCTGCTGCAGTCGCTCGCCACCTGCAGGTCGCTCATTCGCGCGACGATCGCGCGGGCCGAGGCGAGAGAGTCGGCGCTGCCGCGCGCCGCAGCGATCGCCTCGCAGAGCTGGGCGCGCTGCTTGCAGCTGTGCTTGTGGCCGCCCTTCCAGTCGGCGAGCTGGTGCTCCTTTCCGCAGTAGGCCACCGTGCCGCACCGGGCGCACGCCTTGAGGTCGCCGCCCGCTCCGCAGACGGCGCACGCAGCGGTGCCGGCCTTGCCGCGCTCCGCGGGCGGCTCGCAGGCCTCGGCCCGCATCGCATGCAGGTCGCTCATGAAGACGGAGGCGACGGCCATGTTGTAGGCGCTCGGCGCGGGCTCGCCGAGTGACGGCAGCGCTCCGCACGCGACGAGGCAAAAGATGCCACGCCGGCCCGCCCGCTCGGTGACCGCCGACTTGGTGGCCGTGCTGATTTTCGCGACGTACTCGGAAGGGAAGCCGAATGGCGGCCCGGTGAGCAGGCGGCGGATGTTTCTGAGGTCGCCAACTTCGACGATTTTGGCCTTTGCGAGCACCGTCTCCGGGCTAAGGCCAGCCGCTTCGGCAGCATGCTCTGTCCGCAGGTCGAGCACGAGCGCAGCCAGTGTGGCATCGGCGCCGCCGGCCGAAGACTCGACCTGATCGAGGTGCTCCAACACCCACTCGACTGCAGCCTGCTGGGCTGGGGGTGGCATGGACATGATGCCTGAGCGGCGCAACGCCGGACGCGGTGTACCGGGGAAAAAGAATTTTGTGGAAACCGCGGCTCTACAGCAGACGAACGGACTAGCACCACGCACCACGGGCACAGCGGGAAAAGAAAGAACATCTTGTAACGCACACCACACCATGCACATACACCATGGTCCATGCGTCGTGGGCGGTTCGGGAGGTTGGACGCGTTTCGCCGCCCAGCCGGCCAAGCATGTGCCCGCTAAAGCTACCCCACCACAGAGTCCCAAAGTCAACCCTTCCCACGTCCATGCGTCCGACTCGAGCTCACGCCAGCGCCGCCTTGACGTTGCCGATCACCTTGGTCGCGTTGGCGTGCACGACGTCCCACCTGCAGTACAAAAACAGCTGCAGACGGGAGGCGGCGGGCGACGGGGTGCAGAGGAGGAGGAGTGCAGGCGGGAGTGAGGCTCTTCTAGGGGGGCGGCGAGCACTTGTTGCCGGCGATGACGTCAGGCGGGAAGAGCGGCGCGACGAGGCCAATCTGCGGAGCGGAGAGAGAGAGGGAGAGGGAGAGGGTTGGCTGCCTCTCGCGCCGGGCCCTGCGGTGCTCCGGGAGGGGGAGGGCTGTGGCGCGGGCGGGTGGACGGCGTGCCGAGCATCCGAGCTGCACAAAGTCGCCCGCGTTGTCGAGGTCGACTCCAGAGGTCGGGTTGAGCTGCAGCATCGGCAGGGCACCCTTGACTGCCTTGACCCAGGCGGCGCCGCCAGCGACGCCGGGGAAGATCTTCTGCACCGGCGCGCCCGCCTTGTACGCCGCGTACGCCTCGGACGGCGTCTGCGTCCCCGGGATGATGACGACGTTGTGCGTGCGGCACCACGTCACGACCTCGGGGACGAGCACGGGCGCGACGATGAACTCGGCGCCGGCGTCGAGGGCCAGCTTGCAGTCCTCGATCTGTGCGGACGGGCGTCCGGTGTGTCAGCCGCCCGCCCCACCGTGAGCTCACACCCGAGAGCAAGGCGCGCACATCCATGATCGTGCCGCAGCCGACCATCACGTTGCCCGTCTTGAGCCCATCGTACTTTGCGCGGTACTCCGCGACACGGTCGAGGCAGCCAGGCGTGGTCAGCGTAAACTCGACGATCTGGAAGCCACCGTCGATCGCGGCGTCCATCGCCGGAGCACACTTCTCCGCAGTCGGCGTCCGAAGCACAGCGCAGGCGCGGTCCTTCTTGAAGCGGTCCAGCACTGCCTGGAACGACTCTGGCGTCCGCATGTACTTGTCGCCGGCCATCGTGTGGCCGGCCCGCCGGAGCGGGGCGGTCGAGAGGCGAGCCGAGATGCGAGTAAGCATGGGCCCCGAGGAGGTGCGACGACGAGCTTCGACGACGAGTTGGCAATGAAAGGTGGCGGTTGTTTTTTTTGTCAGCAGCCGTGTGTTTTGTTTTGGGGTTGGTTGTTTGGGGGGGTCGAACCAAACTCCCCGGGCGGCGCGAACTCCAACTCGCCAAAACGCCGACGACCGTTCGTTGTACAACTGCTAGCGCCTGGCGTGGCGCGCAAACTCGCTCTGAGCCTAGCGCAGCGTGGGAGAGCACCAGTTGTGTGAGCTCTGTGTCTTCCTTTGCCAACAACATACCTACAACCAGTCCGCCTGCAACGCGCGTTTTCTTCCTTTCCAGAGGCCTTCCGCATTTTGCAGTCGGCGTCGTCGGCGCACCCGCTCCCTCGCCGACGCGCAGCCGAGCGCTCCCCAAGGGCAGCACACACGTGTGGTGCCGGCACGCTGCGGTCGCCGACCAGAACAGAGTCGCACATGTACATGGCGGACGAGGTACTCGGGTACAAGATGGCGGATGGCATGTCCGCCGCGATCAAGTCTTTCCAGCTTCGAGGCTCGTCGGGCGACGCGATGGTCATCCGCATCGTCCACTCTTCGGACGAGCTCCAGATCGAAGAGAGCTGCAAGGGCCTCTCCTCGATCGAGGATCTCGCAGAGAAGATCGAGGATGCGATCGAGCCGCGCTACCTGCTATTCATTCACAAGCAGAGCCACACGGATGGGCGGGTCTCGTACCCGATCGCTTTCGTTGTCTTTATGCCGCCGAACGTGCCAGCGTCGCTCAAGATGATGTACACGCGACTGGTCCCTGCCCTCGTCGAGAAGTTTCGCGTGGCGAAGCAGTTCTCACTCTCGGACCCCGAGGACCTCACGACCGAGTGGCTGGAGGAGAAGCTCGCCGGCAGGTGACGCGGCTTGCGGCCTCCCCCGCCAATCGCCGCCGGCAGTGCGGATTCTTAGACCCATGCTATCACCGGCGTCGCAAGAGAGGAATCCATAAGATCGGGGCGGCGGCCCCGTAAGCCCTTATATCGACTTATACCGGTTGTGAGCCTCCTCACACAGAAGCACAACTTCGGGTCCGAAAATCGCACGTGAGTACAGTGACAGTAAAGAAAGAAAGAAACAAAGAAAACATCCTTCGCGCAATTCTTTTTTCTGGCAGCTGTGAGCGCTGTCAGAGCGGTGTTTCGACACCGATATCCTCTGCAGCTGCTCTGGGCAGCCGGCTGCAGCTGCGATGCGGACCTCGACGGAGCTCAGCGCCCACAGCGTCGACGACGAGTTTACGAGGAGCGGTCGCATCAATTCGTTGGTCTCGGTCGAGCTCGAGGACAAAGCCGAGGACGAGGCGCCGCGCCGCTCTCCGCGGCTGCACCACCTCGACTGGCTCCGCTCCTGCATGATCTTCTTTGCCGTGTTTTGCCACGTCTGGCAGACGCTCCACTTCCCGCCGCAGCACGCTGCCGACGATGTGGTCTACACTAGCGAGCCTACTACCTCCGCTGCCTACTACCTCCGCTGGGTTCAGCTCGGCCGCCTCGTCTGCATCCCGCTGCTCTTCTTCGTCTCCGGCGCTGCGCTGGCCCTCGGGCCGTACAGCGCCGCCTCGTCGGGTCGCGGCATCGGCCCCACCTTCCTCAAGGTTGGCGTCCTCACCCTCGCCGGCCTCGCGCTGAACGGTCTCATCTTCCTCGCCGGGCCTCGCGACGAGAGGTGCTCTCTCGAGATGGCGGAGAAGCTGCACTGCAAAGGGCCGCTCATGGACTTCCTCATCGCGCCAAACGCGGGCAGCCTCTTCCCCATCCTGTACCAGTTCTGGTACACCCTCTTCCTCCTCCTCTTCCTCGCCGAGGACGCGCCGCTCTACCGCGAGCTGCTATCCCTCTCCACCGGCGGCGAGCCGTCGCTGCCGCGGCTCCTCCTGCGCTGGCTCGCCGCGTCGGCGCTGTACGTGCTCGCCGGCCTCGCGCCGCCCGCCCTCCACCTGCAAGACGTGCTGCTGCTCGTCGCGGCGGAGGCAGCCCCTTCCCGCGGCTGCGAGCTGCGAGAGAGCAGCCCGACACTGACCCTGGGCCCTGGTCCCTGGCCCTAGGCCGCCTTCCTCGGCTGCGTCTGCGGGAGTGCGCGCGCCGCGGCAGCCGGCGCCGGCCCCGCGGTGCGTCTCTGGCAGTACGGAGCTGCCGCTGCTGCGGTGCTCCAGTTTGGCGTGCCCCGCTTCCAGATCACTACATTCGACACCAACCTGGTGCTGTACTACCACGCCTTTCGGCAGCTCATGACGCTCGGGTTCGTCGTCACGCTCACGCGCGCGTCCGCCGCGCCGGTGGCGAGCCGCGCGTGGCCGCTCGTGCTCTTCGGCCTGATCCTGCTCTGCCCGTCGACCAGCTTCACGCTCGCCGGGATGATCACCTACCCGTGGTTCCCAAAGACTGCCGACCGGCTCCTCTGGCTCGGAGGATCCTTCGTGGTCCCGCTCGCGCTCGACCGCATCGGCCGCACTTTTGCCGCGGCGGGCGCCGATCTGCCCCTCCCCGCCTCGGTCGGCGTTGGGACGCTCCTCCTTTACTTTGTGCACCCCCTCTTCATCGCCGTCTTTGCCCGTTTCCCTGTCTTCCGCTCTGAGCCGTTCCTGCTCACCACGACTGCGCTCGTGTTCTGCTGCCTCGCTGGTCTAGCTCTGACGGGACGGCGGCGACCCACATGAGCAAACGCTTCTCTCAACACCGCTCATCAACATACACGTACATGACACACGTAGCCTCCGCTCCTGCCGCACACCCTCACACACACGCCGCGCAAGTGTGTGGGAAGTGCAAGTGCAGCCTCCCCTGCCAGAGCACACGCATCGACACACGCGTCGACTTTTTCGTTCCTCGAAAGCGCCGTAAACAATAAAAGAACCTCTCGGCGAGATCGACGGTCGCTCTAAGAGCGACGTCGCTCTAAGAGCGACCGTCGAAAGCGTGCGCCCGCGGCCCGCGCCGGCGGCGCGGCACGCGGGCGCAGCGCGCGCTCACACCGAGTCAAACTACACGTTTCGCGCTCTGCAATCGTCATGGTGGCCAACGCATGCGTTTCCTGATCGCTCGCAAACCACCCATCGTGTTGCGCGCGCTGAGTTCGCCAGCTCTCACTCCGACTTCACTCGGACTTGCCCGGCTTTGTCGTTGCGGGGCTTTTGCTTCTCGCAGATTGAGGTTGCGCGGCGCCAAACATCGCGGCGATCTCGCTCGAGACGGATGCGCGCTTTGCCTCGGGGAGCTTCGTCGAGAGGTCTTTCACGAGGAGCGCGGCGTCCTTCTTGATCAGGTCGGCGCGCATGTTGAAGAGAGGCACCAGGATCTGCCGAAAGACGCGGTCCGCGCCCTTGGTGAAGGGCAGCATCAGCCAGACCTACACTTCAAGAAAGAGCGGCCGTCATGGTTCGGGTGGGCACGTTCGAGTGCGGCCACCGAGATGCGACGGGCCGTCACGATCAGCGTCACCGAATGGAAGCCTGTTCACACCGACAGTCGTGAAGAGACGCCGTTCACTGGCACTAGCCGATCGAGCCGCACCGGGGATCCAGTCGAGTGCGTCGTCAACGATGGAGGCGAAGACGTGAAAGAGAGAGAAGACGCACCAGTACACGAGCCACTGCGTGTCGTCCTCGGGGTCGTCCTCGGTCGTGACCGCCACCGTGCTGGCAAGCAGCGGGTATGCCGTGCCCACCATGTCGACGATGAACTTCTCGACCACTCCGGGCATGAGGACAAAGACAAAGTACAGCCCGTAGAGGTGCGAGCCGTTGATGACCCACGCCCACGCGGTGTTGATCAGCGAGCTGTCTGAGACCCGTCCGGCGATCCCCTTGATGCGGGGCAGGATGAACGGCTTCGTGATGGTGTCGTAGAGCAACGTCGAGCCGTCGGTCCACGGCAGCTGCAGCCACAGGAGAAAGAGGACCTGCATGTGGAACCAGACGTCGCGCACCGCCTCCGATTTGAAGAGGTTCAGCACGAGCCACTCGAGGTTGCTCGTGGCCACCATGAAGCTCGCCTGAGCCAGCCAGTACTGCAGCCATCTCCGGTCATCCTCTTCTGTGACCGAGCAGACTGCGCGCATTGACTCGAGAACAGGGAAGAAGACGCCGGCGACGGCTGCGCCAGTCGGGCTGAAGATGACGTCTTGGTAGTCGTGTGGCGCGAGCATGCAGATTGCGACGGCAACGGCGATGAAGCCGAGGTGGCCAACCACCTTCCGGCCTCTCGTCGGAGGCACCCGGTGGAGGAGCGCCGCCGCAGCCACGCCGACGGCCGTGGTCGCCCCGTACATGAGGTAGCGGCTCCAGTGCCTGGCCAGGTGTGAGGCGATCCTGCCCCCGAGGTTGTCGAACACCATCGCGGCGAGAGGAGTGAGTGCGGACGGACGCGAAAAGTTTGGAATCAAGAAATAACCACGGGCCCTCAGCGGAGCTGGGAAGAGGACCGCCGCAAGCGGCGTGGCGTGGAGCGGTTGTGCATCCCTCCGGGGGCCCCTCTGCGCCGGGGAGGCGTTGTTGGAGGCTAGGACGCAAGCGTCCGTCGCCCTTTTCAAACTCGGGGCCCACTCCGCTACGCTCCGACCCGAATTTGGAGGGCCTAAAAGTTTAAGGTGTTGCTGCGCAAAAGGGGTCGGACACCGGGCGCAGCTCATGGTTGCTAAGAGCTAGAAGAGGAGATAGAGAGAACAACCACCCTGTCCCGTTATTGCGTACACCAACAAACACCACAAAACGCTCTCTCTCTCCTGTCCGCTCACTCAGGGGGGTCACAACTACCAAGTCCCTCGACTAGCTGCCACAGGGCGCAGCTGCCACAGGGCGCAGCTGGAGACGCTCCCCCTCGGCATCCACCCCCACCCGCTCCAGCCCCACTTCTGCTGCCGAGAGAGCTGAATCGAAGCAAGCGTGCCATTGCATCTTGGCGTGCTCCTGGAGCGCGGCTTTCTGCGGCCACGAGCACGGCGGAGTCGGCGTCGTAGCGCGCATCGTTCCCGCTCATCGCCCATTCCTCCCGTGACGTGTGTCGGCCGCGATTCGATGTCGCCACCTTCATCGCCAACGAGGACTCCCTCGACTGCAGGGGGGCTCCGGCGCGGGGAGGGACTCCGCCTGCTGCGCTGGCCGACTGCGCCCTCCTCCTCCATGGGATCGATCCGATTCCGCAGCGGCGGTGCTGCGCGGGAGGCGGCCGCGGGCACGCTGGGCTCGATCAGCGGCTTTCCCCTCAGGTAGCGCGAAAGCACGGATTTGGCGGACGTTCTGCTTTCAACTTTACGGATGTCTTGGCACCAGCTGAAGGCTTGCATCCCACATCACGCAGTTCCTGCACGGTATTCGGATTTTGGCTATTTGCTCGTGTGGGGGTATATCGCAGATTTGTCAATGGTACCGCGTCTGCGACGCGGGCGCCTTGCGGGCAGAGCCCTTAGCCACCCTTTTATCTTGCGCGGTCAAAAAGAATTTTTTCCGGCGCGGCACGGGACTGGCGCGTTCTGAAGAAAAGAGGAAGCCATGCGGAAGAAAGAAATTCAACAGGACAAAGAAATTCGACGAACCTCCGACCAGTCGAGACCAGCCGCGGCGCCGCGGCCCGGAGCTCCTAGTTCCAGTGGACTCGCTTCAGCAGCCTCGCTCGCTTTCAGCAGCCTCGCGGTATTTGCAAGACCTGGTCGTTCGAACTCCCGCTCCTAGTAGCTGCAGCAATCTGCGCAGCAATCTCTGGCGCCTTGCTGTCTACGAGAACCAATGGAGCACGTCGAGCAGCCACCGGCAGAGCAGCCGCCTCGGCTTCGCATCGGCTTCGCCGCCGAGTTCTATCACGTCTACCTCACGCCTCTGATGCGCTCGAAGCGCGGCACGCTCACCCTCGACGGGCTGCCCCGCCTGCCCGCAGAGGACGACGCCTTGGTCCTGCTGGAGCGCTTCCGAGCGGCGCTGTCAAAGCGGCAGCTCGACGGCTCGGGCCGAGCGACCCAGCGAGCCACGCTGTCGCTGCTCTGGCCGCGCTTCCAGCTCTCCATCAGCCTTTGGATGCTGGTCGGCCTCGCAACTGACGGCGCCCAGCCCTTCCTCATCGCGACTCTGGTTCGCGAGCTCCGCACCGGCACCGGCTCCGTCGGGACGCGGCTCGGCATCGTCGTGGCCATCGGCGCGCTCTGCCTCGTCAACACGGCGTCGCTGCAGCAGGTCCTCTGGTTTGGCTCGCGGTGCGGCATGCGCGCAAAGGTTGGGCTCTCTGCGGCCGTCTACCACAAGATGATGCGGCTCGAGCTCGGCTCGGTCGCCTCGTGGTCGTCGTCCGCCGTCTCGAACCTGGTCGCGATCGACCTCGCGCGGCTCGAGCTCTCGGCGATGTTTTTCTGCTTCACGTGGGGGACGCCGCTGTGCCTCGTGATGTGCGCCACCCTCGCCGGTGTCCGCATCGGGGTCGCGGCCCTGCCCGGCATCGCCTTCCTCGTCGCCCTCCTCCTCGCGCAGCGCGCCTTCGGCTGGCGCACCGGCCGGCTGCGTGCGCGCGTCGCGCGGGCGACCGACGCGCGCGTCAAGCTGATGCAGGACGTGCTGCTCGGCGCGACCTCGCTCAAGATCCACGCGTGGGAGGGCGCGCTGGAGAGGCGGCTGCGCGCGCTGCGCGCCGTCGAGCACGCCGACATCAAAGCCGCTCTCTACACGCTGACCACGCTCGAGGCAGCAATCTTCTTCGCGCCGGGCGTCGCCACCTTTTGCTCGCTGCTCACGCACCGGTACGCGCTGCCCGACGAGCCGCTCGAGGTCGAGGACGGCTTCGCGGTCCTCTCCATCTTCGCCATCCTCGTCAAGCAACTCAACATCTTCCCGCGCGCCCTCAAGGCGCTCGACGAGCAGCGCGTCTCCTTCCAGAGGGTCGAGCGCTTCCTCCGCCTCCCAGAGCTGCGGCTCGCGGGCGACGGCGCGGCGGGCGAGCCGAAGACGAGCGAGGGGACGGGCCCGAGGAGGGAGGGAGGAGGGGAAGGGCAAGCCGTCGCCTCCGCCCTCGCTCCCCTCATCGTGGCGGAGCGAGCGTGCGGGCAGTGGCTCTCGCACCACGAGCCGGCGGGCGCGCTGCCGACTCGCGCGGCCCCGGAGTTTGTGCTCCGCGACATCACCCTCTCGGTCGGCAAGGGCGAGCTTCACCTCCTCTGCGGCCCGATCGGGTGCGGCAAGTCGTCGGTGCTGCTGCTTCTGCTTGGCGAGATGCGCCGCACCGGCGGGCGAATGTCCCTCTCTGCCGACGAGTCTGGCGTCGGGTACGTGCCTCAGGCGGCGTGGATCGTCAACGCCTCGTTCCGCGACAACATCTTGATGGGCCGGCCACTGGACGAGTCGTGGTACGAGGAGGTGATCCGCTGCTGCGCGCTGCTGCCCGACCAGCTGCGGATTGGAGCCGACAGCTTGATCGGCGAGCGCGGCGTGACGGTGTCGGGCGGGCAGCGGGCGCGCATCTCTCTCGCTCGCGCCGTGTACGGCCGGCCGCGCGTCCTCCTCCTCGACGACCCGCTCTCTGCAGTGGACGCGCACGTCGCGAGGACGCTCGTCGACGAGTGCCTCTGCGGGGTCGTCCGCTCGAGCGGCGCCGCCGTCCTGCTCGCCACGCACCAGGTGCAGCTTCCCAGACACCTCCTAGACCCTTCCTAGACACTTTCTAGACACCTCCTAGACTTCCTAGACACTTCCTAGACACTTAATAGACACTTCATAGACACCTCCTAGACACCTCCTAGACACCTCCTAGACACCTCCTAGACACTTCCTAGACGCTTCCTAGACACTTTCTAGACACCTCCTAGACACTTCCTAGACACCTCCTAGACACCTCCTAGACACCTCCTAGACACCTCCGAGACACCTCCTCACCTCCTAGACACTGCCTCCTTGCCACGCACCAGGTGCAGCTCGCAAACGCGCTCGCGGACGTGGTGCACGTGATGGAGGAGGGCGCCGTCACTGCGAGCGGCCGCCCGGCGGACCTGAGCGAGCGCGGCTTGCTGCCAGCCGAGGGCGGCGGCGAGGGCGGCGGCGAGGCGGAGCCGCAGCGCGCCGTGAGCGGCGCCGCCGCCGGAGAGAGCAGCGGCAGGCCGGACGCCTCCGTGGCGGGGCCCGAGGCGTCGCGAGCCGAGGCCAAGGGCCCGCTCCAGCTCGGCGAGCCGTCCAAGGCGGAGCTCGGGCACGGGTCGCGCCGTGCAGCGGTCCGCTTCTACTGGGAGGCGATGGGCGGGGCGGCTCGCGTCGTGCCCGTGCTGGGCCTCGTGCTCGGCCTCGCGACGTGCAGGGCGCTCGCAGACTGGTCGTTGGGCGAGTGGATCCGAAAGGGCAGCGAGGCGAGTGGCGCCGTCCTGTACGGCGCCCTCATCGGCGCCACTGTCGTGCTCGGCTTGGCTCAGGGCGTCGCGATCGTCGATCGGATCATCGGCGCTTCGACCAGCATCCACGCCTCAGTGCTCTCGCGCGTGCTGCGCGCGCCCAAGTCATGGTTCGACGCGACGCCGCAGGGGCTCGTCCTCGCCATCTTCTCCAAGGACCAGGACGCCATCGACGACCTCCTCCCCGCCACGATGCTCGCGCTGCTCAAGTGCTGCATAATCGTGGCGACTGCATTGGCCCTCGGCGTCGTGGCGGTGCCGGTCATCCTCGTCGTCCTGCCGATCGTCGGCCTCCTGTTCCGGTGGCTGACAAACTACTTCCAGGTGACGGCATCACAGCTCAAGCGGCTCGACAAGGCCTCGTCCGGCCCCGTCATCTCGCGTTTCGCGGAGACGTACGCCGGCCTCGCGTCGGTGCGGGCGATGCGGCTGCAGGAGAGGCTTGGCGCGCAGCTCATCGACCAGCTCGCGAGAAACCACGCCGCCCACTTCCTGTGGACTGCCGCCGGGAGGTGGCTCGCGGTGCGTCTGGACTGGGTCGCCACCGGCATCGTGGTCTGCGTCGGCGCGGGTGTCGTGCTCGAGGTTCCGCTCATGACGCCCTCGCCGACGCTGGCGGGCCTCGCCCTCGTCTACATCCTCCAGATCACTTCCCTCTTCCAGTGGGGCTTCCGGATGTGGGCGGAGGTGCAGAATCATTTCGTGTCGGTCGAGCGGGCGCTCTCCTACACGCAAGTGCCGCAGGAGGCGCCGGCCGAGCTGGAAGGAGACGCAGAGCTCTCCGCAGCCTCATGGCCGCAGCGGGGAGCGATCTCCTTTCGCGCGGTCGAGATGCGCTACCGGCCCGGCATGCCGCTCGTCCTCCGAGGCCTCTCGTGCGAGATCGAGCCGGGGCTCAAGTCGGCGCTGGTGGGGCGCACGGGCGCCGGCAAGTCGTCCATCTTGAACGCCCTCTTCCGACTCGTCGAGATTGAGGCTGGCGGCGCCGTGTGCATCGACGGGGTGGACGTGTCCCGAGTCGGGCTTGACTGCCTTCGCCGCTCCATGGTTGCGATACAGCAGGACGCGGTCCTCTTCGCGGGGACACTCCGGTCGAACCTCGACCCGCTCGAGCAGCAGAGCGATGCCCGCCTCCTTGAGGCGCTGCGCAAGGTCGACTTCGAGCGGGCGCTCGGGGCGAGGATCGAGCTTGGCAGCAGCGTCTCCGACGGCGGCTCGAACTTGTCGTCAGGCAGCCGGCAGCTGCTCATGCTCGCTCGTGCGATGCTGTCCAGCGCACGCATCCTCGTAATGGACGAGGCCACCGCGAGCTGCGATTTCGACACCGATGCGGCGATGCAGGCCGTTGTTCGATCTCACTTTTGCGGCGCCACGATCCTCACGGTCGCGCACCGGCTCGACACCATCCTGGACTACGATCGCGTCTTCGTCATGTCCAGCGGCGCCCTCGCCGAATCGGGCTCGCCCGCGGAGCTCATGGAGCGGCCGGACTCGAGCTTTGCCCAGCTCGTGGCGCAAGCTGGGCGCGGATCCGTCGCTCGCTTCACCGAGCTGTCGACTCGGAGGAGGCCCCACACTGCTCCGCCGCGCGGCTAGTCACGATCGCAAGGAGGGGGTGCCGAGTCTCGTTCGTCTGCACTTCTAATATCTTTATCTGAATCTCTCAACACGACGTGTTTGTGTCTATATATCCAATCGTCGTCTCAGTTACTCAAAGGGTGTGTGTGTTCTTGTCGTTGTGGTCGACGGGCGGATACCCGCGACGCGGGATGTCGGCACAAAGCCCCATGGATAGGGTGCTGCCCGCACGCGCCCCCAGCCAGCGCGGGGCGTGTCACAGCGCCCGAGCGGCAGATACTCTGTTACCCAATACACCAGAATCCAGATCGGCCATCGGACCCACGCACGCCGCCGGAGAGACACACTGACACGGACAGGACACTCCACAACGCCACAAGCACAAGAGAAGTAGAGAACCAGAAGGGCACGCTTGGCACAAAAACAATGGAGGTCCACAACCCTCACGTTTGTGGAGCCTAGCCTCCTCCATTCTTCAGTCTGGGAGCACCATCTCAAAGACGGCAGGAACGGCGGCGGCCACTGCCTGGCCGACTAGAAGCGTCACGAGCGCGTACCGCGCCGAGTTGAATGGCGAGAGCAGCCTCAGCTCGTTGACGAAGCTCGAGACGGTGGAGAGGGAGCCCGCCGCGCCGAGCGAGGCTGCCCCGAGCATCGCACTCGCCTGCGGGCTCAGCTCGCCTCTCGATCCGTAGTGCGCCTGCGCACCGCCAGCCGGGGTGAGGCACCTCTCAGGCAGGCGAGCCCAGGCAGGCGAGGCCAGGATGTGGCAGGCGAGGCCAGGCTGTGGCCGGCGCCTGCAGCTCGTACACCGAGCAGGTGATGGCGGCGCCCAACGCGTTGCACAGGAGGGTGTACAGCGGCAGCTTGGGGTGGCGCCGGTTGCCAAAAGCGAGAGCCTATGACGTTGCGGCTGCAACACCTCACCGGTGGCAGAGAGCAGCTGTCGGGTGGTGGCGGTGACTCGCGTAGCGCAGCACTGCACAGGGAGGGGAGAGGAGCAGCGCCGTGTAGAGGGTGAGCGAAGCGGTGGCGGCGTCGGCGTCGGCGGCCGTGTCGACGGCTGCGGCGGCGGCTCGGACGGCCACGCACACGACCGCGAGGAGCAGGAGCAGCGTCGCGGCGGAGCAGGGCAGCTTGTACGTGTTGTAGACGTGGTACTTCGTCTCTGTGCGCTGCAGCTGAGGCACCGGCCGCGCCATCGAAGCGGCTCTCGAGAGTGCGCGCTGCGCGAGCGAGGGCGGCGGCTCTCCCTTGCCCACGAGGCTGCGGCGTGACGGGACCCCCTCGCCGAGCGGCTGCTTGGCTCGCGCGCCTGCCTCCGACGAGCGGTCGTCGAGCTCGTGTATCACCTCGTCGAGGTCGAGCTCCTCGACGTCAACCTGCCGGGTCAGAGGTGCGATGCCGGGACAGATTGCAACGCCCGGACAGAGGTGCGATGCCGGGACACAGATATGCGGGCCGGCGGTGGCGGGCGGCGGCGCATCGCATCTCTGGGGCGAGAGGCCCGCATCTCTGACGGATCCGCATCTCCCCGGGCTGCGCCTCGCCTCCGCCTTGGAGGAGCGGAGCGAGTGCGAGCGCGCTCCCGCGCCCGCAGCAGGAGCTGCTGGGGCCGCCGGGGTGGCGGCGGCGGCGCGGACACGCGCGGGGACGAGCGCAGCGCCTGGCCAGGGCGGGGATGAGGCGGGAGGGTGGGCGGAAGGCGCAGGCAAGCGACTGCAGGGTGCCGGTGGCGATTGCGTGCTGCGGTGGCGTTGCGGCGCGCCGATGCCGAAGCCGAAGCGGAGCGAGGCGAGCGCGGCGGCGAGGCCAACCACAAGGCAGAGCGCCGCCCGAGCTGCGGCCCCGGCGGCGAGCGTCTTCGCCGCCTCTGCGTTCCACGCGGAGAAAGTGGTGGTGCAGCCGCACAGGCCGGTCGTGATGCCGACGTACACGTTTGGGAAGCGCGGCAGCACATACGGGGCCCAGCCAGCGAGGATGCCCATCACGAGCGAGCCTGCGCACGGTGTGAGCAGGCTGAGCGGCCGCGGCCAGAGTGCAGAGGAGGGTGCTGCGCACCGACGCAGTTGGCGAGCAGGTCATGAAAGGCGACATGCTCCAGCGAGGCGGCGTCAACCCCAGCGGCTGGGGCAGTGCCGGCCTGCACCGACAGCCTGCCGAGCGCATGCCGTGTCGCCGTACCCGCGACGGCACAAATTGCGACGAACGCGACGTTCGTCGCCTGCTGGTGCGTCGCCGGCGTGTCCTTAGCGTAATAGTGGTCGTAGACCAGAACGCCGCGGCGGCGAGTGCGCGCGGGCGCCGCCAAGCCGGCCGTGCTATTCATGTCTATTCCTCGATGGATGGGAGTGGTCTGGGAGAGGCCTGGGAGGGCGGCGGCTACTGGAGCCCCGGAGCAGAAGGCAGAGGAGAAAGAAGAAATCACGGGTGAATAAGCGGCGTGGCGTGGAGCGGTTGAGCATCCCTCCGGGGGGCCCTCTGCGCCGGGGAGGCGTTGTTGGAGGCTAGGACGCAAGCGTCCGTCGCCCTTTTCAAACTCGGGGCCCACTCCGTCCGCTGCTACGCTCCGACCTGAATTTGGAGGGCCTGAAAGTTTAAGGTGTGTTGCTGCGCAATAGGGGTCGGACACAGGGCGCAGCTCATGCCAAGAGCTAGAAGGGGAGCTAGAGAGACGGACTACCCTGTCCCGTTATTGCGTACACCAACACCGCACTGGCCTCGCGTCTCGAGGGGAGGACGGCTCGTAACTGAGGTCCTGCGGGGACAGTCGTCCTCCCCTCAACCCGACGAGAGTGGGCGGGCAGTCCCCGTGGCTGCAGTCGCGCTTCCGAGCCGACTCCGCCCCTCTCTCCACCCGGCCATTCCAACCGCCAGGCCGCTCGCTTAAGGCTGATTGGCAGCTGATTGGCTAGACGAGCGGCCTACCTCCAACGGGGCGGTCTGGATCACGGGGGATGACATCCTGCCTCCCGGCACGCCGGGAGGAGGTGGGTGCTCCGCCGCCGGACCGCCCTCTCCACCACCCTCGCCCAGGGATCTACAATGCTGTCTTAAGGTCCGACAGGTTCGGCACCGGGCACCGCCTCGGTATACAAAATGCGCCTGCGGGCGGACCCTCACAGATCACAGATCACACCAACACCACAAAAGCTATCTCTCTCCTGTCCTCACTCAGAGGGGGGTCACAACTACCGAGTCTCTCGACTAGCTGCCACGTTGCCGACCGAGAGCGGATCTCCTCCTGCTCCGCAAGGAGGGTGGCCAAGGCTAAAGTCTTGCCGGAGCCGCCGGGCGCGTTGACGACTTGGAGAAGGTCGCCCTTGTACTTGTACTTGTAGTAGGTGCTCGAGGGGGTGCTTTGTGGGGCGGTGCGCAGCCAGGCCAGCAGTGAGGGGAGGCGCACCCTCACTCTCCTCGGTTGCAGAGCTCGTCGGAGGCTGCGGCACGACGGGAGGGTCGCGACAGCAGTCCTCGGGCGAGCCGACGCGCATGTCCAACCAGCGCTGGGACTCGTTGTGACGGCAGACGCCGGCTGCCTCTCCAACCGCTTCTGCAGCGTCCTTCTTTGCCCGGTGCATGGGCTCGATCCGATTCCGCATCGTGTCGTCCCCAGCGGCGGTGCTGAGGCGGACGCGGGCACGTCAGCGGCTTCCCCTCAACGCCGGAAGCAACCGAACGCGGACGTCCTGGTTTTTCCCGTAAAACGAAGCGATGTCTGGCACAGCTGAAGGCTTGCGTCCGTCCACGGCCGAGAGCACATGGTTTCTGCACGGTATTCGGATTTTGCTATTTGTTCGTGTGCGGGGTATATTGCAGATTTGTCAATGGTACCGCGTCTGCGACGCGGGCGCCTTGCGGGCAGAGCCCTTAGCCACCCTTTATATCTTGCGCGGTCATAAAGGGGAGGCCACACTCGGCACGGGAAAGGCGCGCACTGGCACTAACACAGGTACACCAGTGTGCGCGAACAGAATTGGCTGCTTATTAACACAGGTACACCACGGCGAAAAAGATTTGTCTTAGGGCCAGTCTCGTACCCGGTGTTGTGCGAAAATAATTAACCAGGAGGGCGCAGTCGGCCAGCGCAGCAGGCGGAGTCCCTCCCCGCGCCGGAGCCCCCCTGCAGTCGAGGGAGTCCTCGTTGGCGATGAAGGTGGCGACATCGAATCGCGGCCGACACACGTCACGGGAGGAATGGGCGATGAGCGGGAACGATGCGCGCTACGACGCCGACTCCGCCGTGCTCGTGGCCGCAGAAAGCCGCGCTCCAGGAGCACGCCAAGATGCAATGGCTCGCTTGCTTCGATTCAGCTCTCTCGGCAGCAGAAGTGGGGCTGGAGCGGGTGGGGGTGGATGCCGATTGAGGGGGAGCGTCTCCAGCTGCGCCCTGTGGCAGCTGCGCCCTGTGGCAGCTAGTCGAGGGACTTGGTAGTTGTGACCCCCCTGAGTGAAGACAGGAGAGAGAGAGCGTTTTGTGGTGTTGGTGTACGCAATAACGGGACAGGGTGGTTGTTCTCTCTATCTCCTCTTCTAGCTCTTAGCATGAGCTGCGCCCGGTGTCCGACCCCTTTTGCGCAGCAACACCTTAAACTTTTAGGCCCTCCAAATTCGGGTCGGAGCGTAGCGGAGTGGGCCCCGAGTTTGAAAAGGGCGGCGGACGCTTGCGTCCTAGCCTCCAACAACGCCTCCCCGGCGCAGAGGGGCCCCCGGAGGGATGCACAACCGCTCCACGCCACGCCGCTTGCGGCGGTCCTCTTCCCAGCTCCGCTGAGGGCCTCTGCGTTATTTTCTTGACGCTGGTGCCTCGCAGCCTCCAGCCGCCACGAAGCCGGCCTCTTTGCGGCACAGTCAGCTGAGCACAGTGCCAAGCTCGCAACAATGCCCAAAAAGCAAAAGTCCGCCGCCGCCCGTCAGACGTGGCGATCTGTCGCCCTCGAGGAGGAGTCTCTCCGCTTCGCTGAGAGCGGCGGCTTCCTCTCGCTGGAAGAGATCGAGCAGCCTCTCTACGACCCCGCCCAACCATTCTCTGCCGCAGCCGACGACGTCGAGGCTGGCGATAGTGGAGTGGGCGCGTCGCAGCTTGAGCTCGCACAGGCTGAGGTCGATCGCTTGATGCGGATGCACGCGGCGGCGCCTCGTGGCGAGGACGCGGCAGCCGAGGGCGAGCGCAAAGAGAAGCGGAAGCGCGCCAAGGCCGCACGCAACGATCAGGGCTGCTCGGTCGCCGATAACGCGGAGGGCGAGGCGGGTGGCGAGGCGGGCGACGTGCCCCCACCAAAGAAGAAGCGCTCGCGGCAGAAGAAGCGCAAGAAGAGCGACCGCAAGGCTGCGGCCTCGAAGGCGGAGGCGGCGGAGGCAGGAGCGGAGAGCGACGAGGCGGCGGACGGAGCGGCGGCGTCGCCGCAGGCTGGCGGCGGCGGCTGCGGCGGCGAGGCCACAGCTGAGGGTGGTGCATGTGTGGATGCGGCGGAGGCGCGGTCCAGCTGGGAGCCGCTCGGCCTGCACCCGACCCTGGTGGAAGGGATGGTGGCGTGCGGCTTCAGCGGGCCGACGCCCATCCAAAAGGCTGCGCTCCCTGCGGCGTTGCACGGGTTGCGCGACGTGGTCGGCGCGGCCGAGACCGGCTCCGGCAAGACCCTCGCCTTCGGCCTGCCCATCCTGCACCGGCTGATAGAGGTGACACGTCCGAGACACTTCCGAGACACTTCCGTAGGCCTCCCCATCCTCCACCGGCTGATAGAGCGCTTCGAAGCGCGCGGCGGTGGCGGCGGCGGCGGCGGCGGCGACGACGGGTTGTTTGCTCTCATACTGACGCCGACCCGCGAGCTTGCGATGCAAGTCTGCTCGCACTTGCTTGCCGCCGCCTCCGCGGCCCCGCACCTCGGCCTCACCGCGCGGGCGATTGTGGCGCTCGTGGGAGGACCTTCCCCCGCCACGAGGGGCTCGGGACCTTCTCGGGGGCAGTCTCGGAGGCGTCTCGGAGCTCTGTAGGCGTGCCCGCCTCTGTAGGCACGCCACTGTGGACATGCACAGAGAGGAGGCATGACTCCCTGTGTGTAGGCATGTCCCTCGACAAGCAGCGGCGGCAGCTCGAGTCCAGGCCGCCGGTGGTGGTTGCGACGCCGGGCCGGCTGTGGGAGTTGATGAGCGAGGGGAGCAGCCACTTGCAGGCCCATCTCGCGGCTCTGCTGACGAGGCAGCCGCTCGTCAGCAGCCACTCGTTGAGCCGTGAGCAGCTGCTTACTCCCTGCTAGGAGCTGTCGCGGCTCCGCTTCTTCGTCCTCGACGAGGTGGACCGCATGATCGAGGCCGGCCACTTTCAGGAGGTGACCCGCCTCCTCGACCTCCTCAACAGACCCGCCGCCCCCGCCCCCGCCCCCGCCGACGCCGACGCCAACAGCGCCGCCGCCGCCGCTTCGGCCGCCACCGGGCCCCGCCAGACCTTCCTCTTCTCGGCGACGCTGATGCTCCCGCCCGCCGCGCGCGAGACGCACGCGAAGCGGGTCGCGCAGCACAAGCCGCTGCCATCCGGGTCGGCGGCGGACTCGCTGATGCAGAAGGTTGCCTTTCTCAACCCGCTCAAGGCCTGCCCCCCGTGCGAGAGGCGGCAGCACGCGTCGCTCGTGTTCTCAGCGGCGTGGGGCGGGACGCGCATAGGTGGTGGACCTCTCCCGCTCCACACTCGTCGCCGCGCAGCTGCAGCAGGCCCAGCTGCAGTGCCTCGCCGAGGAGAAGGCGCCGCCGCCACCACCACCGCCACCCGCACCACACCTGCATGGAACGCCCTCAGCAAGTGGAGTCGACTTTCGCGCGCGGCGCGCCCCCCGACCTCCCCTCCGAGCCTCCCCCCTCCCCCTCTGCCGCCGCCGCAGGACGGCGCCCTCTTTGCGCTGCTCGGCACGCGGGGCGGCCGCTCCATCGTCTTTTGCAACGCCGTCACCGCCGTCTCGCGGCTGAGGTCGCTCCTCTCCCTGCTCGGACTCAACGTCATCGCGCTGCAGGGCGGCATGCAGCAGCGCGCTCGCATTAAGGCGCTCGAGCGCTTCCGCGCCGCATCGTGCGCGCACAGACTGTCGCCGGCTGCCGCAGCGATGTCGCGCCTCGACTCAGCCCTGCTCCTCGCCGCAGGTGCGCTGTGCTGCTCGCGACGGATGTCGCCGCGCGCGGGCTCGACGTCAAGGGCGTCGAGTACGTGGTGCACTACCAGCTGCCGCGCTCGGCGGAGGTGTACGTCCACCGCTCAGGCCGCACGGCTCGCGCCGCCGCGGCGGGCCTCTGCGTGTCGCTCGTCGAGCCGTCGAGCTCGCGTGCCTTCCGCAAGCTCTGCCACGAGCTGAGCGTGCCGCAAGGGCTCGACGAGTACCCGATGCCGCCAAAGACGCTCGCCGCCGCGCTCGAGGCCGCGAAGCTCGCGCAGAAGGTCGACAAGGCGGAGCACAAGAACTCGCGCGCGGCGAAGCAGGCCTCGTCCATGCGCCGAATGGCGGAGGAGATGGATCTGCCCGTCTCGTCCGACGACGAGGAGGAGGAGGAGACGCGGCACTCGAACGGGCGGCAGCAGGCGCGAGAGGCGGCGCTTGTCGCGCGCCAGCGAGACGACCTTCGGCGTATGCTGGGCAAGCTCGGCTGGCCCGCGGGAGGGGCGGCAGCTAGCTAGAGACCCTGACAACATTGTGGGGGTCTGGTAGGGCTGCGACTGCTGCCGGTGTTACGTCAAGATCCGACTCTCCGCGCTCGGTGTTCTTTCAATAGGCTGAAAGAGATTATTCAGATGTTTCGCGGAGCACTATTGTTCCTGTTTAACCCATCTCCTAGTAGAGGTGTCCGTTTAATTTTCCAGGCCGGCCCAGCACACTTGCGCCTCCGAGTTGCCGAAGTCCGGATTCCCGAACTGGATGTCGAGCGCGGCGTAGCCGGAATTGGCATGCTTCCGCGGTCCAGAGGTCGACGGATGGAGGACGGGCCCACACGCACACGCACGCTGCACACGATTGGGAAAATATTTGCGCCCGCTGGGGCCCGGCTGGGGGAATTTTTTTGCTTCAGCCCACAACGACATACTCGAGTAGCTTTTTGGTGGGTCGTGGGTCGCAAGCCCTCCTCCCACCTCCCCCCCACTTGCCGCAGCCTCCTCCGCACACACACACATGTCCCGCCGCGGCGCCGCACGCCTCGTCTCCCAATTAAGAACACACACACACACATTCCCCGCGAAATGAGAGAGCCGTAACGTGCGCTGCCGCTGTTAGTCTGCTCATGTGTGTCATGCGAATTGTGAGGGGGGCACACGTCACTTGGGTTCTTAATTGCATCTTGGCACTTGGCGGGAGGAGCACAGAAGCACAGAGTTGGAGCACTTGGAGTGCGGTCATTTTAGCCTCACATCCAGGGCCGGCGAGCTAAGAATTTTACAACAAAGCTCCCTCTCACGACACTGGGCACTTTACTGGCGAGCTGAAGCGCACCCATGCAGCGCGCCAGATGATCGGCCACCCGTTACAGCTTACACGAGGTCTAGGCGCCGCACGACCTGTGGCCTGCCCGCGCACGCGCAAACTCACATCACCCGCTCGCGACGGTCTCAGCCAGCCATCATGCCGCAGCAAGCGGGATACTGGAAGCCCTCGTACGACCTGAATCACTTTGGGTCGTCAAAAGCAATGCATGACCTCAGCTATCGCCTCGGCCAAGCATTGCCGCGCCAGGGCGGCGTCCGGCTTCCTAACCGCACTTCGGCGGGTGCACCCTATGACCCAGCGCGCCAGAGCAGCGTTGGGAGGCTACCCCCGATGCTGACGCCGGGCGGCAGAGGTGCTCGAATTGGAATAGCCGCTCCTCACAGCGTGCCGTCGTTTGAGCCGCGTCCCGATGCCACTCCCGCGAGCAGCGGAGTCGGCTTTGGCAAAGAACTGTTGGAAATCGTTCGAGAGATGCGCGAGCAGCTTGCATCGCAGCAGCGCTCCATCGCACAGCTGACGGAAGAGCAGCGGCACACTCCTGCACCGCTGTCTCACGACTCTGCAGAGATCGACGCTCTCAAAGAAGAGGTTGTGACTTCAAAGGCAGAGATTGAGTCGCTACGGGGCCGAGTGGCGGCGCTCGAGGCTGCCTTGCATGCCACAGCAACACAATCTGCATCGCGTCTCGAACCGGGCTCCGGACCGCGAGTGACGGCTAGTGCGGCAGAGGTTCCGTGCGTTGACGAGACCAACAACGCCAGAAGCGCAAAGGCAACCGAGCAGGATGCGCACTTCACGCAAAGCTTTTCCGTAACTGCTCGCCACCCACACCCGTCGTACCACGGTATTTTTGCCGGTACATTTGAGGCCGAGGAGGAGGCCGCCGCAACTCGGGTGGGTGCGGTGTACCGCGGGAGCGCCGCGCGCAAGCAGGTGGCGGCGCGGCGCACGGCCGGCGACTCGAGCGACCCAGCTGCCGCCGCTCCCGAGGACGGTCCGGGCGAGGAGGACATCCTGGCAGCCACCAAGCTCGAGGCACGTGTGCGAGGCCGAGCGGCGCGCGCCGAGGCTGCTCGACGGCGGGCGGCGGGCGAGTCGAAGGAGGCCGTTGCAGCGGCGGAGGCGGAGGCGGACGTGGCAGATGCCAATGCGGAGGCGATCGCGGCGCGAGAGCCTTCCGAGGAGGAGGTCATGGCTGCGACTCGGATGGGTGCACTCTACCGCGGGAGCGCCGCGCGCAAGCAGGTGGCGGCGCGGCGCACGGCCGGCGACTCGAGCGACCAAGCTGCCGCCGCTCCCGAAGACGGTCCGGGCGAGGAGGACATCCTGGCAGCCACCAAGCTCGAGGCGCGTGTGCGAGGCCGAGCGGCGCGCGCCGAGGCTGCTCGACGGCGGGCGGCGGGCGAGTCGAAGGAGGCCGTTGCAGCGGCGGAGGCGGAGGCGGACGTGGCAGATGCCAATGCGGAGGCGATCGCGGCGCGAGAGCCTTCCGAGGAGGAGGTCATGGCTGCGACTCGGATGGGTGCACTCTACCGCGGGAGCGCCGCGCGCAAGCAGGTGGCGGCGCGGCGCACAGCCGGCGATGAGACGGCGGCAGACGCACAAGACGAGGATGTGGCAACGGACGCGGAAGATCAGCCTCCGAAAGACATCGATCATCCGGCCCAAGAGGACGGTGGGACTGAGACAAAGGCAGACACGACGACAGAGGGCGGCGGCGGCAATGAAGAACCAGAGGCGGATCAGACAGCGGAGGCAGAGGTGAAGGCAGAGGCGGAGACGATTCCTGATGGAGAGGTTGGAGCTGACGCGGTTGTTGCTGCCAGTGAGGCAGGAGGTGCCGATGCAGAAGCTGGGGAGCGTGACGCCATCGAGGCCACACCTGGCGAGGCTGCGGGTGACGTCGAGGCGATTCCTCTTGACGAGGCCCAGGCCGGAGGTGAAGAGGCGGCTACAGGTGAAGACGCGGAGGCGATTCCTGATGGAGAGGTTGGAGCTGACGCCGTGGCTGCTGCTGCCGGTGAGGCAGGAGGTGCCGACGCGGAAGCTGCGGAGGGTGACGCCAGCGACGTCACACCTGGCGAGGCTGCGGGTGACATCGAGGCCACTCCTGAGGCCCAGGCCGGAGGTGAAGAGGCAGCTGTGGGTGAAGATGCGGAGGCTTCACCTTGAAAAGGGCCGCTTCTGCCATCCTCACGCTCCAGCCGCAAACACGGGGGAATACCGGTCGAGTCCGCACAGAGAGTTTCGGCAGACTCGCAAGAACTTCAATCGGGGGGCGCCTGTGTGTAAGAATGGTACGAAGAAAGAAAATGGAGAATGTGCACATAGGAGGGGCGTGAGAGAGAGGACGAGAGGAAGTTGGAACCTCTCCGCTCCCCCCGCGCGCGTGGGGGGGTGTATTCCGTACGCGCACGCCGGCGCTTTAGAGTCCCGCGACGGTACGGCACGAAACGTGGTACGCCAGAAAGAAAGGAGAGAAAACAGAACCCCCTTCGGAAGAAAACAGAACGAGCAGAGCAGATAGAAGTGGAGCGGCAAAGCCTCGCAACTTCGAACTCTTTCTCTCTAGCCGTCTAGGGGGTCTAGGAATGCCGCTCAAGGGGGGTTGGATAGGTAACCAGTCCCACAGACCCCTCGACACCCCTAGGTGCCCAGGTGCCCGAACCAAGAGCCAGAACATGCGCCGCACGCGACGGAGCACGGGGTGATGCTCACAAAAGTCGTCGATGTTCATGCCTTCCCCTGACACGGTCATCCGGTCGGCGCGACGCCCAGAAAAGTCCGACCGCGCAGCATGCTAAGAGACCGCGCACGTCACTACGACGGCTGTGGACAGACCCGGCGGCGGTGGCGAAGCTGGCGGTGGCAGCGAAGGCGGCGGTCTCGGTGGTGGCGGCGAGGGCGGCGGTGGGCTCGGAGGCGGAGGCGACGGCGGCGGCGGGCTCTGTGGTGGCGGGGGCTGGGAAGCGGTGGCGAGGGTGGCGGCGAGCTGGGCGACGGCGATGTGGTCGGCGGCGGTCTCGGTGGTGGCGGCGAGGGCGGCGGCGGCGAGGGCGGCGGCGGCGAGGGCGGCGGCGGCGAGGGCGGCGGCGGCGACGGAGTCGGCGACATAGAGGTGGCAGGCTGGGCGGTGGCGGCGAGGGCGGAGGCGGGCTCGGCTGGGGCAGCGAGGGTGGGGGTGGGGTCGGCGGGGGCGGGCTGGGCGGCGGCAGAGATGGAGGCGGCGGCGAGGGCGGCTGTGGCAACGAGGGGTTGGCGGGCTTGGTGGCGGCGGCGAGGGTGGCGGCGGTGATGGTGGCGGCGGGATGGGTGACGGTGGGCTGGGTGGCGGAACCGAGGGTGGTGGAAGCGAGGGTGGTGGTAGCGACGGTGGCGGCGGACTCGGCGGCGGTGAGCTGGGAAGCGGCAGCGACGGAAGAGGTGACGATGGAGGCGGATTGCAGCAGCAGCCTTCTCATGCCACCTCACGAACATCGAAGTTGAAGTACCATGGGGTGCATGTGCATGTGCATGTGCATATGCACGTGTGCGTGGTGTGTGTGTGTGTGTGTGTGTGTGTGTGTGTGTGTGTGTGTGTGTGTGTGTGTGTGTGTGTGTGTGTGTGTGTGTGTGTGTGCATGTGCGTGTGCGTGTGCGTGTGCGTGTGCGTGTGCGTTGTGCGTGTTGCGTGTGTGCGTGTGTGTGTGTGTGTCTTGTGGTGTGTGATTTTGAAAACCAACAAGAAATCAATCCCTAGTCTGGCCGATTCTTTTCGCGGTATCCGCGGCGGGATATGGCGGGATATGGCGGGATATGGCGGGATATGGCGGGATACCGGGAGATACACGCGGATATGATGAGATACGGAGCCCCCATGCATGATTGTTCACGACAACGTCCGTGAAGCGTGAAACCGCAAATCGGACGCGACGGGCGAACTTCGCGCTTCGACGGCCCCGCTTGTCGAGCGCTTGTCGATTCCCATGATTGGCGAGAGCTCGTCATCGACGAAGCGATGTCTAAGTTTTTTTTTGCCGTCGCGCTCTGCGGCCGGAGCGCGGAGAGGCCGGGCTGCTCGGCGTGAGGCGGGCAGGATACGGCGGGATATGGCGGGATATGGCGGGATATGGCGGGATATGGCGGGATATGGCGGGATACGGTCATATATGGAGAGATACATCAAGATACCGCAAAAGAATCGGCCAGACTAGGGCTAAATCACGACTCTCACAGTGATTTGGGCTCGGCAGAGTCTTGTCAGCCCTCGGCCGAAGCTCTTTCTTTCTTGTGTGTGTGTGCGTGCTTCTCTATCTCTCTTCTTGTGTGTGTGCGTCGTCGTGGTTCGTACGTAGCTAGGCATCAAGAATACTAACACACGGTACATGTGGAAGGGTTAAGATCGGTAAAAATAAATAAATAAAACGGACCAAAAGAAAGAAAACAGACAGCCCAAGGGAGGGATGGGAGGACGGCACGCCGCCACCACACAGGGATTTTATAAAGGAGAGGTGTGTGATCCGGACCAAGCTAAAGAAAGAAAACACACAACCCAAGGGTCGACCAAGCTAGGGTGGGCTAAGGGGCTATTGCAATACTCATTTGACTTCCGCTGCCGCCAAGCCCGCCCTCCGCAACACGGGACGCCCCGATGGCTCCAGACAACGAGAAGCGGAAGCGCTACGACAGGCAGCTGCGCCTGTGGGGCGAGCACGGCCAGGCTGCGATGGAAGATTGCTCCGTCTGTCTGCTCAACGGAACCGGCGCCGGCACCGAGGCGCTCAAGAACCTCGTGCTCCCGGGCATCGGCTCTTTCACGGTGGTTGACGGCGCGGTTGTCACCGAGGCGGACCTGGGAAACAACTTTTTCGTCGAGCAGCGCGACCTGCGCACCTCTCGCGCCGCGTGCGTCACGCGCCTGCTGCAGGAGCTGAACGAGCATGTCTCCGGCGCCTTCGTGGCGGAGGACATTGCACAGGTGCTCTCATCGCGCCCCGACTTCCTGCACAGCTTCGGCCTTGTGATCGCCACGCAGCTTCCCTCGCGCGAGCTCTGCGAGGTTGCGCGCATCTGCGCGGACCGCTCCATCCCGCTCATCGCCCTGCACGTGCACGGCTTCTTCGGTGCTCGCCTCTCCTCCTCCGCTCTCCTCCTCCCCTCTCCTCCTCCCCTCTCCCCTCGCCACCGGACCGCCCTCCGGGACACGTCCGCCCAGACTGGCACCCCGTCGTGGCTCGCGACCCCCGACCCAACGACCACACGCCCGCCCACCCCTCACCTCCGCCCTCTCCCTCCCCCCTCCCACCCCGCCTCGCACCTCCCGCCCCTCCCAAGCCGCCGGCCCCGCTCGTCGCGCGAGTTCCGCCGGCCTCTCCACCCCTCCCTGCCGCATCGCAGGCTACCTCCGCCTCGCCCTCCCGGAGCACGTCGTCGTCGAGTCCCACCCCGCCCACGCAGCCTCCTCTCCCCACGCAGCCAGCAAGGCAGAGAGCCGCCCGCCCCACCCCGCCGCGTGGTCTCCTCCAGGCGATGCTCGACCTGCGCGTGCTGGCGCCGCCCGCGGAGCTGCGCAGCCTCGTCGCCGACCGCTTCGCCTCCCTCGCCGCCCTCCCCGACGCCGAGTTCTCGTGCGCACGCCCCTCGCCGCAGCAGAAGCAGCAGCAGCAGCAGCAGTAGCAGCAGTAGAAGCAGCAGCAGAAGAAGCAGCAGCAGCAGCGACAGCACCGACCCGCCCCCCCGCGCGCCTGACGCCCTCCCCCCCTCCCGCCTCGCAAGGCACGTCCCCTACGTCGTCCTCCTGCTGCACGCTGTCGAGGAGTGGTCCGCCGCTCACGCGGGCGCCCACCCCTCCAGCTACGCGCAGAAGAAGGAGGTGACGCGCTGCTCGAGACGTACCGATGCTGCTGATCAGTCATCATTCATTAGGATTGACTACTAGGTGCGCGCGCTGCTCGAGACGTACCGATGCTGCTGATCAGTCATCATGAATTAGGATTGACTACTAGGTGCGCGCGCTGCTCGAGACGTACCGCCGCCCGCACCTCCTCTCGGACACGAACATCGAGGAGGCGCTCGCCGCGGCAAACACGGCCCTCTCGCGGCCAGAGCCGAGCCGCGACCTCTCCTCCCTCCTCGCCTCCGCCCGAGGTCGCCCCCTCGCCTCCGCCCGCAGACCTCGCCCCCGTCCCTCGGCGGAGAGCACCCTCGCCGCCCACAGGCCGCCTCTCTGGCCTCGCCGCCGAGGTGCACGCCGCGACGGCGCGCGGCGAGGAGGCGCCCGCAGGCCAGCGCACCCTGCTCTCCTTCTGGCTGATGGCCGCGTCGCTGCAGGCCTACGTCGCAGGCACGCGGTGCAGGGCGGCGGTGTAGGGCGGCGGTGCAGGGCGGCGGTGCAGGGCGGCGGTGTAGGGCGGCGGTGCAGGGCGGCGGTGTAGGGCGGCGGTGTAGGGCGGCGGTGTAGGGCGGCGGTGTAGGGCGGCGGTGCAGGGCGGCGGTGTAGGGCGGCGGTGCAGGGCGGCGGTGTAGGGCGGCGGTGCAGGGCGGCGGTGTAGGGTGGCGGTGTAGGGCGGCGGTGCAGGGCGGCGGTGTAGGGCGGCGGTGTAGGGCGGCGGTGTAGGGCGGCGGTGTAGGGCGGCGGTGCAGGGCGGCGGTGTAGGGCGGCGGTGCAGGGCGGCGGTGCGCCGCGCACTCGCACCCCGCCTCACTCTCCCCGCCCCTCCGCCTGCAGGCGAGGGAGGCGGCCTCCTCCCAGCAAGCGGTCGCGCTGCTCTGCCGCACGGCGCAGCTCGCTCGCATCCTCTGCAGCAGCTGCCGAGGCTCGTACCCTTAGGCGCGTTGCCCGACATGACGGCCGACACCGCCACCTACGTCCAGCTCCAGGAGCACCACCAGCCCAGCAGTCGGAGCCTCGACCTCGAGACCTCGAGACCTCGAGCCCCGCCCCCCCAAAGCAGCCGTGGCAGAAGAGCTCTTCTGACCAGGCTCCGCCCCCCCCCCCCCCCCACCGGAGGAGCTCTACGCGCGGCAGGCCCGCGCCGACGTGGCCGCCGTCGCGGCGCACGCCGCCCACATTGCGTCGCTCGAGTCGCTTCCGAGCGACCTCGCGCCTCTAGCGGAGCTGACCCGCTTCTGCAAGAACGCGCCGCACTTGGCCGTCCTCCGCTTCCGCTCGGTCGAGGAGGAGTACGCGGCAGACGCGCCCGTCGCCGCCGAGCTGACCCGCGCTCTCGCCGCCGACGACCCCTCCTGCGCGATCCTCTACATCTTGCTGCGCGCGTCGCAGGCCTTCGCGGCGCAGCGCGGCCACGCGCCCGGCTTCGCCGACGCCGACGTGGAGTCGGACATGCCGGCGCTGCGCTTGTGCGTCGCCGAGCAGCTCAAGAGGCTCGGGCTCAACGGCGAGCGGCCATGCCCCGTCTCCGACGATTGGGTCGCCGAGTACTGCCGCTGGGGCGGCGCAGAGACGCACAACATCGCGTCGGTGCGCCAGCGGCTCGCACCCTCCGCCCCGCCCAGCATGCTCCTCACTCCAGCCCCTCTCGCCCACTAGCCTCCCCTCTCGCCCACAGGTGCTCGGCGGTAATATAATATAATATAATATAACATGATATGATAGCCTCCCCTCTCGCCCACAGGTGCTCGGCGGCGTCGCGGCGCAAGAGGCCATCAAGGCGGTGACGCGGCAGTACGTCCCGCTCAACAACACCTTCCTCTTCAACGGCTCCAACGGCGTCACCGCCGTCTACGAGCTCTGAGCCGAGGAGCGACAGCGGGACGAGCCCTGCTGCAGCGGCAGGCTGGAGAGCCAGCGCGGGTCTCTGGACTGGGGCGGAGTGGGTTGGGGCGGTGCTCCACCAGCTCTGCACAACTCGAGGGGCGCTCGTCTCTGCCCCTCGGCGCAGGCGGGCCGCGGGTCGCTCTCATTACATGCCGGGCGTCGAACGCCAGCGCGGGCCGAGCCACACCGCTCGCACGCAAAACAGCCTCTACGGTGTCTCCGGCTCGCAGAAGATGGCATGACTCTCATGCGTCTGGGGCGGGACGTGTTGCGTACAGGGGAGGGGAGAATGCTGACAGCGCACTCGTTAGCTTTCCCCATCATTTGGTGGAGCTCTGCAGATTTCTTTTTTGGGCGCGGCGTACGCCCCGAGAGAGCGAGTACAGTAAGCACGGCAGCGTGTACCTTTCGCCCTCGAGGTGCAGCAGTGCACACTCGAAGGCTGAAGGCGTACACGCTTGCTGCAGCGAAATCACAGACGTTGCCATCGATGCCACGGCTCCGAGTGTCGCTCGGCCTCAACTCTGGCAGCAGGTCGGGGCAGCCGGCGTGCACTGTGGTAATCGACCCGAGTGGCGCGGCGCTGATGCAGGCGGTGAGCAACAAGCTGCGGCTCAAGAAGCGCGAAGCAGCGTCCGCACACCTCTACGTGTGGAGCACCGGCGTGCGAGTCGATCTGGCCGCTGCCGACATCAGTGGCTGCGTCGCTGACGGCGACCTTGTCGTGGTTGGCTTTGGCGAGCCATTCGCAGGCAAGCAGCCCGCCGCTGCGGCAGCGGGCAGCGATCCCCGGGCATGGGAGGCCCGCTGGGAGGCGCGGTCGGCCGACCTGGCCCTGGTGGAGTGGCGCGACGCGGTGGCGATGAACCGAGCGCTCGGCCGCCTCTCGACGCTGCTCGAGCACCCGGCGCACCGCGGCAGGCTCGTGAGCCACGCACAGCAGCGGCGGCTGCCGTCGGCGTCATACCTCGGGCACAACCTGTACGCAGACACGCTCCGCAGCTTTGAGAGCCTCGCCGCCGCCGCCCGAGAGGCTGAGGCGGCTGCTTCGCCCGCGGAGCTCGCCTTCCTCGCCGGGTGGGCGGAGAGAGGCGCGCCGCAAGTGGTGGTCTCGTACGTCTCGGGCGCCACGCCCACCCTCGCCCACGAGCTCTGCCACGCGCGGTACGCGCTGCTGCCGCCGTACCGCGGGGCGGTCGACGCGGCGTGGGCGCGCCACGAGCAGCTCCTCTGCAAGTGGATGGCGGACCTCGGCTACCACGCGTCCCGCCACGCAGACGAGTTTGGCGCCTACCTGCTCACCGAGCCGCACGCCTTCTGGCGAGGCCGCGTGGCGCCGCGCGAGGCGGCAGAGCTGCGCGCCGTGCTCGCCGCCGCCCTCGGCGAGCCGCTGGACAAAACGGAAGGCCCGTTCGGCGTCCGGCCGGTGAGCACTCAAGCGGAGGAGCTGCTGATACCAGGGAGCGTCTAGGGATTTCCCTTCTTAAAAATCACGTCCCGTGCCCAGACCCCAGTGTCGTGAAAGAAAGAAAACAGACAAGCCGCGGCAAGGGAGGGAGTTACGTGGGACGCACTTGGAGCACTTGGAGTGCAGTCATTAACCTCACATCCAGCTTCCAGGGCCGGGACATAAAAGGTCTTTTCTCGCAGCTGCGAGATGTCTACATGCTTTCTCGGAGGGGGCATCCAAAAACAACAGGGCGGAAGGGAGGGGTGACCATACGCGCAGCGCAGGAGGGGTGCCCCTATAAGGGGGCACAAAGGTAGCTCAAAGGGGAGTGAACAAGACGCCGCACAGGCGACGTGCACGCTCGCCGCCTGCGCTCGCCGCGTCGCTCTCTCCCTCCCCTTCTTTGCTTGAATTTTCGGAATACCTCCGCGAAGCTGCCCCCAGCAGGCGTTTGATCAAAATCCAAATCTCTCTACTCCAGTTGAGGCTGCCCTCGGACTCGAGCACTTGGAGAACTTATATAAATAAATAAATACAACGGCTGGGTCGAGGACAGACACGTCCCCACCTTTGCAGGATTTTGCAAAAGCGAGGGGGGAGGGCGCATCGCCGCGCGGAGAGGGCTGGGCACAGGGCACAGGGGATCTCTCTCGCATAGGATATGCACTCGGCGGCACGAGGGCAAGGCTGGGCGTCCTATGTTTGTGCTCCCCCCCGGACCCCTCGCTCTCGGGCACTAACCATCTGACCACTCATCGACGGGGCTTGGCGAGCGGCCGCGCTGCGGGGCAGGGCTGGTGAGGATGGGCTCTGGCCACTCGCCCGTGCGGTTGTAACCGCGCATCAGCCGAACGGAGGCCTCGACCGCCCCTCGCGGCAAGCTCTCGAGCATCTCGAGCAGCTCGCCCGCCGCCATCGCCGCCTCGAACTGCTCCCTCATGCCGAGCGCGCCGCATACCCTGCGGACCGCCTCCTGCTGCACCTCGTCCGGCGTATCGGTTTCATAACTTGGAGAACTTGGAGTCGATTGGAGGAACAGAATTCTCTTCACGCTGCAGCTTGCCGCGGCCCGGTCCAGAGGCCAGCGCAGAGGCCAGCTCATCATGCCTACGCGGCCGTCGATTTCGTACACCCTTTGGTCGCCGTGGGGGGGGGCTTCTGCCCGTGACCGCGGAAAGCTCCAGGAACTTCGCCGGCGCCTCGAGAGCAATCCGGAAGCGACCGTTGCCTGCGTACTTGCCGGCCTCGCACTGCTGGCCTGGGTGGCGACACGCAGGTTCAGCTTCTTCGGCAGAGGCGACGGGGAGGACGACCAGCAAAGGAACGAGGCGGTTGCAGCGCGGCTCCAGCGCTTTGAGAAGGAGCCCGCCCGAGCCAGGCGGCGGAGGTCGCCCCTGCGAGCGGCTCCCTCGCGACGCGCGTTCGACGACCCTCCGCGCCACCATCCCGCGGCAGCGACAGACAACATGCGGCTGCAGGTGCACGGCGAGGAGGTGACGGTTCGCGACGGTGGGTACGAGCCGCAGCGTGCGCGTGCTGTGCTGGACACGGGCAATGCGCACATGACCGTGATCGACGAGGCATTCGCGCGGCGGCACGCCATCTACGCGGAGTCGAGCGCGTTCGCACCCTTGGGCTACACGACCCTGCGCGGCATCAACCCGGGCGCGGAGACTAGGGCGCCGGTGGTGTTGGCGGCGGTCACGCTGCGAGGCAGAGAGTTTCGCATCCGGGCTGCCGTCTCGCCACTCACGCGTATGGATATCCTCGTGGGAATGGACATCCTGGAGGCGCTGTTCGCCGATGGGCTGGCGCTAGGTTGAGTCCCTCTGTGTGTTTTGGTCTCGTGCAAGTACTTTTTTGTTTTTGATCACTTCACACTTGCCGGACTTGAGGAATCGTGTGTATGCAGCAAAACCTGATGCACGTATGCTGTATGGTCTATGGAGACGAGCGACTGGATGAGCGTCTTTTCGGAGTTTTGTGGAGTGCAGGTTATCAGCGGGCATCTGATCGATCCGCCTCGCAATTCTTTTCTCCTCTCAGTGGACAGTGCTGCGACGGTGTATCATTCACTTTATGCCACCAATGCCCGTCTGGGTTTTTTGCGCCGAGTCGAACTGCGGGATTCGAACTCGAGACCCAGTGGCATAAAGTGAATGATACAGCGTCGCAAAGGATATGCAACGGTGGCATAAAGTGAATGATACACCGTCGCAAGTGCGCGCCAGTCGCGTGCCTACATCCTACAAAGGAAAGACAAAGAGAAAGATAAAACACCAAGCTGTCCTCTGTGTCTTACGGCTCTACAAAGAACCCTGCACAAAGATCGCACGGGGCACGGGCGGGGACCTGTTCCTTTTTACCCATCTCACAGTAGAGGTGTCCGTTTTATTTAGTTAGTTATCCTCTGTGTCTTGATCTGCTAACAACGAAAACCTACACCAAAGGGCCCGAAGGAAGAGAAAACAGAAAACCAAACGAGCCAGGGCTGGGACGAGGACAGGGTCCCCACCTGCACCCTCCCTTCTGGACCTGACGGGTTGCTCACTGCGCCCGGTCCAGCAGCGGAGATGGGCAGACCGTCCCAGCAGGTCAAACCGAGGACGAGGACGCTCTGGGCCGGCGCGGGGGCCCCAGAGGGTGTCCATGCGGGGGGGCGATGGGGTCCCATGGCCCGCCGCAGGCGCCGACTTTTTTCTTTTTTTGCGCGATTTTTCAGTTGTTTCACGGGAATTCGGCGTACTTGCGGCCATGCTATCACGCCTTGCGACATCCTTTCGGCGCTGCTGACCGTGCCGTGCTGCACAATTGATCACCTGCATAGCTCGCGGCCTTAGTATCAAGCATTCAGTGACGACCTGATCGTACGGCCAGTAGGAAGGTCAAGGTGTCCTTCCATCGTGTGCACGCTTGGTGCAATGCGCGTCGCCTCGGATTGGCTGCTGGCACTCTCGAGGCTATGCCTACACAGCCTCGCGCGCATGGGCAGTCATGAAGGACCACGCACCTTCTCAGGACAGCGCCGGTGCCTCTCTCTTGGACCGGCAAACTTTGTGGTCTAGTGTCACCAATATGGGACCAGTGCGGCATCGCGCCATCGACAGCTCTGAACTGCGCCTCACCACTGACCGGGGAGGCCGCCAAGTGGGCCAGCACCGGTCGCACATTGTGGCAGCAGTCAGCAGTCCATGGCTGATAGCTAGAGCAGCAGCGTCAGGGTCGCAGGGTCGGATCGTGTCAAGCCTCTCGCCCGGCCGGCCGCGTGCAGACGTCGGCCTGTCTGCTGTCTGGAGTGATCTGTCGGCGGTCAGTACGACCGATCAGGTTGGAGGTTACTGATGATTGGAGGGTCTATCTGTGTGTACTCCTCGAGATCTCTCCAAATCTGCCATCTAATCAACCGTAATCATTCGGGAAGTTGGTGCTAATAGAGACTAATAGAGCCGGAGCCCCGTTTCCGCACTGCGGCGCGGCGCACGGTGCCTCCGGGGGCCCCCGCGCCCCCCCAGAGCGAGGACGCCGCTGCCAACTCACCTTTTGTCCGATCACCAGCGTCTAAGTTTGAGAGCCCGCTCCCAGGGGCTTCATAAGTTCCTTCAACGGCGATGACTACATTCCCGGAGGACTGCTGACGGGGTTGCGGTTTTTAACTAAAAGTGGAAGCAGGGTTTTAACTACTAAAAACCGGCGGCGCGCCCCCTCTTTCGTGCTGACACTGCTGTAGAGCCTACTGTATACTTGATGCAGAGCTTTCCGACGTCATTTTGTTCGCCGCTCCGCTCTCGGCGCCCGCCGCCGCGCGCGCGGCCCGCGCGCCACCCCTTTTGCGCAGCAACACCTTAAACTTCATGGCCCTCCAAATTCGGGTCGGAGCGTAGCGGAGTGGGCCCCGAGTTTGAAAAGGGCGACGGACGCTTGCGTCCTAGCCTCCAACAACGCCTCCCCGGCGCAGAGGGGCCCCCGGAGGGGCTCAACCGCTCCACGCCACGCCGCTTGCGGCGGTCCTATTCTCCGCTCCGCTCCCCGCGGGTTATTTCTCATCACGCCGTATCGGCAGGCGCGGCGGGGGCACAGCCTCGCCCTCACCGCCGACGGCTCCGTCTGGAGCTGGGGCTGGTTGGCCGCCTGCGTTGGGGGTGGCGGGCATGGCGTTCGCGGCGGAGGATGTGCCGCCCGCTCGCGTAGCCGCCGACGTAATCGAGGACACACTCCTGCCCGCCAAAGAGCAGGTTGCTGCTGCGTCTGGTGGTGCGCTCGAGAGGCTGCTGCTCCGCAGCGCTTCACCCACACCGGGCGAGCCTATCGAGGTTGAGCACGATGACTCTCCCAGGAGCAGCGTGGATACACCCAGCGTGGTCGAGCCGGCGAAGCTGTCGGGAGCGGCGTCGGCGCTGCTGGTGCTCGTGTGCGCCTGCCTCATCTCGAGCACCGGCCTGTTGACGCGCGCCGCCGAGGTGGATGGCCAGGTCCTCTACTCTCCGTTCGCCGCCTCGCTCTTCTCGGAGCTCGGCAAGCTGGCCATTGGGGTCGTCTGGGCGATGGCGGAACGCACGCCCTTCCCGCCGCCTGCGGAGCTCGGCCGCGCCGCGCTCGCCTTCGTGCCTCCAGCGCTGGGCTACGTCGTCGTCAACAACTTGCGCTTCACGCTGGTGCAGGTCATCAACCCGGGCCTGCTGCAGCTGCTGTGGAACCTCAAGATCGTGTTTATCGGCGCGCTGTACGCGCTGCCGCCCTTCCACCGCCGGCACCGGACAGCCCCTGCGCCGCACCTCTTGCCCGCGGTGAGGCCTGAGGGGGTGTGCGGTGAGTAGGCTCGAGCTGCACCAGTGGGGCGGCGCTGCGATCCTCGTCGCAGGCACGTGCGCCGCGGAGGCGTCTCAGTGGGAGGTTTCCGACTCTGACGGAAACTCGATGACGGGCGACGCATGGGGCACCCCTCTCCCTCTGCCCTCTCCCTCTGCCCTCTCCCTCTCCCGCCCTCGCCCTCTCCCTCGCCCTCGCCCTCTCCTCGCCCTCGCCCTCTCCCTCCCCCTCTCCCTCTGCCCTCAGTGCCCTTGCCGCCACCTGCGGCCCTCCCGCCTCCTCGCCCCTCTGCTCCTCCAGGGATGGCTCTAGTCGCCGTCTCGCTCACGCTCACGTCCGCCAGCGCGGTGGCGTGCGAGCACGCCTACAAAAGCACGGACCTCTCGCTGCCGCGCCAAAACATCGTCCTCTACTCGTATGGCGCCCTGCCTCCGCCTCCCTGCCCCCACGGCCCTGCTGCACAGCGTAGCCATTCTTCGTCATTGCTCCACACTACCTGTGACACGTACTAGGCGCCTGCCTCAATCTCCTCGCCGCCACGGCGCTGCGAGAGGAGGTGCGGGGGCGCCGCTCCCTTTTGTCCAGCGGGGCGGGGATCGGAGCCTGACACCCCCCGCCCCTCACCCCCCTCCCCTGCGCAGGTCTCCCTCGCCGACCTATCCCTCAGCTCCCTCACGCAGCACTTCTCCGGCTGGACGTGGGCCGTCGTCGCAGCGCAGAGCCTCGCCGGCTTCTCGGTGGGCGCCGTCTTCAAGTACGTCGACTCGGTCGCGCAGGTCTTCGCCGACGTGTGCGCGATGATCGTGGCCGCCGCCGTCTCCCACTTCCTCTTCGGCCTCGCGCTCAACCGCCTCTTCCTCGTGGCGATGCTCACCTGCGCCGCGGCGCTCTGCGTCTACTACGCAGACAAGCTGCCGCCCAACACACCGTGCGTGGCGCGACTGCTCCGCCGTGCACGCCCGCTGCGAGGGCACAGCCCCGCTATCGTCGAGATGCTGAGGAGTGCGCCAGCGAAGAACGAGCTCGTGCGGGAGCAGGGCATAGGCGACGGGGAGGAGAGCCGGCCTGGCGGCGAGGAGCGTGTGGGTCTAGCGGGCGAGAGATGCGAGAGTGCTCAGTTTTAAACGTACATGTTGTCCTGGCTGTGAAATAGAGGAAACGAGAGCCCGCCCTCTCCAGCTCCACACCAACGACCCTGAGGTCCACCCCTGGTATAGGTTCTCTCTGGTGCTCTGTGGTGTCACTCTCTGGAGTCGCTGGACATTTCTGCATTCTCGATTCTGGACACATCACCCGCGCTGGCCGCTGAGAGCCTGAGACCTTTTTTGCGCAATAGCGCAAAAAACCGCCCTCCCCCTTGCGGCCTTGGCCCGTCGCCGCCTTTGCTGTTGCTGTTTGCAGAGATTGCAGCAGACAGCGCAACCGTCCTGATCACATTTCACACGTAGCGGTGCCGTGGCCCGTGTGCAGATTCGCGCATGCAGCATGGTGCCATCTCTGCCGCTCTGCGGCATATTCGCCCCCCGCCCCCCGAGAACCTGAAGCGAGCGTGCGCGTCAATGAAAAGTCGCATCTCAGTTCTGTCGCGGCCGTTTGAAGACGCTGTGCGCCGCGTCTGTGCTGGGAAGGACGCCCGCGACATGCTCGCGATGATCCTGCGCCTCCATGCTTTGGCCCGACAGCACCATTGGCGGCATGTAGCTTGGCTCCTGCGCCATCTGTGGTGCGGGCGAGGGTGGAGGCGGCATCGTCGCCACGCCCGTCGTCGGCTGTCCGTGTGAAAGGGGCACTGCTGGCGGCGGCTGCAGGTGAAGTCCAACAAGACTGCGCTTCTTGAGGGCCGCGTCGCGCATCTCCCTCGCCCTCTGCCTCTGTCCCTCTGTGATGCACTCATCGCGTGGGCCCTGCCCGCGGCTGCCGCCGCGCGAGACGAGCGCCTCGATGGCGGAAAGCCGAGCAGCGACCTCGGGTGGAGTCGAGGGCGGCGAGCCCTGGAGGGAGAGGAGGTGCTTCTCGATGTTCGACAGCGTCGCTGCGATGGCGTTGAGCGCGGACAAGGCCGCAAGGCCTCCATCCTCCCTGGCCTCCATGCGCTCCACTCGTGCTGCGAGTTGGCGGAGCGAACACCCCGCGTCTGCGAGCTCTGCCTCGCCCTCGGGCCTCACCGGCGTGATGGGATCCCGGGCCTCTTCGTCGCCGCGAGCGGCAGCCGGCCGGAACATCTGGAGACCAGCATCTTGCGTCGGTCTGCTGCCCGAGGGAGTTGCGGCAGGCACGGTCGCCTCGAAAACAGGGTCGCCGGCCTTCGCTCCCACAGGCGCGACCTCCTTCGGCGCTGCCTCGCCCTCCTCCGCCTCGCCCTCCGCTTGCAGCTGCGACGCCGGCGGCGGGCTCTTGTCGTCCGCCTCAGCCTGCTCGTCTTGCAGCTGCGACGCCGGCGGCGGGCTCTTGTCGTCCGCCTCAGCCTCCTCGTTTTGCAGCTGCGACGCTGGAGGCGCGCTCTTGTCGTCGCCCGCCGCCGCCGTCCGCGGAGCAGGTGCGGGCGGCGCCTCCTCCGCGCTGTGCGCCGCCGTTTCGCTCGAGTCAGGCGATGGCTTGCAATCTCTCTTGGCCTTCCCTGCCGTGCGATTCCGGCGTGTTGCCACCATGTGTGTGTCCTCGCGGCGTCTCAAAGCGATGCAAGGGAAAAAGGCGAGCGACGGGACCGACCGGCAACTCGCGGACGCTGTGTGCGCAAGTCTCGGTGTGCAGCCTCTGCATGCACACGCCGCTGGCGGTTGGAGGTTGAGCAGGGAGAGACTACAGCTCTCTCTGGAGGGGGCGAGGTTGTGCAGCTTGTGCACCCCATAGCCATACACTTTACACGAGGCGAGGCCGAGGGAGAGGACAGAGGAGCGGCGGCGCCGGGGGCGGGGCCGGGCGGGTCGTGACTCTCAAGAGTGTGCGCGGTCGGCCGAGACCGGTCCCTGTGGCCCAGGGGGCGCGCGATAAAAAGCAGGAATGCTTCGCACAACAGAACACAGTAACCTCTGGCGTGTGTATATCGTAGCGGCGCGGGCCGGTCGCCAGACTCGTCACACAAGGGTTCCGCGGCAGTTCGCGGCGCCGCAGAGGCAGGCGAGCGTCTTGTCCTGCACCGATCCGACGACGTAGCCGTAGTCGTAGGTGAGCTCCTCGTACGCGAGGATGTCGCGCGCGGCGAAGAGGGCGATGCGGTGCACGTGGCGCGAATACTCGACAAAGACCGACTGGAGGGGGAAAAGGCGACGCTCAAGGAGCGCCCGATGGGAGAAGTGGGTGCGCAGCGTGGCGAGGGCTGCGCGCGGGCGTGTGCTGCTCGCGTTGCGCGGAGGCGTGCCGTCGTAAGCGCCGCACGCGCGCGCTCTTTCCCTCGCTCCCTCCCTTCTCTCTGTGTGTGTCGTGCACGCGTGTGCAGCCTCGCCTGCACAAACAGGTTCGGGTCGCAGCAGTGGTTGACGAAGCGCGCGACGCTGCCAGTGCGCGAAGCGTCGACGCAGAGCTCGGGGTTGTCCTGCGTCCTCGCGTCGACGCCGCTCGGCCCCTCGTGCGACGTCTTTCTGCGCTTGGCCACCTGCCCCTTCTCCTCTCCGTCGAGGTTGAAGAGGTACGAGTCGTCCACCTCGCAGGCGCGCGGGCAGAGTCAGGCTGCCGGCCCACGGCCGGGCCGAGGCGAGAGCCCCCCTCGCCGATTGGTAGTGAATCAGCAGTGCGTAGTGGACCAACAACTCACTAGAGCCCACCTCGAGCCCGGCCGCCTCCGCGTCTTCGTCGCGCAGCATCACGCCCGTGTACTCGCACACGAAGGTGCCCGCGCGGATTGGGTTGCGCGACCGCACGCCCCAGCCGCGGCCGACCGTCTTGAAGACCTGCAGCGGGAGGGAGATGCCGCGCCCCACCACGCGGTTGAAGCAGCTCTCGTCGCACCCGCTCGTCGAGTTGCACTCGAAGATGCAGTCGCGCGCCTGCCGCCAGCAGCGGGGCCGTGAGAGAGAGGAACCGCGCGGGGCTGCGACGCGGGCGGAGGCGCGCGTAGAGGAGGAAGCGCTCGTTGTTGTACGCGGGCCCGCCGCTCTTCTCCTCCTCGCGCCGCACCTGGGAGCGGCGTGGGGAGCGGCGTGGGGAGCGGCGTGGGGGTGGGTGGGAGGGGGGGGGGGGGGGGGCGCAGGGCGGCGGGTGGACAGGCACACGCCCCCGGCCCGGCCTCAGCCCTTCCCCTCCCTCCTCCTCCCGCGCTCACCGGACGGCCGCGCGACGCGTCTGTGGCGGGAAGCCACGAGCAAGCCTCGTGGGCGATGCAGCGGCCGCCCCAGTCGGCGAGCGGCACGCGGGCCTGGGGAGGGGCGGAGGGGGCGGGTGGGCGACCAGGCAGCGCGCGACGTGGGGGCCATGGAGGCGGGGAGGGAGTCCGAGGGACCGCCAGGGCGGGCACAGCCAGGGAGGCGGGCGAGGGGCGTGGCGCGGGGCGTGGCGAGGGGCGTGGCGAGGGGCGTGCCGCTGGTCACCCGCTGCTCGATGGCGCGCTTGTGCCGCCACGCGACTTGAGGGAGATACTCGAACTCGGTGATGGCAGAGCGGCCGGGGAGGTGGACGTCGAGCGGCTCCTCGTCCACCTGTCGACCAGGCGTGCCCTCCTCTGGTGCGTGCTCCTCTGGTGGGTGTGCTCCTCTGGTGCGTGCTCCTCTGGTGGGTGCTCCTCTGGTGGGTGCATGAGCCCAGCCTCTCCTCCCGGCTCCTCCCACCCCCCCTGGCCGAGCCAGAGGGCACGGAGGAGGGGAGGGGCTGTCGGCTGCGCCAGAGGGCGGAAGGAGGGACGGGCGGGGAGGAGGCGGGAAGAGAGGCCGGGGGCGAGGGGTTGGGTGGTGAGCTTGCGGTGGCGAGGCTGCAGCGACCGCACGCGTGCAGGGGCTGACGTGGCGCGGTGCGGCGCTGACGGGAGGGTGCCGGGGCGCGCCTCGTTGATGATTGGGATCGGCCTGGTCTCCTTCCCCTTTGCGACGTCCTCGTCGATGACCCCGCCCGGGACGGTGCAGCCCGTCTCGTGCAGCAGGCAGGTCGGGCACCGCCAAGACGCGTCGCTGCACGCGCCCTCCACCTTCGCGGCACTGAGACCGGTGCACTCCTCCGACGCGTGAAACGCCAGGTCGCACTGCGCGCACCGCACGTGCCGCCTCGCGAGCTGGATCTGCCGGCCGCACCCGCCGCAAGCGTCTGCAAGCAGGCGGAAGGCGTGGCGCCACGACGCCAGGTCGGCGGTCAGCGCGGCGGGGGCGGGCGTTTTTTCGCTGGCAGCCGCCGCCGCTGGCGGTGGCTCGTTGCGCGGCGCGCAGTTGAGGCAGCACCACGCCTCGCGGCCCGAGCGCAGAAACGCGTCGGCTAGAGCCTCGCCGCAGCAGGACTCGGTGGCGTGGAACCAGCCACCACATGCGGCGCAGCAGACGCCGTACTCAACCACCTTTCGGCAGAGCGGGCAGACGCCCACATCGGAGCTTCGCAGGCAGCGGCGACGCATCAGGGCGGCGGCTGGCTCCCAGCCACCACCGCCCGGCTCTCGGCGCAGAGCACCAGCTGCAGCGAAGCGGAAAAGAATGCCGCCCTGCACATATCCCTCCCTAGGGTGGCGTGCCGTCCTCCCATCTCCCATCCCTCCCTTGGGTTGTCTGTTTTCTTTCTTTCTTTTCTAGGGTGGGCGACGGCTAGCGCACCACACACCTCTCCTTAAAATCCCTGGGTGGTGGCGGCGTGCCGTCCTCCCATCCCTCCCTTGGGTTGTCTGTTTTCTTTCTTTCTCTTTCTTTATATCCCTCCCTTGGGTGGGCTTTTATGTCTTTCTTTCTTTCGGCACTGGCGCGCACTGGCACTACTTGTTACACGGAAAATACTTACGAGGTAGCCGTAACATACCACAGCGCACAGGCTCCGTAATCTGCAATCTCCGCCACAGTCTCGAGAAGGCCTACACTGCACATAAATCGTGCACGAACTAGTCGGACCTGCTAGACCAGCCACCAGGAGGCGCCTCCCTTGGTGAGGGTCTTGGTGTTGCCCTTGTGCGTCCGCGCGTAGCAGTGCGTCTTTGTCTCCTGCGCAGGCAGCAGGGTACCAAAGCACACATGGCCGGCGAAGCGCCACGCGACCCGGCCCTTGGCTCTCGACACCGCCCCCTTCTTGGGCTGGGAGCCGCCTTGAGCCGCCGCAGGCCCAGCCTCCACCGCCTCTGTCTGCTCCGGCGTCGCGCCCACCGCGGGGACAGCCGCGACCTCCTCATTCCCGCCGGCCTGCTTCAGTAGCGCCGCCTCTTCGGCGTCGAGCAGGCCGTAACCCTCGATGTGCTCGAGCTTGCGGCCGGGCACCAGCGCGAGCAGCGCGCGGAGCGAGGGCGCGACCGCGGCGAGCTTGAAGTTGGAAGTCGTGGTGTGCGCTGTGCACGAGATGCGGCGCTCGCCAGCCACGAACGGCGCCTTTGTGAGCTTGCACTTGCCGCGGCCGCTCGTCTCGGTGGAAATGGCGACGCCGTCCAGGAAGCACGCTGGGTGCTGCCAGACCATCACCTGCCGCCCCACCATCCACGACTCCATCCCCACCCGCTTCTCTCCCTGCTGGATCGGCTCGAGGCAACGGCGGCACTTGCTGCGCCCAGTTTTTGCGGCCTCGATGACAATGGCAGGCGCAGGGGTGCTCTCCCTCACTGGCTGGGGAGTGGGCTTCGGCGGCGGCTTTTTGGTGGCGCGGACCGGCTTGGGAATGTCGTCGCCGTCGCTCTCGTCGCCACTCGCCTCCTCGCCACTCGCCTCGTCGCCGCTCGCCGAGTCGTCACTTGGTTCGTTGCGCGATCCCCGTCGCCCGCTCCGTCGCGGCAACCAGTCCGGATCGGCCGACGGCCTCTGCCTCCTGACGGCCGCTCGCTTGGTTGGCGGGAAAAAAGGGCCGTCGAGGCCGAGCGAGGCAAGGTGACGTTTGTTCGCGGCGATGTTGCGCTCTCGCTCGAGCTCGTACTCGCTCAAGGCCTCAGGGCCGGGAGGCATGGACCTCTACAGGCTACTGGAAGGCTCGGCACGGGCTGCACCCAGCTCGAGAGAGCAGGGTCGGCCAGAAGGCGTGGCACTTTCCGCTTTGGAGAAGAGAATTTTGACCGCGCAAGATAAAAGGGTGGCTAAGGGCTCTGCCCGCAAGGCGCCCGCGTCGCAGACGCGGTACCATTGGCAAATCTGCGATATACCCCCACACGAGCAAATAGCCAAAATCCGAATACCGTGCACGAATCCGGCGATGTGGGCCGTGCAAGCCTTCAGCTGGTGCCAAGACGTGCGTAATAACGAAGAACGTCCGCTTCGGACGGAGCAACTGAGGGAAGCCGCTGATCGAGCCCAGCGTGCCCGCGGCCGCCTCCCGCGCAACACCGCCGCTGGGGACGACACGCTGCGGATTCGGATCGAGCCCGGGGGGCGCAGCGGGCCGCTCGATGGTCGTCCGCTTCGTCTGCGACAAGTCCATCCCAAAGGCGCGTGTCCTGCGATAGATAGACTCGACGGGCTCACCGGCGCGGGGTGGACGCAGGACAGATGCTGGCGGCACACATGGCGACAGGGACACACGGACAAGACACCCCCTCGCCTCTCCCTGCAGCCTGCCGACCGCCGCCGCTCTTTTCTCCTCCGCCGCCCGCCTCGCCTACCGCCTCTCCCTCCCTGCCGCCTCCCACCCTCCCCCTCGCCTTCTGGCCTCTCCCCGCCCCGCCACCTCTCCACTCGCCACTCCCCTCCCTTCGCCATCACCGCTACCCTCACCGCAGCCTCCCTCACCGCCACCGCCCCTCACCGCAGCCTCCCTCACCGCCACCGCCCCTCACCGCAGCCTCCCTCACCGCCACCGCCCCTCACCGCAGCCTCCCTCACCGCCACCGCCCCCTCCCTACCTCCAAAGGCGGTCCTCACCGAAGCCACCGGCGGCAGCCTCAAGTACAACCTCACGGTCCGCGCCGCCGCCGCCTGCCCGGTCGGTCGCTGCACAGCCAGCGCTGGGACTCGTCACACCTTTGCCACCCTCCTTGCGGAGCAGGAGGAGATCCGCTTGCTGTACTTTGAACAGCGTGCCAAGACCTACATTGAGGAGGTGCTCGTACCGGCGCTCGGCATCAGTGTGTTTTACTACGTGATGGAGTTTGCTTGGGCCCGTCGCTTCCGGGACCAGGGAGCGGCGGGGAGGGGGCAGATTCACTTCCATCTGCTCGGCTGGCTCGAGAGCGGCGAGCCACACCATATCATCTCGGTCGGCAACTCGAGGGACTCAGTAGTTGTGACCCCCCTGGAGTGAGTGAGGACAGGAGAGAGAGAGCTTTGTGGTGTTGGTGTACGCAATAACGGGACAGGGTAGTCGTTCTCTCTAGCTCCCCTTCTAGCTCTTAGCATGAGCTGCGCCCTGTGTCCGACCCCTTTTGCGCAGCAACACCTTAAACTTTTCAGGCCCTCCAAATTCGGGTCGGAGCGTAGCGGAGTGGGCCCCGAGTTTGAAAAGGGCGACGGACGCTTGCGTCCTAGCCTCCAACAACGCCTCCCCGGCGCAGAGGGGCCCCCGGAGGGATGCCACAACCGACCCGCGCCACGCCGCTTGCGGCGGTCCTCTTCCCAGCTCCGCTGAGGGCCCGTGCATTTTCCTAATACCCCTAGCTCCCTCGCACAACACTGGACTCGCGTGCCGCCGCCCCTGCCACCCCTGTGTCAGTGTGCCTGTGGTAGGAGAGACTGAGACTGCCAGCGACAAGCTGGAGGCAGGTCGCTAGACTGAGATGAGACCGCCAGTGGATGTGGGAGTCCACCGCGCACCGCGCTGCGAGCCTGTCGTGTCCCTTGTCAGGAGCAGGAGAGCCCCACCTGTCCCCCTGATCGTTCTTCCAAAATCCTGCTCGTGCAGGTGGGGACCCTGTCCTCCTCCCCCATCCCTCGTTTGGGGTGTCTGTTTTCTTTCTTTCTTTCTTTACTGGGCACGGGACTCCTTAAAATCCCTGTGTGGTGGCGGCGTGCCGTCCTCCCATCCCTCCCTTGGGCTGTCCGTTCTTTCTTTCTTTCTGGGCACGGGACTGGCGCAGAAGAGAAAGCGGCCTATAACAAACTCGCACCGATCCCACGACAGCGATTGTGGGGACTACATGATCCGTACGTGAAGGGTGGAGGGGTCCGTCCGCAGAGCTAGGGGCAGGCGGCGTGGGCGCCCCCGCTGGGGTGTAGGTCTATTCAGATTTCAGTGTGAGTGAGTATTCTTGATACGAAACCACGACGACACACACCAGTCGACTCACTCACACACACACACACACACACTGGGGCCGACGGTAAGAGAACGTCTGCCGCTTGCTTGTTCTTGACGTCGTTGACCCAGTTGGCAGGAGGCAAAACACAAAACAACTCTCTCTCTCTCTCTCTCTCAGGAGGCTCAGGGGATATGAGCCAGTTGGTGCGCGTCTTGCGCGCGTGCGAAGAAACGCAGCAGCAGAGCACGAGGTTCTCAAAAACAAAACAAGTTGTGCCGCCAGGGTTCCAACTTTTTCTGGGGTATGGTATGGACTATGGTACCCTCGGCGGCCCAAAGGGGGGGGGGGGGGTATGGTCCTGACCGCCCAAGGCTAGCCCTACCACACCCCAAGCAGGTCTTCCAAGAGGCGGGGGGTATGAGATGGGTTGTACACCATACCACACCCCGGAAAAGTTGGAACCCACCGACGGTGAAGTAGGGCGGCTTGTGGACGCCGCGACGGCGGCGATGGCGAATCTGGAGCCTGCAAGTGACGAGGCCGATGCACCTCTCGACGCGGCTGGCTGGCAGCGGCTCGCCGATGACGAGCTCCGCTATTTGCTCGGCGTCACTTGTTTCCCGGCGCTGCTGGCGCTCAAGGCGACGTGCAGGGCGCTGTCGGCGCTCGTCCGGGCTGATCTTTGCGAGAGCAAGCGATGGTCTGCGGCACGCTGCTTCACGCTCGCACGGCCCGACGAGCGGCTGCACGACATCCGCACCAACGACCCTCCCAGGATGGCCCGCCTTGTCGCGGCCGATGACGTTGACACGGTTGAGGCGCTGCTCCATTTTTATTGGCGTGACGGAGCCCCGAGGGCCTCTTTCCGACTGGTTCAGGATGCGGCGGGCGGCGCCCCTCCTGCTCTGCACCACTCTCTTCTCGACGCCGCGTCGGCCCTCCGCCGGACCCACCTCGGAGCCAACGACAATCTGCTTCCCTCGCGCCCGTGCCGGGAAGCCGCACTCGCTCCCGGGGCGGTGCAGCCGAACGGCTGCGGCTCACGGCCGCTACACTTCGCCCACAGCTCCGCCATGGTTGCTCTGCTCGTCGAGCACCGCGCCGACGTCAACGCCACCCGCCTCAACGGGTGCACGCCTCTCATGGACGCTTGCCGCGCGGGCGAGGCTGCCGTGGTGCGCACCCTGTGCGAGAGCGGCGCAAACACCAACGTTCTCGACAAGCCCGGCGGGCTGCGTGCGGAGCGGTACGCCGAGCAGGGTGCGGGCCAGCAATCACAGGCGCACCCGACCCGCAGACCCGCACCCACTGCAAGACGTGTCCATCACACGTCGAGCTGACATGTGTAGCAGGCGACCGCGGACCCGAACCAACGGTGGCGCTGGGCGTTGGGCAACGAGGAGGAGCAGCGGGTGTGGGGCTGGAGCGCCAATCCCACCGGCGTCGACAAGGCACACCGGAGCGTCGATGACTTTGTCGCGTGTTCGCGCGCGCTCGGGGAGTGGGGCTCGCGCGGGGGTTACATCACGCGCGAAGAGATCTTTGGCGCGATCGTGAACGAGGTCGACGTGCCGTCCGAGTACGTGGTCGCGTTCCACTAGGCTTACACAGGCGGCATCCGAGGCTCTCGAATCTCGTGAAGAGAAAAATGTACCGCGCTCTCTTGTGCTGTATCAGCTCTGTCGTTTGCCGGTCTTGCGTACGTGTTGAGGAGGCTTCTTTGTAGGGGGGTGGTCGGCGACTAGCCGGGGTCTCGTCCTCCCGGATGGCGCGCTCGCACATGTGGACCCGGTTCGCGTGGATCTGGATCCACGCCCCAGGAAGCCTTGGAGTCGGCCATAGCGCTTTGGCCCCGTTTTTCGGCGCCTTTTTGTTCTTTCGAGTTGCGTTTTTTGTATTTTGAGTTTTCGGCTTTTAAAATTTATTAGTATTTACGAACTGCGGAGATATTTTGTGTGAAGAAAACGAGTTTTGGAGAGCGCCGTACCGACTTGAAGCTATGCTTTGCTATTACAGCTTTGTCACGATCTCAGCCCCGGTGCGACTCGCGACGATCGAGGCACAGCAAGGGGCCACGAGCGGGGAAAAGCGTACATAGAGCGAGCCGCGCCCTCTGTCTTTGCTGTGTCTGAGTGTCCCTCCAGAGCACCTTTGGACCCTCACGCGGCCTCCGCCTCCTTCTCCAGCAGCAGCTTGATGCCATTGTACAGCTTTGTCACGATCTCAGCCTCGGTGATGAAGAGCCGGCTGCTCGGCGACAGGTCGATCGTGCCGTCCTTGCCGATCGGCGTGTGCTCCCCTCCCATGCCACGCACCTGCAGGCAGAGGGCCGCCCACTCGAGCCGCTTGGAAGCTAGGCTGAGCGGGGGCACATCCGGGCGGCGCACCGAGAGGCCGAGGGGCTTGGCGGCCGCCTTGGCCTTGGCGTCGGTGCCGTCCTTGGTCAGGTTGGGCACCTGCGAGAGAGTGGGTGGCGCTATGACGAGAGGAGTGGTTGAACACTCCACGCAGCTGGGCGCACCGCGACGTGGACGGAGGCACGCATGCCCGTGCCCAAGTTGGACGGGCACGACGTCACGTAGCCGTACTTGCTCGACGTGGCGAAAGCGATGCCGTCGATCGCCTCGACGGCCTGGAGCGCAGTATGCAGCCGGTCAAAGACAGAGTTGAGCACGAAGCCCTTGGCCATGCACATGATGCGCAGCTGGTCCTCCTCGCCGAACCAGATGATGAAGCCGCCGTCGGCCGATTGGTAGCAGCCCCGCCCGCACGGCCAGTCCGACGCGATGCCGGCCGAGGCGAGGTATGGGTCGGCGGCCATGTCTTTGAACATCACGTGCGCGGCCACAAGTTCCTTGTACTTGTCCGCCGAGATGAGGTTCGGGTTCTCCGCATCGCCTGTCACCTCCTTCCACACATCGTTGGGCGTCATGCTGTACACGTTGCCGCCGTAAGCTGGGTTGGCCTTGAGCACGTCGAAGGCCTTGAGCATCGTCTTCTCAAAGTTGACGCGGTCCGCCTTTGTCATCAGGCCCGGCAGCGGGAAGGCGGTCAGGTTGCGCCCGACGCGCACGCGCATCGAGAGTTCCTTGCCCAGCCCGAGCTTCTGCAGGTCGAGCTGACCGTCAGCCGGGAGGCCCTCGACGCCTTCGAGCGACCAGTCCGTCTTGTGGACCTTGCCGCCGCCGTGGTGGTAGCCCTCGCAGACGCGGTCAAAGAAGGGCGCGAGGTCGTCGTAGTTGGTAGGGTCGACGGCGTAGCAGCCGAGGCCCGAGTCGTGGTTGTCGAGGCCCGACTTTGCGCACAGGGCAAGCTCGTCGAGCTTGGCTGCGGGCAGCGTCGCCATCCACGACTGCACCTCGGCCTCGAGCAGCGTCTTTGCGCACAGGTTGTCGGGGTTGGCCTCGTGTGCCACCTTGGCGGTGCGGGTAGTGGCGTGGGCGATAGGAAATGGCAGTGGATTGCACGGCGCGGCGATACCAGGCTAGTCCCCAGGAGTGGCGCTGGGGGTGCTGATGTGGCTGAGATAGGCGCCAAGGCACATGCGTCACGGCTCACGCGTCAGGCCTCGGCGGCACAGACGTCGATGGCGCGGTGCAGTAAGATGTTAGTGGCGCGGTGCGCCGCAGTGGGATGGTTCTCAAGAGTGGCGCTAGTAGGTGTGCGAGAGCTCTTAGACGGGCGCTCGGACCTTGGCCTGCGCCGTGAGCTCAGCGATAGACGACGCCATATTGTCCTGTAACCGACTGAAACGAACTCTGAGTCTCTGATCGCAAAATCGGCGGTCAAGGGGAATCGGAATCTCAGGAAGCTGCAATCTGGCCACACCTGGGTATTTTTTGCCGTAGCCAGTAATAATGGAGCGTGGGGAAGTGGGAGAGACAGGCTAATGGGACATGCTGATGCTCCTTATTTATCATACGGCTAATCAATGCCCTACCTTCGCATGCTGAAAGCCCCTCCTGGCCAGGCCATGGCCCTCAGAGGGCCGACGCGAGCTCCTCCATCCGCTCGACGCGCTGCACGCCTGACACACTCGGGTCGAGCAGCCCGGAGACGGCAGCCTTGCCGAGCGTCTCCACCCTCACCGTCTTGTCGACAAAGGGCACGCCGATCGCGCTGGCCAGGTTGAAGATCGGGATCGCCGGGAGCACATCCAGCTTGTCCCATGACCAGATGAGAGACGGCCGAAGCACAATCGGCCGCACTTGGCCGGCAGAGCTCTGCAGCTCCGCCTCGACGGCTCGCTTGGCCGCCAAATAGCGCTGCAGCCACTCGGGGGCCGCCGCGTCGACGGTCTCGCCGAAGCGCACGCCTTCGGTCCAGCCGTCCACCCACCCCGCCTCGGCGCACGAGACAAAGACGAAGGGCGTCGGGGTGCCTCCGAGCGCCGGCGGCAGCGACACCTTCGACTTGAGCGCGCGGAGGATGTTGAGAGCAGTGCGCCGCGTGATGTTGTCGTATGTCGACTCCTCGGGGTCGACGGCTGCCTTGGACCCCGAGACTACGTTATTGAGCGGAGCAAGGCCACTCTGCGCATCAAAGAGCAGCCCAATCGCGTGCACGACAGCGTCCGCCTTTCCGACCGCCGCATTGAGCGTCGCCTGGTCGAGCGCGTTGCCCGCCGTCCACTCGACCTCTGTCAGCAGCGGGTCGTTCGGCAGCGGATTCTGGCCGCGTCGCGAGAGGGACGTGACCTTGAAGCCAGCGCTCACAGCGTTGCGGCAGATCTCGCGCCCGGCGTAGCCATTGCCGCCAACGACGAGCAACCGCCCGCCCGCCCGCGGTACTAAGCTGCTCATCGAGGGCGGCGTGAGTCGCAGGCCAGCCGCCGTGGCGACGAAGAAGAGAAGGCGCACCGGCAGCATCGGACCCCTGAAGCGGCTTCCTAGAGATGTCCTACGAACACTGAAAAAGACAAAAAACCTGGCTTCATAACTGCACTCCAAGTTGCTTCCTGTCGTCTGTTGTTTGTTGTGCCCTTGTTTGTTTCTCTTGGCACCTTGGAGTGCTGGGGGGGGCGACAGGAAGAATGTGGCCCTGAGTTATGTGTACGCCAACTCAGGGTGTGTGGCAGCCAGCTGGCTGTGTGTCTTGTGAGCTTGTTTGTGTCTGTGTGTCGTTCGTGCGTGTCGTCATCATCTGTCTCGCGTCCACCCATACCGCGTTGGTGTCCAGTCCGAGCCTGGCTGTTCTTCACCTTTCTACCTACCTACCTACTCCAAGTGCTCCAAGTGCTGGGTGTGCGCGCACGAACTTGAGCATCCCGCTGGGCACCGAGTTTTTCTTCTGGATGGATGGACTACGACTACCCCCACAACAGTCCTAATACCCGGGTAACAAAACTCCCTCTCCCACGACCCGTGTCGCGATGCGCTCCCCACTCCCCCGTTCCCCTGTGTCCCTGATCGTCCTTGCAAGATCCTGCTCGTGCAGGTGGGGACCCTGATCCCTGTCCTTCTCCCACCCCTCGTTTGGGAGAGAGATTTTTGAAAACCAACAAGAAATCACGACTCTCACTGCCACTCCAAGTGCTCCAAGCGGTGCTCCACGTCTGAGCCACAGCGTGTCCCGACTCGACTGCCGGCGTCCCAGTCCGGGGGTGTTTCTCTTCTTATCCGTTACCATGTAGAGCAACGCCGAGGGCGGGCCCTTTTCGGGCTCGGGCCGCCCTCTCGCCCGCACCTCTGCGGGGCTCGCACGTGGTAGCGGCGGTCTGCTCACGACAGTGAGTGGGCTCTTCACGCTATCCACTGCGCCGCGGCTACGCCGCGCCCTATCCAAGCCCAGGGCTTGGTTCGCCGATAACCGCATCTCGCTCTGCGCATCTCTGAGGCTACCCGCGCGCCGACTGCTACGCGCGCGGCGAGAGGCGCACCCCATCAGGGACAGGATTGAGGCCCCTGTACGAGCTCGGCAACGCCGCCGTCGTTGCCCTCCCGAGCCCTCAACACCGTGCTGCACATAGCGCAACCCGTTCTGCGCACATACCGCAGGGAGGAGTTTTCACTCAACCATCCGAGTTTCTCCTTCCTGCAGGGCGAGAGACATCGGCCTCTCTACTTCCAGGAGAACATCTACGCCACACGCTATCCCGACGGTCCACAACCCACACTGCAGTCGATCCAGCCCTCGCACTCCCCACTGGAGATCTAGCGAGGCCCCCCAGGCTGGGACAGGATTGGAGCCCCTGTGCTGCGTCTGTGGTGATATGTGGGGGACACTTTCTCCTCCCTATTCATGTCAGTGACTCGACTGCGTCGAGGGGGGGGACGTCTGAACCACAGCGTGTCCCGACTCGACTGCCGGCGTCCCAGTCCGGGGGTGTTTCTCTTCTTATCCGTTACCATGTAGAGCAACGCCGAGGGCGGGCCCTTTCGGGCTCGGGCCGCCCTCTCGCCCGCACCTCTGCGGGGCTCGCACGTGGTAGCGGCGGTCTGCTCACGACAGTGAGTGGGCTCTTCACGCTATCCACTGCGCCGCGGCTACGCCGCGCCCATCCAAGCCCAGGGCTTGGTTTGCTGATACCCGCTTCTCGCTCAGCGCATCTCTGAGGCTTCCCGCGCGCCGACTGCTACGCGCGCGGCGAGAGGCGCACCCCATCGGGGACAGGATTGAGGCCCCTGTACATGCTCGGCAACGCCGCCGTCGCTGCCCTCCCGAGTCCTCAACATGATGCCGCACATGCGCAACCCATTCTGCGCACACGCCGCAGGGAGGAGTTTTCACTCCACCGACCGAGTTTCTCCTTCCTGCAGGGCGAGAGACATCAGCCTCTCTACTTCCAGGAGAACATCTACGCCACACGCTATCCCGACGGTCCACAACCCACACTCTCGCTGCAGTCGATCCAGCCCTCGCACTCCCCACTGGAGATCTAGCGAGGCCCCCCAGGCTGGGACAGGATTGGAGCCCCTGTGCTGCGTCTGTGGTGATATTTGGGGGACACTTTCTCCTCCCTATTCATGTCAGTCACTCGACTGCGTCGAGGGGGGGGACGTCTGAACCACAGCGTGTCCCGACTCGACTGCCGGCGTCCCAGTCCGGGGGTGTTTCTCTTCTTATCCGTTACCATGTAGAGCAACGCCGAGGGCGGGCCCTTTCGGGCTCGGGCCGCCCTCTCGCCCGCGCCTCTGCGGGGCTCGCACGTGGTAGCGGCGGTCTGCTCACGACAGTGAGTGGGCTCTTCACGCTATCCACTGCGCCGCGGCTACGCCGCGCCCATCCAAGCCCAGGGCTTGGTCTGCTGATACCCGCTTCTCGCTCAGCGCATCTCTGAGGCTTCCCGCGCGCCGACTGCTACGCGCGCGGCGAGAGGCGCACCCCATTGGGGACAGGATTGAGGCCCCTGTACATGCTCGGCAACGCCGCCGTCGCTGCCCTCCCGAGTCCTCAACATGATGCCGCACATGCGCAACCCATTCTGCGCACACGCCGCAGGGAGGAGTTTTCACTCCACCGACCGAGTTTCTCCTTCCTGCAGGGCGAGAGACATCAGCCTCTCTACTTCCAGGAGAACATCTACGCCACACGCTATCCCGACGGTCCACAACCCACACTCTCGCTGCAGTCGATCCAGCCCTCGCACTCCCCACTGGAGATCTAGCGAGGCCCCCCAGGCTGGGACAGGATTGGAGCCCCTGTGCTGCGTCTGTGGTGATATGTGGGGACACTTTCTCCTCCCTATTCATGTCAGTCACTCGACTGCGTCGAGGGGGGGGACGTCTGAGCCACAGCGTGTCCCGACTCGACTGCCGGCGTCCCAGTCCGGGGGTGTTTCTCTTCTTATCCGTTACCATGTAGAGCAACGCCGAGGGCGGGCCCTTTTCGGGCTCGGGCCGCCCTCTCGCCCGCACCTCTGCGGGGCTCGCACGCTCCAAGACCAAGTGCTCAGGTTGATGACTGCACTCCAAGAGTGCTCCAAGTGCTCACAGTGATTTGGGCTCGGCAGCTTGTTAGCCGCTCAGCCGAAGCTGGGGCCGGTCTCTCTCGTTTGGTGTGTCCGTTTTATTTATTTATTTATACACTGGGCACGGGACTGGCGCGCGCACACACTGCCGCAGTGACACTGGCACTATCCACTGAGCCCTGGCTGTCAGGCTGTCAGGTGCTGTCAGGTGATCTGTCGGGCTGTCGGGCAGCTGTCAGGCACTGTCAGGTGCCTCTGTCAGACCAGCTGTCAGGTGCTGTCAGTGCTGTCGGGTGCTGTCGGGTGCATGTCTGACAGGCGAGGGGTTCTGTAGCTGTCAGGTGCTGTCGGAGCTGTCGGGTGTTGCTGTCAGACGCTGTCGGAGCTGTCAGAGCTGTCAGGCTGCTGCTGCTGTCAGACGGTGGGCTGTTGCTGTCAGGTGCTGTCAGGTGGTGCTGTCAGGGTGCTGTCAGGCTGTGACACACACCAGCCACACTTATGACACTATCAATAGGAGACCAGCAGGACTCTACTACACATACATACTCTAGCCTCTACTCTGCCTCCGGTCCCACCATCTTTTTCATGGTGGACGTCACCATCTTCTTGTCTGCCGCACTGAGAGAATAGCAGAGAGGCAGGGTGGAGTGCTTCTTCAGGTACACCTTGCTGATGATCTGGTAGTTGCTGGTCCAGCGGAAGGCCTCCCCATCGTTGTCGCTCGTCAGCTTGTAGTACTTGCACGCTCTGTTCTGGTAGCGCGGGCCGTCTGGGGGGGTCCCGTCACCCTTCACCTCACGGTACCACCGGAGGATAAAGAGGCCCTTGGGGTCGTTGATGAAGACCCCGTTGCTGCGCTGACTCATGGAGAGCTGGCGCAGGTACTCTGCGCTGGAGCTGCCAGTGGCGCGGCGCGGGGCGCGTCTACTGTGCCGTCGGCGACGGCCACCTGCTCAATGTTGCCGATGGCAAAGACCTTGGAGCTGTCCTCCATGGTGAAGAGCACCGCAACTGCGAAGAGAAAGAGAAGAGGGAGAGATGAGGATGCACGTCTTATGTGTGTGTGTGACAGGCGGGCAAGGGCGTGGTCACCGTCATCATCATCCATGTAGAAGTCGAGCTCCTCATCCACATCCTCGCCCCGCTGCTGATGGGACTTGATGAGCCGCTTGACGTGGAAGCGGAGCTTGCGATCCTTTGACTCCTCCTGGATGGAGACGTTGAAATCTGCCAGCAGCTTACGGATCTCCTCAAAAAACTCTGCGCTGCTGGCCTCCTCGCCGCCGGTTGGAGGCGCCACTTTGGCCCCGTTCCGCATCAGCTGGTTCAGCACGGCCTCGGCATCTGCAGCATCCTGTGCGCCCATGGCGGTCAGCTCGGCCGGCTCAGCATCGGGTGTGCCGTTTGGATCATCCTCCTTCTCTCCCGGCTCCTCCAGCAACGCGCCACCCTGGACATAGGTGTCAGCCAGAGGAAAGTGCAAGCACGGCTGCTTGAAGAAGCCGGTCCGCGCACAGAGGTTGGCGCGGACTCCACAGGATCGAAGGAGCTCAATCGCACGAGCTAGGCCCCTGTCGAGGGCGGCAATCATCTGAGGGTTCGTAGGGAACCAGCCTGGCGGCGGGGTGTCGATCTTGATCCGCTCAATCGAGTGCGAAGAAGGGCGCGCTCTTCGGGGAGACTGGCACGATCGGCTCGAACTGCGCCAACGTGCTGCGCCACACCGCGGGCGAGTCGCACCTCCGCGCGTGGCTCGCCGACCTGCCGGTGGAAGCGGAGAAGCCGACGCTGGCCGAGCTGCAAACGTGCGTTCTCCTCGCCGTGTGTCCATCAATACCCGCACGCGGGGCACTCACCCTCCTCTCGCGGCGGTCGCAGGTCGATCGCGCACAAGTGGCTGGGCAGCGCCCGCTCACAGCGCACCACGCAGACCAAGGTGCGGGTGCAGCACAAGAAGCAGAAGATTGCGACCAACGCGGCGGTCGACGCCGCCGTGGCCGCTGGCCGGGCGGCGGCGGGGGCGCTGACGCCGATCACGCCGGCGGCTACGCAGCTGCCCCCCTCCTATGGCGTGATCACGCCGGCAGGGGCGGCCGCCTGGGGAGCGCAGATGGCGGCGCAGGCGGCGGCAGCGGCGGCGGCACAGACGGCGGCGGCCACCACCACCCAGACGCCGTAGGCATATGACTGTAGGGCCCCAGAAGGCTAGCTGGTAGCTTCATTTGTAGTAGCACAGCCGCCGGTGCTAGAGAGGGGTCCGCAGAGGTGGCGGGCGGGAGGGTTGAGAGAGAGACCCATGACCATCCCATGACTACATGGACATGGACCACACTCACATGTCTTTGCATGTAACTTTGTTATACCCTCAATGGGGCACAAGAAAGAGGCTCTACGGGGTCTGTGTACGGTCTGTGCTGCTGTCGGGCTGTCAGGCTGTCAGCGCTGCTGTCAGGCCACTGTGTGCTGTCGGGCTGTCAGGCAGCTGTCAGGCTGTCACGTTAGGGCCTGACAGCGACGGAACCCCTCGCCTGCCAGACTCTGCTGTCAGGCTGTCAGACACGTGCTGTCAGACTGTCAGAGAAAGTGCTGTCAGCGCTGTCAGGCTGTCGGGCACTGTCAGGCGCTGTCCGGGGTTTGCTGATGCTGTCATGCTGTCAGACCAGGGCTCACAGACTATGGCTAGTGCCATTTCACTGTGACACAGCTCGCGTTACAAAACCTTGATTTGACCATTTGCGCAAAAAGGTACATCTCGGTGCCTTCCAGAGGCAGCTGCGACCCCGCCGAGTAACGGCGGCACACAGCAGGTGGCGCGGTGTGCCGCCGTCCACTCGGCGGGGTCGCAGCTGCCTCTGCGCGTCCTGTGGATGTACCTTTGTCGCGCTCCGGAGATGACTCGACGCCGCTGAGATCGGAGATCAAGCTCTGACAGGTCGCACGTCGCTCCTTTGACGCCGACGTGATTTACCCGTGCAGATCACATCAGGACACGGTCTCGACGCGCTCGGTACGACGCCTGCGACCCGTATCGGGTCAGGTGGCACGACGCTCATCGCGCCTGCCAGCGCTGCCGTGCAGGCTGCCACGACAAGGTCGAGAACGCTTCTATACGCTCGCCGAGCCTTCCTTTCCATCCCATTAGGCAGCCTGGGAACGGTGGCGATCAGAGGCAAAGCCTACGAGGGGTGGTGGAACCACATGTCACGGCTACTGCCGGCTCGACGCGACGATAGCCTCCGGAGGCTGACTTTGAGGCACAATCATCGGACGACGTCGGCGAGTTGAGTCGCGCTCGCGGTAGCCAGATGACCTCTCATACTAGGAGCATCGGCCATGGCCGCAGGGAGCGCGGGGGAGGGCGCTGGAAGCAACACGGAGCTCCGTTGGAGACGTTTTCAAGATTAGCGTGTCAGAGTGAAATGGCACTAGCCTATATCCACTAACACAGGTACACTGAAAAGAATTCGCTCTCCCCGACCTGAAAATTCCGTTTTTTTGTTTTTTGGCAGTTACTTGGCCGCTAGTAATCTAGTTCTTCTCTTTCTTATTCTTTTTTCCCCTTCCTTCCTAGTTCCTTGCTTCCTTCGAGCTTCGTATACCGGACAGTCGACAGCCCGTGTACGACAGATGGCGGTCGTGGATCCGCTGCCAACCGCGGAGCCTCGGCTCGCCGCCGCGAATGTCCAGCTGCAGCTGCAGGCGGTGTGCGCCCGAGCTCCCTTCGCGCCACCCCCTCCTCCTCCGCCCGCAGCACACCGGCGAAGCGCCCACCACACTCCCCTCCCCCGCCCCTCCTCCCGCCCTTTCTCCAGAGGAGCCGCCTCAGAAGAACCACGAGCCCTTCTTGGGCGGCTGGGCCGGCGAGGGCGGCGCCTGGCCCGACTCCAACTCCGACTCGGGCGAGGCGGCGGCGGGCGAGGCGGCGGCGGCAGCGGCGGGCGAGGCGGGCTCAGTGGAGGGCGGCGTGGCCTCTGTGGCTGCGGCCGGCTCGGCTGCGGCCGCCACCCCCTCCTCTCCCGCCTCCGCCGCCTCCGCCGCGGCGTGGTCGGTCGCGGGCGGGGCTGCCGCGGAGGCGGCGCTGCTGCTGCCTTGCTGCGGCGGGGCGAGGCTGGCGAGGCGCCGCTCGAGCTCGGCGCGCCGCTCGGCGAGCAGCGCCAGGAAGGGCGCCGAGTCGCCAGCAGAGCGAGCCTCGAGGGCGGCGGCGAGCGGCTGCTGCTCGACCTACGCGAGCGAGCAGCCGTCGGTCGGGAGCGGCAAGTGGCGAGTGGTGGCGAGTGGCGGCGAGAGGCTGAGGCCTCGAGGGTCTTGACGCAGAGGGTGATGCCGTACGAGAGAGGGACGAGCGAGGCGAGCACGCGCGGGTCGGCGGCGAGCCTCGCCTGGGGGCGGGACCCGACGGTGCGGGGTCCAGCAGAGTAGACAACAGAGGCTGCGGGCAGGCCTCGACCCGCGCGCAACGGGCGAGGCTCTCGCGTGCCTCGCGTCGTCGGGTAAAGCTCGGCCAGCCTCTGCTAGCCTCTCGGCTGACTGGCGGCTGGCTCTCGGCCAGCCTCTGCTAGCCTCTCGGCTGGGTCTCGGCTAGCATCTGCTAGCGGGTCTCGGCTAGATGCCGCACGTTGAAGGCGCGCATCGTCGGGAATGGCTCGTGGCTGAGGACATGGTCCGCGGCCTGAGGAGGAGGAGGGAGGGGGAGGGGTCACGAGGGTGCCGCCCCGCCCGCACGCCGCGGCGAGCTCCGCCACCCAGAGCGTGTCGTAGTAGACGATCACTCCGCCCACCCGCACGAGCTTCATCAGCTGCTCGTGGAGGCCTGCGTAGGCGGCGCGGTCGCCGACGTCGACAAAGACCATGTCGAAGGAGGGCCCTGATCCGTCGGCGATGAGGCGGTCGAGCAGCGCCTCCGCCTTGGTCTCGTGCATCTCCATCCTGCCAGAAGGGGGGGGGGGGGGGGTGTGAGGGGCAAGGCGGGCGGGTGGGGCGGGGCGGGAAGTCCACCGGAGGGGGAAGATCAGCGTAGGGTGGCGCGCAAAGGGGGTGGAAGGGAGGGGAGTGGCGGGGAGGGGGTGGGGGCGGGCCCCCCGCCCAGGGCGAGGCGGGAGGGCTGTTAAGGGGCAAGAGGGCGGGGCGCTGGAGTGTGGGGCGAGTGTGTGTGTGTGTGTGGGCGAGGGGGGGGGGGGGGGAGAGGCGGCAGGGAGGCTGGCCGGCGAGGGCGGCTGGGCAGCGCAGCTCGCGGCGGCGGCTGCAGCTCACTTTGCGGCGACTCCAGCCTTGATCCACCAATCTCGCGCCGAGCGGGCGGCGGTGGTGTCAGGCTCGCAGCAGATGACCTTGGCGTCGTCGGCGGTGGCCAGCGCCATCGCGATGGACGAGTAGCCCGTGAAGGTGCCGAGGTCGAGCAGCTTGCGCGCGTCGAGCGCCGCGGCGAGCGTAGACAGGACGCGGCCCTGCTCCTCGGGCAGGCCGAGGACCGCCTCTGGCATAGGCAGCTCGGCGACGAGCCAGTCGCGCAGCTGCGTCAGCACCGGCGCCTCCTTCGAGCAGAGCGTCAGCGCCAGGTCGCCGGTGGTGAGCACGCGAAGCAGCGAGCCCAGCAGCGACGTCTCGTTGGTGGGGTGTGGCTCGGAGGGCATCGAGAGGATCTCGGGCTGGAGCTGGTGGTGCAGCTCCACCAAGTCCTTCTTCTGGCTCGTGAACCAGTTCGGCTTCCCCGGGCGGTACGCGTCGGCGCGCTCCCACGCTTCGCGGATCAGCAGCCGCTCACTCTTCTGGATCTTGAAGCCAAACTGCGCCGCCGGCGCAGTGCTGCGGCGGCGGCAGGCTGCGGCGCCGCTGCAGTCACGCGCGCCGCCGGACAGGAAGGCGCCCTGCGCCGCCGGCGCGAGGAGGAGGACGAGGCGGAGGGCGCAGCTCAGACAAGCCTTCATGCCACCTCGCGGTCGTCCCACTCTGTTTATTCTGCTGTTTATTTTTGCCCGGGCGGGTAGGGGATCCGGTTGGGACGTAGGGTAGGTCTGGGCCCTCCCGTCGGGATTTTTCCTTCTTCACACCGGCGCCCCCCAAAAAAGAGACAGGAAATTCCCTAGCAGCAACACTGGGCACGGGACTGGAAGAGAAACCCACCGTCGCTCGAGCTACATACACTGACTGGAAATCCTGGTAAGAGGGCGTGAAGGGGGTGACTTCTGACTGTCGTTGCTGTCTCTCCCTACTCGCTTGTCTGTGCTTGTGCGTCTTGGGTCATTGTGTTTTTGCGTGAAGGGGGTGCCCGAGCGGTGTTGCGTGCCCCGCAAGTACACACACATCGGCCGCCGAATCGCCGTCTCGGCGACGTACGCTCGTCCTCTCCTCACCTTCCGGCAGCAATGGGCAAGTGCGTGGGCACACGGCCAAGCCTCCCGGCGGCCACTACCACAGCACGTTCTCCCTCGTCTCCCGACACCTCCCACGCCGCCCTTTGCTCACACCGCCACTCTCCCGCGTCTACGCCGCGCACAGGCTCTCCTACAAGAAGATCGATTACACTGGCCAGCGTGTCCTGATTCGCGTCGACTTCAACGTGCCTCAGGTTCGCCTCAGGCCTAGTTAGAACCCCCCCCCACCCCCCCTCTCGGTTGCCTTCCGACCGACAGGCCCCATCCTCCCGCAGGACAAGAAGGACCCGAGCAAGATCACCAACACCGCTCGTATCGATGCCGCATTGCCCACCATCAAGTGCGCGCGACGTCGACCTCTCGGGACACCCTCGCACGCGCAGCGCCCTGAGAGCGGTCGGGGCTGTCCTCCGTGCCACCAGGTATGCTCTTGACAAAGGCGCCAAGTCGGTTGTCCTGATGTCGCACCTCGGACGGCCCAGTGGCATCGGCTTAGAGGAAAAGTTCTCGATGAAACCTGTCTTCGAAGTGCTTAAGACAAAGTTGGAAGCGCCTGTCCTGTTTGCCAGCGGCGTCTTTGACGACGACGATAAAGACAAGGTGTGTGGTTGCGGCGGGCGCTGCTCCCCTCGCACAGCAGCCCCCCCCCATGCACTGGCGCTCGGCGCTCGCTCGCCGGCAGGTTGAGGAGATGTGCGCGGACCCGGCGCCCGGCACGGTCATTCTGCTCGAGAACCTGCGGATGAACATCGAGGAGACGGGCAAGGGAGAAAAGGACGACAAAAAGATCAAGGCCGACGCTGCAAAGGTCAAGAAGTTCAAGGCGCATCTCAGGCAGCTCGCAGACGTTTACATCAACGACGCGTTTGGCACGGCCCACCGCGGCCACGCGTCGATGCTGGGCGAAGGCTTTGCAGTCAGGGCGGCGGGATCCCTCATGTTCAAGGAGCTGGACGCCTTTGCCAAGGTGATCGATGTGCCGGCAAGGCCGGTGCTCGCGATCCTCGGCGGCGCCAAGGTCCCGCCAGCCCACCCCTTCCCGCCTCCCCTCTCCGGGCGCCGACATCGTCTGCGAGTCGACCGGCATCTTCACCGTGATCGAGAAGGCGTCGTTGCACCTGAAGGGCGGCGCCAAGAAGGTGATCATCTCGGCGCCGTCGGCGGACGCGCCGATGTTTGTCATGGGCGTTAAACCACACGGTCGTACTCGGAAGGACAATCAACATTTCTGTCACAACCGTTCGCGCAAGGCCAACTTCGGGGTGCCGCTAGGTAGGGATATCCATGAGGAGTACGGGATAGTCAAGGGCATGATGACCGCCGGGCACGCGGCGACCGCCACCCAGAAGACGGTGGACGGCCCCTCGGGCAAGGTCTGGCGCGGCGGCCGCGGCGCGGGCCAGAACATAATCCCGTCCTCGACCGGCGCCGCCAAGGCCGTCGGCAAGGTGCTGCCGGACCTGAACGGCAAGCTGACCGGCATGGCCTTCCGCGTGCCGACGCCCGACGTCTCCGTCGTCGACCTGGGGGGGGCGCAAGCCCTCCCCACCACTGCTACTCTGTACTGCATGCAACTCAGCAGTGGTCGCAAGCGTCGCAAAGGGCAGGGAGGCAGCCTCGCGCGCTGTCGAACGCCCCCCCGGCCCAGACAGAGGCATCACAATCATGCTCTGGCCAGCGTCTGGTGGCTCGGCATTGCGCAACACACGCCGCAATCAGCCTGAGAGCAGATGATGGGGTGGGCGCGGGTGGACGAGAGTGGAGCCGAGTTGGGTGGGAGAGGGAGCACGCACGTGCAGCGGTGCCGAGAGTGGGTTGAGATGGCACCGCCTGCGGCCGCCCGGGCGACGGCTTGCGCAGGTATGTTGTTCATGTCCTTATCCGCCGCCGCTTGGCTGCAGCAGCCAATGACGCCGCCCGTCTTTGCGAAGCGGCGTCTGGACGCGCTTGGCGGTTGACGCCGGCCCGCCACTGCGCCTCGTGCGCGTCCACCTCCGTCGAGGTCGACGCGTCGAGATCGGAGCGCATCACCGAGACGCCAGAGCCCGCCTTCGCCGACATGATTCCCCGCCGGAGAGCTCGGTGAGTGTGCCGTCGCCCGAAACGGAAAACCGGCCGCGGGGAAATATAAGGTAAGATTCTCCCCAAGTGCCCGCCTTCAGCTCTCCTTCGCGCGCCCCGGGTTCTGGTCAAGAATGGGTCGACGTCTGCGGCATCTAGCCCTTTTCGCAGCATGCCTCGTTGCTGTGCTCATCACAATCAACACCAACATGATGCGGATCAATGTGCGTCCGACAGCTCCCATCCCGCACGAACCCACGATGCACGTAACGCCATGCGCCGTGCATTAGGCGCAATCCACAGAGCTGTCGAACACAGCCACCAGGGCTATCGCTACATTTGGCCGCGTGACTGCCACCAGGGGTATGATGACGACAGCGGCCAGCAAGCAAGGCTCGCGCCACTGCTCGAGCCAGCACGCAAACGACGCCCCTACTGCCGAGTGCCAGGCCTTCTGCGCAGACCAGTTCAGGAAGTTTCATTGCCTCTGGTGCAAGTGCCGTGCGTGCACCTTTTGTCCGAGAGAGGACGACAAATTGGCGCTGATTGAGGAGCTGCACCCACCGCCGCCGCCGCCATCACCGGCGCAACCCGTGGGCCTGCTCTTTCCCTCTGCGGTCCAGCGTGCCGGGACGGGACTCGGCCAAGATAACGCGACCGCCGAGGTGGAGGAAGGCGAGTCGTTGGAGGAGGGAGACGCGCCGTCGTATGATGACGAGGGCGACTATGACGAGGGCGATGGAGAGGAGGAGGAGGAGGAGGAGGAGGAGGAGGAGGAGGAGGAGGAGGGAATCTCGGCGTCGGTTAGCGACACCGGCGCAAGTGCGGCATCAAGGGGGGAGTATTTGGAGCACAAAATTGACGCTGAGGAAGTGATACCGGTACCTCGACCCGCCGCGAGCGCGACGCCTGCAATTCAGGTCGACGACGTTGAGGCGACCAGGAGCACGGGAGGCGGCCCGGCAGCGATTTTCCACAGTAGATATAGTGACTAGGATAAGCGCATGTGAAACTGCATATTGTGACCTTTCGAGGGTGAGACGGGCGGCGCGAGCTGCATGCATGTGTGTACCCCGTGTTTTCTCTACGTGACTGCACTCCTCTGTCTCTGAAGCGTGCCAAGGCGCAAAGGGTGTCTGTGAAGAGAGACGCGGTGGTGTCTGTGCACACGGCTCCGGCAAGAGCAACCCGCGCCGGGCCGGCAAAACTCCGCCAACCCGCCTACTGTATCGCGCACGGAGATCAACCCCCTGGAGTGCTCCGGTGTCTACGGCGTACGGGGCTATTTACACGGTACTTTACTAAGACTTTTGCCCGCCACAAGGAGAAAGTAAAAAAAACGAACGAAAATGACTTATGGCCCTCGGTCGCCTCTGCGCACACGTAGACAGAGACGCGCGCGCGGACCGCCGGGGGCGCCGTGCCCCTCCTGAGCCCTGTACAGGGAGCGCCCGCCCCGGCCGGGGGGGGCGCGGCGGGCCCGGCGAGCTGCGCCCCGCTCCCCCGCACACACCCCGAACAGCGCCTCCGCGGCACGGCACTTCTCGCTCGAGTCACGCGCTTTTCTCGGTATTTTGAAAGCGCCAACAGGTACGAGCACAGACGTTGTGGATGACCGAGACGCTCACAGCTCAGAGCAACGGGCACAGAGATGGTTAGTACACATCAAACAGATACGCGCCCGGCGGTACCCTGCCCGCTAAGGTCCTTCAGCGTCCCACATCACGTTCGCAAGCGAGGGGAAATTCCGCTTCAGCCGCTGCGCAATCTCGGCGCGCACCGAGTTGATTGTTGAGCCGGAGCCGGAGATGCGCAGCGTGCAGGATGGAGCGACGCCTGAGGCAGCGGCAGCGGAGCTGGGTGTTTGGCGCGCGCGCGGGCGCGCGCGGCACGCAGAGGGCGGGCGGCATCGCCTGTCTCTATGAGCTCCACCAGCTCGACGTCGCCCCCCGCCATCTTGAGGAAGGGTCGGATCTCCTCGAGGACGCCTGCAGGCGGGCCGGCGCGGTGAAGCGGCGCGACGAGAGGCCACGGACGCGCGCGCGCACCTTCGATGCCGTCCTCGGTCAGCTGCGGCCCATCAGGCGCGACCTGCTCAACCGCGATGATCTCTGGTATCTTCTCGCGCAGCCCGCGCTCGAGGCCCATCTTCATCGTCATCGCCGACGACGCACACGAGCCGCACGCGCCCTGCAGCTCGAGCCGCACGACGCCGCCATCGATCTCAGCGACGGCAACGTTTCCACCGTCGGCCATGAGGTACGGGCGCATCTCATCAAGCACAGCATCCACATTCTCCGCCGTGAGAGGGAGCGGACCGGTCAGAGTTTCGCCGCCGTTCGAGGCTGACGCCTCGAACGGAGAGGTGACTGGGTCGCTGCATCGAGGCGCTCCGGCGCGGTGCTGAACGCGCGGCACGGCACTCACTGCAGGCACACGCAACGAGCCCGCGCTGTGCAGCCAAGAGGAGAGGAGGAGCAAACAGCGGGCCCTGCCCCCGCAGCTCGCCATGGCAGATGATTTTTTTGTTTTTTCCCGCATCTCGCCGGGCGCTCTCTCGCGTAGCGCAGCTGTAGGATTGCGAGCGGCCGTGCTAGCAATCGTGCAGAGATGCTACGATTGCGAGGACAACCGCGTGGCGGCAAAGCTCGGACAGGTTTCTTTTGCGTTGCGGCGCCCGCCGCCAACTGGGCATTTTTGGCAACAGCAAGAAACCTCGCGCGCGTCCGCCTCTAGTGAGTTTGTTTGTCTGTATGTCGCTCTCTAGCGTGCCGTCATCTCCCTGTCCAGCGTCCACCGATACCGCCCAGTTGGTGTCATCATCCAGATTCCAGCTGGTCCTCCGAGCCTCGAGCGTCGAGGTCCGAGCCTGGCTGTTCCTTCAGACTTCATATCGCGCTACTTACTTACTTTACGACACGGTGGCTCGGGACCCAACTCCCAAGCAGCAGTTCACCACAGGCTCGCGATGCGGCCGGTGCTCTCCGGCGTGGCTGGCGGCGCGTTAGTACCGCAGTTCTCGCCCACCGTGGTCCAGAGGTGGGCGACGAGGTCAGAGACGAGGGACTTGCGGCGAGCGGCGAGCGCCTCGGCCACGGCCTCGCCGAGCGGCCCCTCCGTCACCTCGGCAACCTCCAAGAGCACCTCGTGGAGGTCAGCGCAGGCCTCGTCCAGCACCAGCGGGAAGTCCATCACATTGGGCTTGGCGCGCTCGTCCCACACGTTGCCAAGGTGCACCACGAGCTCCAGGTGGATCCCCTACGGCCCATTGAAGCACTCATGTCGAAGCGTCCTTCACTCCTTGCCGCGGCGCCGGCGGCGCGCTTGGAGCGGCGCGAGGCCGCCGCGAGTGAGGAGGTTGCGGAGCATGGCCTCCGAGCAGCGGCGCCGGTGGGCACGGCAAAGAGGCGAGGCGACGTGAGGGTTGAGGCCAAAGTAAGCCTGCGGGCCAGTCCGTGTGTTGCTCTCAAGACGGCGCGGAACGTTGGCAAGGGCAAGGGGGTGGGAGGGGTTGAAGGTGAGGTGCGACCTGCAACATCCCCGTCGCGTTGATGGAGGCCACCGCCAGCGGAAAGCCCGTTGCTGTGGACGGCGCGCGTCCAGAGTTGACCACCGTCAGCAGATGTCGAAGGCCCATGACGCCAGCGCCACGGAAGTCCGTTGTCGGGTCTGGACCCTGAAACCCGAGCTCCCTCCAGCGCTCAGAGCGCGGCTTGAAGGTAGAGGCGTTGCCGGGGCCAAAGCAGGAGCGCCACAGCGCGCGTAAAAGCAATTCGTGCGTTTCCCAATCGTAGGAGATGCGTGCGGCGTCGCGCAAGCGCGAAAAGGTCGCAAGCTGCTCCTCGAGCTCCTGCTGTTTCTGCTTGCCGCCCTTGTAGCGCGATGTGCCGAACCTTTCAGCCAGCTGCCAGTGAGCGAGCGTTGCGCCTCTTGGCGAGAGAGGCTGGATTCCCGGCCGCTGGAGCACCCGAGCGTCGTCAGACTTGCTGCCAAATCCCCGACGGTACATCTGGGCATGCGGAACCACCGATGACCCAGCAGTGGAGCGGTCGAGTATATCACTCTCGCTCAAGAAGTGACGGCCTAGCGGTGTCGCGGCGCGATACCGCGGTCGCTGTCGGTCCCCCGTCGATATCACCTTGCGCCGACGCGCCCGGACGAGCAGCATACAGGATACTAGTACGAGCGCTGAACAAAGCGGCACGAGTGCGTGAGAGGTGACATCGCCGAGCCGCAAGGTGCTGAAGACAGGCTCAGCCGTTTCGGGGTCTGGAAGGTGCCACCGGAACCGGACCAGGCGACGCCACCACGGGTTGACCCGACGGTGTGCAGCCGACCTCTCCCTACTTTGTACTCCCCAGAGCGCATCATTGCTCCACCGCATGTAGACCTCCCGGGACGTACGACGGCTCTCCAGTTGTCTCACTTCACAGCCTTGTTATTGAGAAGAAATAACGCACGGGCCCTCAGCGGAGCTGGGAAGAGGACCGCCGCAAGCGGCGTGGCGTGGAGCGGTTGTGCATCCCTCCGGGGGCCCCTCTGCGCCGGGGAGGCGTTGTTGGAGGCTAGGACGCAAGCGTCCGTCGCCCTTTTCAAACTCGGGGCCCACTCCGCTACGCTCCGACCTGAATTTGGAGGGCCTGAAAGTTTAAGGTGTTGCTGCGCAAAAGGGGTCGGACACCGGGCGCAGCTCATGCTAAGAGCTAGAAGAGGAGATAGAGAGAACAACCACCCTGTCCCGTTATTGCGTACACCAACACCACAAAACGCTCTCTCTCTCCTGTCCTCACTCAGGGGGGTCACAACTACCAAGTCCCTCGACTAGCTGCCACAGGGCGCAGCTGCCACAGGGCGCAGCTGGAGACGCTCTCCCTCAATCGGCATCCACCCCCACCCGCTCCAGCCCCACTTCTGCTGCCGAGAGAGCTGAATCGAAGCAAGCGAGCCATTGCATCTTGGCGTGCTCCTGGAGCGCGGCTTTCTGCTTGGCGGCCACGAGCACGGCGGAGTCGGCGTCGTAGCGCGCATCGTTCCCGCTCATCGCCCATTCCTCCCACGTGACGTGTGTCGGCCGCGATTCGATGTCGCCACCTTCATCGCCAACGAGGACTCCCTCGACTGCAGGGGGCTCCGGCGCGGGGAGGGACTCCGCCTGCTGCGCTGGCCGACCGCGCCCTCCTCCTCCATGGGCTCGATCCGAATCCGCAGCGGCGGTGCTGCGCGGGAGGCGGCCGCGGGCACGCTGGGCTCGATCAGCGGCTTTCCCCTCAGGTAGCGCGAAGAGCACGGATTTGGCGGACGTTCTGCTTTCAACTTTACGGATGTCTTGGCACCAGCTGAAGGCTTGCATCCCTGCATCGCCCAAATAAATAAATAAAACGGACACCTCTACTAGGAGATGGGTAAAAAGGAACAGGTCCCCGCCCTGCGATCTTTGTGCAGGTCGCCCAGTTCGTGCACGGTATTCGGATTTTGCTATTTGTTCGTGTGGGGGTATATTGCAGATTTGTCAATGGTACCGCGTCTGCGACGCGGGCGCCTTGCGAGCAGAGCTCTTAGGACACCCTTTATATCTTGCGCGGTCAATACCTCGTATGGCGCTGTGCGCTGGTCTGTGAGAGGTTGAGGTGCGAGCCCTGGAGGCCCTGGGGATGGGGGGAATTAACAGACCTTGTTATTGAGAAAGAAGAAAATACCTCATTTGGCGCTGTGCGCTGGTCTATGAGAGGTTGAGGTGCGAGCCCTGGAGGCCCTGGGAATGTTGGCCGCTTTGTGTATCTCGAGACCTCGAGAGAAGGCCGCCCGCAGGGCCCAAGTCAAGAATGGCTTTCTTTTGGCGGGCAACTGGGGATGGGGGGAGACTACCCGCCGGCCTACCTAGAAGGCCCGCGCGCAGGGGGGTGGGACATTGATTGAGACCGGTCATGAATGAGTGCGCGACCCACGCATGTTGCGAGCAGCGTTGTTGATGTTCTGCGCGTCGCCACAGACGGCGGCGCGCGAGAGCTGTTGCGAGTGGTGCTGGGCGAAGCCCCGGGCGCTGCCGGAGGCTGTGCCGTAGTCGGTGCGGTCGACGGCGCTCGGGCTGCCGACCTCTTTGGCGAAGTTGAAGATGATTCTCTTGGTTGGCGGCGCGATGCCGCCCTGGCTTTCGACGAGACAAATTTTGACGATTCCGTTCTTGGAGCGCGTCGTAGTAGTGTCCCCTGTGCTCTTTGACCCAGGCCTTTGCCGGTCGCATGGACAAGCGGGCCCTTAATACAAAAACACACCCCGGCCCCAAGACGTCTCACTTCACAAGTATCCGCTCGGCGGGTGTACTCTTTTTGCGTGGCCGGAGACCATGATGAAATTCTGCGAAAACCTCGCCGGGCCCTACCCCCCCACCTCTTCCCTCGAGCCCTCCTCTTCCCGCTTCCTCCCTACCCTACCCTGTTATGGGAAACTAAAAAAGAAATCACTCCATAGGTCAAGGTGGGGTACTATACCTAAAGTGATGGTTGGTGATACTCTCCTGCAACCACAGAATCTGTGCCACAGTATGGTTGAGATATATAAGAAACAAAGAGAAACCACCGCACGCCGGGCGGCGGCCACATCACACGACAATCAACAAACACAAGGGCTCCAGGCCCCAAATGACGTGTGAGTGTTAGAGTTGTTTGATATTGCTAAAAATCTCTCGACAATCGCAGTCGCGCTCCCAATACGTGCATCACTTTTGTGACAGGTCTGGGCCCCCGTTCCAAATCCGAAGAGTTTTCAGGTGGACCATCAATAGTTACCGAGATATGGCCGCTCAAAGTCTGAGAAGTGATGCACGTATTGGGAGCGCGACTGATCGACATACGTCAGTATCTTCCTGGTCGCGCCGCAGCGCGCGCACGAGAGAGGCGGCACACGTGTGAGGGAATCGAATTTGGGGTGAGAACGGGACAGTGTTTTAGTTCATATTCGCAAATTGACAAGCGCCGTGCGCGCGACAATGCGGCGACCGACGACCATATGGGGACGCCGGGGGGCAGCCCCCCCCCGCCCCCCCCCCCCCGCCCCCCCTCTCACAAACAACGCGACGGTTACTCGGTGTCTCATGACGGTTACTCAGCTCTGGTTCGGCGTCGGTAGATCCTTGTCAACGGGCTCAGCCGCGTGGCGCCGGAGGTCCTCCGCCATGATGGCGGCCAGCAGGCACAGCATCATCCGTGGCCGCCCCTCGACCACGTCCTCCCAAGTGGCGAAGACGGTGCAGCCCGCCTTGTGCGCGCACGAGATTGCATACCGCGCGTTCTGTGCGCGCTCCTCCTCGGTGGTGCCCGAGAGAATGAGCTCCTCCCGGGCGCACTCGGGCGCGACGGAGCGCAGCAGCTTCAGCAAGAAGACGCCCGTACGGATCTGCGGGTCAGCGAAGTTGCGCAGATTGGGCATCGCCTCGTCGTGGCGTTTAATCTGGCAGTTGGCCCACTCTAGCATATCGGCATCGCCCATCCCAAGCGCCTCGAGGAACTGGCACGCGTGCGTGCGCATCAGCTGCGACGCCATCGACAGGATGTACATCGAGATGCCATCGGCGAGGTCCTTGCCCGAGAAGCCGGCAACGACCAGCCCCACCTGCCGAGCGACAGACACGGCGCGGTTGCAGTTCTGAACCTGCGGAGGGAAGGGTGCGGTGGCGTAAGCGGAGGTTGCGCCGTGATGGAGGCTCTCGCTTGGCGGCGGGCGCACCCGCTCGTAGATGGAGCGCGGCTGGAGCAGCACGCGGCTCCAGTCGACGGCGCCCGGTCTGAGAAAGTCGAGGAGTCGCAGGAAGACGACGCCCGTCCGGCAGTCCTCATACAGCGAAGAGAGCGACTCGAGCCCGAGGCCGAGCGAAGCCATCCACATTCGCAGCGCCGCCTCCTCGCGCTCCTGCGAGCGGTTGCCACGCCTCCCGCGCTTGCTCGCCGGAGCCTCGGGTTCGGCTTGCGCGTCGAGGCCGGGGCACGTTCGAAAGATGGCAGCGACAAACGCAAGCAGCATCCGCGGACGTGCCTCGAGGACGTCGGCTGCATCCACCTCGAACATCTCGACGCCACATAGCTCGGCGGCCTCGATCGCGAGTCTGACGCGCTCGTCGGCCGATGACGAGGCGAGCGCCGCTTCCGAGACGCCCTCCGCAGCTGAGCGGCGCGGCGCCACCTGGTGCAGCACGATCGAGAGCGCGAGCCCGTCGGCGAGGTCGGCGTGCAGGTTGGTGACGCGGAAGGTGCGCGGGACGGACGCCTGCTCCGGGCTCGCCTCGAGGTAGCCGCGGATGTGGTGGTTGACCCAGCGCTGCAGCACCTTCTCCGGCCTGTACCTTGCGAGGCTGGCCGGGTCCTCGCCGGCAAGCAACATGCCGTGGATCTCCGGGTTCTTGCTCGCCTGGATCGGGTTGAGGAGCGCGCTGCGCACCATGTTCCAAACGAGCTGCAGTGCCCTCTGCTGGCCCGACGGAGGCGCGTCGACCATCTGCTGCGGAGTGAGGCCCGGCACGCCGCAGCCGATGGCGGTCGCCGCGTTGAGGCAGAGGCTCTGATTCTGCAGCATATCCTCACGGCCGAGGAGCTGCCCTCGCTCACCTGGGAGGTTGAGAGCACGCTCGTCGAGCGCCGTCGAGTCCACGCGCAGCGCGTACTTGGAGAGAACGATGCCGTTGGCCACCGCGCCGAAGAAGGCGCTGCAGCTCGGGTCGATGGGAAGCGAGGCGGAGGCGTGCTCGTCGCTCGCGAGGGCCCAGTTGAGGTGTCTCGCGAGCGCCGCACGCTCCGAATCGGCAAAGGCGTCGGGGTCAGCGGCGCCGGGCGTGGCGACAGAGCTCGGCAGCTCAAGCACAGTCTGGTGGAGGTGGCCCATCGCCACCGTGGCGTGTTCGGGCAGAGGCGGGCCTCCAGCGGCAGGAGCGGCTGGCGGCGGCGCCCCGAGAGGCTGTGCGGCGAAGTGCGGCGCGCGAGGGTCCGTTGCCTGCTCAAACACAACCGCCTCCGCGGCATTTGAAGCGACCGCTGTGGTTATCTGTCCTAAAGCGTCGTCGGCGGGGGCCGCCGGCTGAGGAGCCGCGTGGCTCGAATCAGCTGTGGTCGTCAGGGCGACACCACCGTGAACCAGCATCTGAGCTGCAGGCGCGGGCACTGCCAAAGGTGGCTCTGCTGCGGGCTCGGTAGTGGTGGTAGTTGTCCCCTCGATGCGTCCTTGGTGGGAGAGTTCCGCTTGTGTGCTGGCAGGATCCTGCGGTGCTGTCTGCGCCGCCACCGCCACCTCCGCTGCAGCAGTCGCCGTGGTGGGCACCGTCGGGATGGAGTCCGTCTGGTGAGGAAGGGGCGTGATGTGCACCGCGTGCTGGTCCGGCTGGATGGACGGGTCGACAGTCTGCGTCTCCTCCTCGCTTTGGCCTGCCGAAAGCCGTGTCGACGTCCTGTGGAGAGGAGCGGCTGACGTGGACGCCTCCCAGTGCACGCACCCCGCCTCCATGCGCGGCGTCGGTGGCGGCGGAGCGGGCTTGAATGGGGGCGCCGCCGGCTTGAAGGAAGTGGTGGAGACGGTGATGTCGACCGCGATACCATCTGAAGCACGCCCCTCTCCCCCCTCTGGAGGCGGCGGCAGGTCTCCCTTGCCGAAGGGGTTGAACGGCTTGAGCCAAGTGGCGATGCTCGAGGCGACCGATGGCCGCAGCTCCTCCCGCGGGCTGAGCGCCGCTCGGCTGCGCGGCGAGTCCCAAAAGTCGCGACGGGAGGTGTCTCCTGGCCGCGAAACGCCCGCCTCCTGCCCCGCACCGCGGGGCATCCCGAGAGGAGGCAGCGTCGGCGCTCGTGCCGGCTTGGAGAGCGCCGCCTCTCCGCCTTCCGACCGGCCGAGCATGCGGGCCAGGACGAGCGCGTCGCGGCTCGGGCCGGTCAAGGCCTTCTCGTCCGACTCGGTGAGGCCGCGCGAGTCCAGTTTGGTGCCGTAGTCCAGCCAGCGCCGCCCACCCTTGGCCGTGCTCGGTATCGCCTCTGTGGCTTCGGAGCGCGCCTCGGGAGGCATGCCCGAGTCCGCGGTCCGGCGCTGTGAGCTCAGATCGGCCTCATTTCCCTCGCTCAAGCCACCCCGCGCGCGGAGGGCACGGGCTGCAGTGAGAGCGTCGCGGCCAGGGCCGCTCAGCGCGCCCTCGCACGCCTCGGACAGCCCGGAAGCGGCGAGCTCCAGCCCGAGGTCGAGCCAAGGGCGGTTGGTCGCGCTGCGCGGCGCCTCGTTGGTCTCGTCCAGCTCCGGGGCCGCGTGCGACCCCGGGGCAACCCGCCTGCTGGGCTTGCTCGGTGCTGTCTCGGCGGCCTCATCTCGCGCCTCACGCGCACGCAATACCCGAGCCACGACGAGCGCGTCGCGCCCCTGGCAGCTGAGGCCCGCCTCCTCCGCCTCGCTCAGCCCGCTCGAGTCGAGCTCTCGCCCCAGCTCGGTCCACGGCCGGTGCTGCTTGCTGAGGGCCGACTCGCCCGCCTCGTCGCGCGCCTCGCGCGCACGCAGCGCGCGCGCCACGACGAGCGCGTCGCGCCCCTGGCAGCTGAGGCCCGCCTCCTCCGCCTCGCTCAGCCCGCTCGAGTCGAGCTCTCGCCCCAGGGCGGTCCAGCCAGCGCTGGGCGCCCCCTCCTCAGCCTCGACGAGTGCGCCGCGGGACCGCAACATACGCGCTGCGGCCATCGCATCGTGCGAGAAGGCGCTGAGACCGCCCTCCTCCTCCTCCGTGAGGCTGGCGTGGTCGAGCTCGAGGCCCATCTCGAGCCACCGCCGATCCTGGTGGCCAGGCGACGCCTCGCCGGGGTGCTCCAAGCCGAGCGCGTTGCCGAAAGCCTCGCGGGCGCGGAGCAGTCGCGCGGCGGCTCTCGCGTCCCGAGCGTAGCAGCTCAATGCCGCCTCCTCGTCGTCGGTGAGTCCTGCCGCTTCGAGCTCCATCCCAAGCTCCACCCAGCCGCGCCTCCTCGAGGGGGTCGCCTCGCCGGCCTCAACGCCGCGCGAGCGCGCCGCGCGAGCAAGCACGAGGGCGTCTTGCGCGAAAGTGCTCAGCGCTTGCTCCTCGTGGTCCTCAAGCCCCGCCGCGTCGAGATCGGCCCCGAAGCCGAGGTTGCTCAGCTTGCGCCTTGGAGGCGAGATCTCGTCGCCCTCCCGCTCGAGGCAGATGCGAGCAAAGGCCATCGTGTCGCGCGCGAAGTTGCTCAGCGCGAGCGCCTGCTCCTCCGAGAGGTCAGCTGCGGCGAGCTCGAGGCCGTAGTCCACCCACGGAGGGAAGGGCCCGTGCGCGCTCGGTGGCGGCTCAGCGCCCTCGGCGCGCGATCGGAGGATGCGGGCGGCGGCCATCGCGTCCATCGCGAAGTTGCTCAGCGTCGCCTCCTCGTCCTCGGACAGGTCCGCCGCGTCGAGCTCGAAGCCAAGCTGGATCCACGCCTGGTCGGCCGCGCTCAGCACCGCCTCGCAGCCCTCGTCCAAGCTGTTCCGATCACGCGCGCGCAGCGCTCGCGCGGCGAGGAGTGCGTCGCGCGCGAAGCTGCTCAGCCCGAGCTCCTCCTCCTCGGACAGACCGGTCGCCTCGAGCGCGAGCCCAAAGTTGATCCACTCGGAGCGGTTGGGGCTCGAGGGGGCGCCGTGGCTCCCCTCGAGCAGCTCGGCCGAGTCGCGAGCGCGGAGGACGCGGACCACCGCGAGGGCGTCGCGAGCAAAGCAGCTGAGCTGCTCCTCCGCAGCTTCCGAGACATCGGCTGCGTCGAGCTCGAGTCCAATACTGAGCCACTGGCGGCTCCGCGTGCTCGCAGCCGCCTCGGGCCCCTCGGCTAGGCCATCGCGGGCGCGCAACGCACGCGCCGCCACCAGCGCGTCGCGGCCTTGGTCGCTCAGCTCCTCCTCCTCCGCCTCGTCGAGGCCGAGCGACGCAAGCTCAAGGCCAAAGACGAGCCACGGCGACAGGGCAGGGCTGCTCGGCGTAAGCTCGCTGCCCTCGCCGGGCTCGTGGCGGCGTGCCCGCAGCGCACGCGCGACGATGAGCGCGTCGCGCCCCTGCGTGCTCAGAGCCTGCTCGTCCTGCGGCGAGAGGCCAGCCGAGGCCAGCTCGAGGCCGAAGTTGAGGTTGAGGAGCGTCGCGTCGTGCCACGGCCTCGAAGGTGTGCTTGTCGCCGCCGCCTCGCTCGGCGAGTCGTGCCCGACTGCGTCGCTTGCCGCCGCGACGCTCAGCTTGGCCCCCTGCCACGGCTTGGAGGCGACCGGCACAGCTTCGCCGGGCAGCGACTCGGCGCCGCCCGTGTCCGTGGAGGCCAAAGCCTGCTCGACGACCAGCCTGCCTCGAGGCCTGGCAGCCGGCAGCGCCTGCTCGCCCCGGGGCGTCGCGTTCGCGGCTCCAACCCCGGTGTCACTGGATTCCTCCATGGCCGCCACGACGCTCAGCCTTCCCCGAGGCCTGGCAGCCGGCAGCATCTGCTCGCCCCGGGGCGTCGCGTTCTCGGGGCCAGCCCCGTAGCTGCTCGCCGCCTCCGCCGCCTCCATGGCCGCCACGACGCTCAGCCTTCCCCGAGGCCTGGCAGCCGGCAGCGCCTGCTCGCCCCGGGGCGTCGCGTTCTCGGGGCCAGCCCCGTAGCTGCTCGCCGCCTCCGCCGCCTCCATGGCCGCCACGACGCTCAGCCTTCCCCGAGGCCTGGCAGCCGGCAGCGCCTGCTCGCCCCGGGGCGTCGCGTTCTCGGGGCCAGCCCCGTAGCTGCTCGCCGCCTCCATCGCCGCCTCCACGCTGAGCCGCGCGCCCTGCCACGGCTTCGCAGAAGGGGGCAGAGCTTCGCCGCGCGGCGTGGCGTTCTCGCTCCCGACGCTCGAGTCGCAAGACATCACGGACGCAACGCTGAGGCGAGCTCCTTGCCACGGCTTTGAGGTCGGAGGCAGAACCTCGCCGCGCGGGGTCTCGTTCCCGTAGTGACGAGTCTTGATCGCCCTCGCCGCGGTGAGCGCATCGCGGGCGAAGGCGCTCAGCCCCTCCTCCTCAACGCCGGTGAGCTTGGCCGAGTCGAGCTCGAGGCCAAAGCCGATCCATCGGCTCTCGTCGGCCTCGCCCAGCGGAGCCTCCGGCGAGGCGGCCAGCGCTCTCGCGTCGCTCAGAGCCTCGCGGCCTCGCGCAGTGAGCTTCAACTCGTCTTCGGGCGAGAGCCGCGCCGACGCGAGAGCGACCCCGAGCTCCATCCACCGCTCGTACTCGGCAGCGTCGGCCCGATAGCCGCGAGCCGAAGCGAGCGGCGGCGCGCCCCCACGAGTGGAGAGGCGAGCGGAGGTGAGCGGCGCTCCTCCTCGCGCCGAGGTGAGCGGTGCGCCTCTCGCGGAACGCAGCGGCGCTCCCCGCGCGCTCGCGAGAGGCTTGGCCGCCCCCAGCTGCAGCGGCTTGACCGCTCCGAGCTGCAGCGGCTTGACCGACCCCAACTGCAGCGGCTTGACCTCAGCAGCTGGCGGCGCCGCGCCCCGCGCGCTCTGGAGCGGCTCCGCCAAAGGCTCTGCCGGCCTGGGGCCTCGCGCGCTCTGCAACGGCGCGCCGCCGCCCTGCAGCGATCCCAGATGCAGCTTCATGGCCGGAGGCGGAGGCGCCGCCTCTTCGCGGCCGCCCAGTGACTGCGAGGAGCCCGGTGTGACTTCGCGGTTTGACTCGCGGGCGAGCTGCACGCGGGCGGCGATGAGGGCGTCGCGGCCGCGGGAGGAGAGGTGCGAGGACTGGTCGTCGGTGAGCTCGACCTGGAGCAGCTCGCGGCCCAGGTCGAGCACAAAGGGCTTGTCGGGCGCGGGAACCGGCGACGGCGCCTCGCCGAGGGCGTGCCGAAGCGCCTCGCGAGCCGTGGCGCTCAGCGCCGACTCCTGCTCAGCGGTCAGGTGCAGCCGCGACAGCTCGTCGCCGACGTCGCGAGGTGCATCCTCGGCTCGCGGCGACTCCTCCACCTGGTTGAGCGCCGCGGCTGCCCTCGGGTCTGCCAGGGTAGTTGGCCCCTGGCGAGGCGTGGTGAGCGAGGCAGCCGCCGGCCGTCCGCGAGCCGTCTTGAGACTGGTCGTGCGTGTCACGCCGTACGTGTCGGTCGGCACCCTCAGAGGCTTGATCGTCGGGTTGATCGCGAGCCGCTTCTCCGACGGCGCCCCACGAGCGCTGCGAAGGGCGAGCGCCTGCGTGTCTCTACGCTGCTGCTGCTGCGACGGCTCAGCCGGCGGCTTTGGCTCCTTGGCGCCCAGGAAGCCAACCTTTTTCTTGAGCTTCTTCAGCATTTCTTCAGCTTTGCGGGGTCAAGGCGCGAGACTCCGATATGCAGTTGTAGTCGGCCGAACGGCAAGGTATGGGCTGAGCGAGCCGCCGGCCGACCAGCCGGGTGGGACGCATATAGTGGGCACGAGAATTTCTTTTTTATCATTCACCAAAAGCGCCTGGTCGGTCGGTTGGAATATTCGGCTGCTCTAGGAGTCGGCCTTGCTGGTTCGCCGTCCTCTTCCGAGTCCCCACAACAATCGCTGTCGTGGGATCGCTTGTCATGTGAGAGAGAGAGATCTCTCTTGTCATGTCAGAGAGATTTTAGACGCTCGCCTACCCACAATGGCGGCGGTGGCGATTGCGGCGACGGTCGTTCAGTCGTACAGCGCTCAGGGTCAGGCGCCTCTCGTCTGTCGTCTGTTGTCGCATTTCGCACACGCGCGCGACGCGCGACCCGCGTCGGCCGTCGCTCCGCGAGGGCATGAGCCTTCCGCGATTCGATCCCGCAGCCAAAAGCTGCTCGCTCGAACTGCGGCCGACTCTACCATCGCGGCCGCAGCTGTTGAGCTCTCCAGAAGACTGGTGCCTCATATGCTGCCTCCCTGCGGATGCTGCCGGCGAGCCTGGCGGTCCGCTGTACTACAAGGAAGTGCTGACTCGATTCTACCTCGAATTCTTCTACCCCACGACTCGGAACGCGAATGTGACAGGACCATCGGGTCCTTCAGCCACCAAAGCGAGATCACCCGAGAGCAGCTGAGCCTGCCTCTGGCCTCGCCTCCCTCTCCTTCAGGCATTCGTGGCATCCTATGGGTCGTCCAGAGTATCGACCTCTGGCTTGTCAGCCAGCCCCACTTTGAGGGCGCCATGAAGTACAGCGATCGCCACCTCGCTGGCCTCTCCGCAAGCCCCCCCGACCGCGTCGAACTCATCGGCGCGGGCTCTCTCGGCTACGGGACTGGCCCCAGCTTCGGCTGAGCGGTCTCGGGAACCGTACCCATACTACTCAAAAGTACAATATACTACCACAAAGCACCACTAGCGATTTCGCGCGGAGGGCGCAGTGAAGCGCTGGGGCGCTCACTGTGTGTTATTCGGGTGGGGATCCATCAGTGGTAACCGGCCTTATGTCCCAGATCCAAGCTCAGACGCCACACCAACACCACAAACACGCTCACTTCGCCGCTGCTGTAGAGGCCCCCCGGGGGCCCATACTACGTCGAAGTACGGACCCGATCTCGGCACTCACGGGCTGTCACGCGCCCGCGCGCGGCGCGGGCCGCACCGCCCATGCCCCCGGGTCACCGACCCCGCCTCTCGGCCCTCTCGGCCCTCAGGAGCGTGCGGGAGACCGGCGAGGGGCGCGCCGCGCGCCGCCTGCAGCGCCGCCAGAGGCATTGTCGCCTCCGCTGGCGGGGTTCCCGCGCGCCCGCCCGCGCCCGGTCCCGCGCCCGCTGCGCCCGCGGGCTCCGGATGCGCCGCCCTCCGTCTCCTTCTTCTCGATGGCAGTCCGCGCGTGCTTGTCGACGGGTCGGCGGCTGGTCGGCGGCGTGGTCGAGGGGAAGGTCGCCGGCGGCCGCAACTCCGCCGCCGTCGCTCCGCCGGCTCTGATCGAGTATCGGGCGTTGGGGGCGGCGGCGCAAAGCGGGTCTGACGCATCCATCGCCACGAGCCTCGCGGCGGCGGTCGTGGCACACCTGGCGGCGGCTCTCGGGGCCGTCTCTACGGCGCTCGACGCCGTGTGAGGTCGCCAGCGGCCGCAACTCCGCCGCCGTCGCTCCGCCGGCTCTGACCGAGTATCGGGCGTTGGGGGCGGCGGCGCAAGCGGGTCTGGCGCATCCATCGCCACGAGCCTCGCGACCGCGGTCGTGGCACACCTGGCGGCGGCTCTCGGGGCTACCTCTACGGCGCTCGACGCCGTGTGAGGTCGCCGGCGGCCGCAACTCTGCCGCCGTCGCTCCGCCGGCTCAACCGAGTATCGGGCGTTGAGGGCGGCGGCGCAAAGTGGGTCTGGTGCGCCACACGGCCACAACCCTTGCCACCCCTTGCCGCCGCCCTTGCCACCCTTTGCCGCCTTGCCTACGCCGCGGGCGGCGGTGGGAGCGGCCTGCTGGGCTAGCATGTTGTCCTTGCTGGGGACAGGCACGTGGAACGCACGTTACATGTTTGAACGGCCTCCAGGATTCATTCAAAAATAGCCAAGGCCCTCTCGCAACCCCTCCGACCCCCTGGGACCCGTGGGCGTCGAAGAGGCGCTCTCGGGGGGCCGTTCTGAGTTCATACTACCTCGAAGTACAATATACTGCGTCAAAGCACCGGCCCTGAGTCCGTGAGGGCTGACAAGCTGCCGAGCCCAAATCACTGTGAGGGTCGTGATTTCTTCTTGTCATGTGTGCTAGTGTTAACAGTAACAACAGAACAATGAGAGAGTCCGTTGTGTTCTTGTTTTGTATCCGCTTTCTCTTCCGTCCAACTGCGTCGCCTTCCTCGCACGCACGCCCCTTCGAGTTTCTTTTTTACTACTCGAGAAATTCGTGAGCCCAATCGGGTGACTTTTTTCGTTGTATGCCTGGGTTGTGGGTTGTGATGACCGCGACGGGGCGTTTCATTCTTTTGAGCGTGAAACGTGTCGCCCGCTTAAATTTCTTTTGAGTCACCAGCTGCTGTCTAGCTCGGTCGCTCGGTCGCGCCTCGACCGCTCCCACCGCCCTGTGCACCATGAGCCTGTCGCTGCACGCCCTTCGCCTCGCGGGCTGCCTCTCTGCGGTGGCGTCGTGCGCCCTGCTGCTGCGACGGCTCCTTGCTTCTCGGCCGCGGCGCCTCGCCGAGCGGAGCTGTGCCGCCTGTCGCCCAACGCTGCGAGAGCACGGCGGAGAGCCGCGGAAACGCTGCGTCCGCACAGCGCCTCCGGTGGCAGAGGCGGCGGCTCCTCTTGCGACGGCGCAGGCGGACCCGAGCGACGCGCGTGCGCGTGCGCGGGCGCACCTCCGGTTCGGCAACCTCTGCGCGCGAGGCGGGCGGCCGGAGAAGGCACTCTCCCAGTACTTGGCGGCGGCGCGGGCCGACCCAGCCTATGCGACCGCGCGGCACAACTGCGGCGGCGTCTGCCAGCGGCTGCGCCGGTTCGCCGAGGCGGCGGAGCATTACGAGGCGGCGCTCGCGCTCAAGCCGAGGCTGGTGGAGGCGGCCACCAACCTGGCCGTCGCGCAGCTGAACGCCGGCGCGCAGCTCTCCGCGGCGGGGGACGCGGCCTCTGCCGGCGAGTGGTACCGGTCGGCGGTCGAGAGCGCGTACCGCGCGATGCGCGTGCAGGCGGGCGCGGTGGAGGGCGGCGCGGGTCGGGCCGAGGGCGGCGAGACGCAGGACGGCTTCGACAGCGGCGGCTTCAACAGCGGCGGCTTCAACAGCGAGGCGTTCGCCAACCTGAACGTCGCGCTCCGCCTCGTCGGCGAGAGAGAGCGAGCGGTGCGCGAGACGTGGGCTGCTGTCGCCTCCCTCTCTCCGGCCGGCTTCACGCGGCCGCCTCCCGCGCCAGCGCCGCCGCACCTCTCCCGCTGCCTCTCCCGCTGCCTCTCCTGCTCCGCCTCGGGCTCGCCATCCTCGGGACCGACCCCTCCCGCCGCCCTGACGGTCGCTTGCGTCAAGTGGGGCGACAAGTGCGCTCAACCCCGTCACCCCCTCCCTCTCTCTCCCTCCCTCTCTCTCTCTCTCTCTCTCTCTCTCTCTCTCTCTCTCTGCGCCCCGCCGAGCCGCCGCTGGCCGCGTCCAGGTACGGTCCCGAGTACGTCAACCGCCTCTACGCCATGGTTGCGCGGCGGCTGCCGGGCGTCCCCTTCCGCTTCGCCTGCCTGACCGAGCAGCCGCGCGGCCTGCGGCGCGAGGTCGAGCCGCTCCCGCTGCCCGCCGCCTCTGCGGGCTGGCGTGGCTGGTGGCTCAAGGCGTGCCTCTTCACTAGTTAATGACCTAATTAGTTCCTTACTGAGAAATTGAAGAGTGGCTCGTGGCTCAAGGCGTGCCTCTTCACTAGTTAATGACCAATTAGTTACTTGCTGAGAAATTGAAGAGTGGCTCGTGGCTCAAGGCGTGCCTCTTCACTAGTTAATGACCAATTAGTTACTTGCTGAGAAATTGAAGAGTGGCTCGTGGCTCAAGGCGTGCCTCTTCACTAGTTAATGACCTCATTAGTTACTTACGAGAAATTGAAGAGTGGCTCGTGGCTCAAGGCGTGCCTCTTCGCGCCCTGCTGCGGCCTCGAGGGGCGCACACTCTACCTCGACCTCGACACCGTGCTCGTCGGCGATCTCCGCCCGCTCCTCCGCTACAGCGGCCCGTTTGCGACCCTCTCTGCCGCCGGCTTCAGCGCCGAGGAGGGCGTCGCCGGCGGGTACAACTCGTCGCTCATGCTCTGGGAGGCGGGGGCGGAGGGAGGGGCGGAGGGAGGGGCGGAGGGAGGGGCGGAGGGAGGGGCCCGCCCCGACACGGCGGCTGCAGCTCTGCGCGCGCTCCACTCGTCGCTCGGCGAGCCCGTCTTCCGCTGCTTGATGCGGTGGGACCACTGGCTCGAGATGGTGGTGCCGACCGCCCACCTCGTGCAGGACGCCTTCCCGGGCCTCGTCGTCGACTACCGGCAGGCGTGCGCCGGCCGTGCCCGCCCGCCCGCCGGCGCCGCCGTTGTCTGCTTCCCGCGGTCGCCAAAGCCGCACGAGGCGCCCGAGCAGTGGGTGGCGCGGCACTGGACAGAGGGGGACGAGGACGCGGAGACGGCTTTGGAGGAGAGGACCTGCCAGAGGAGCTTCAGCTTGGGCGATGCGTGAGAAGGAGCACGTCGTTAGAATTCTTTTTTGCAGCACTGCGCGCACCGCGGAAGCTGCTCGGGGGCGGTAAGCGCGGCGACGCCGATGCGAGCAGCACTCGGATTTTCGACGCGCCTCGCTCGGCGTGGCGGAGGATGAGGTAGCCATCAGGTTCGGACTCTCTGCGGGGTGGGTAGGATCCTGATCGTCCCCTCCGAGCCCTAATGAAGCCCTCCAGCCCTCCAGCCCTCCAGCCCTCCGAGCCCTCCACCAACTTGGAGGGAAGCCGGGAAAGAAAGAATTCTAACTTTCCGAGGCGGGGGACTGCGACAGGTGGCATGAAGGTCGCTGCAAGAATTGGTGATAAACTGCGGAGAGAGATAGGAAGTGGTAGACGCCCGAGGGTGGGCGACGGCTAACACCACACTTCTCCCCTAAAATCCCTGTGTGGTGGCGGCGTACCGTCCTCCCATCCCTCCCTTGGGTTCTCTTTTCTTTCTTTCTTTACTGCGACAGGCGTGCGATGTCGAGCCTCTCCTCGCGCCTGTCTGGCCAAATGGTGCTCGCGCCGCTGACGCGCGGCGGCAACCTGCCCTTCCGCCGGCTCTGTGCCGAGTTTGGCGCCGAGGTCACGCTGGGAGAGATGATCTTCGCGCGGCAGCTCCTAAAGGGCGACGTGATCGAGCGGGCCCGCCTGCGGCGCGCGTCCAACGAGCAGGTCTTTGGCGTGCAGATCGCCACCAACGACGTCGAGGAGGGCGTCGGCGCGGCCAAGCTCGCAGCTGCGGCGGGCGCGGACTGGGTAGACCTGAACTGCGGCTGCCCCATCCACGAGGCGACCCGCCGCGGCCTCGGCTCTGCGATGCTGCGGCAGCCGGTGCGGCTCGAGCGGCTCGTGCGCGGCATCGCCGCGGGCTCGCCGCTGCCGGTCTCTGTCAAGGTGCGGCTCGCTTCGGAGGGCGGCGACGTCAACGTTCGCGAGGTGGTCGGTCGGCTGCGCGCCGCGGGCGCCGCAGCGGTGACGATCCATGGCCGCACGGCGGAGGCGCGCTACTCGAAGGCCGCCGACTGGCGCCTCATCGCCGAGTGCGTCGAGGACAACGCCGAGGCGGGAGGTGGCATGCCTCTCCTCGGCAACGGGGACCTACTGACGCAGTACGAGGCGCATGGCAGGATGGCGCAGTCGGGCGTGGACGGCGTCATGGTCGGCCGGGGAGCGCTCATCAAGCCGTGGATCTTCAAGGAGTTCCGCGACCGGCGCGCGTGGGAGCCGAGTGCGGCGGAGCGCGTGGCGGTCTACCGGCAGCTCGCCTGCTTCATGAAGGAGCACTTTGGCGACGACGCAAAGGGGCGGCGCAAGGCGTGGTACTTTCTGCCCTGGCACTTCGACTTCCTCTCTCGCTACCGGCCACTGCCCGAGGAAGAGTTTGGCGAGCGGGCGGCGGCGGCGCCCCTCATGCAGACGAGGGAGGAGACCTGCTCGAAGCCCTTCTCGGAGCCTTCTCGGAGCCTCCCAATAGGCGCCCCTCATGCAGACGAGGCTGCCCCCCGCGCCGGAGGGCACGGCGCCGCTCGAGCGGCTGTTAGCGCACGGAGACCCGAGCGTGCACGAGAGGGTGGCGGCGGCGCTCTGGGAGGCGAGCAGCGATGCGGGCGCGGTGGCGGCGCTCACGCGGCTGGCCGAGGGCGCGGAGCTCGCCACGCTGGCGCGGGGCGGGGAGGAGGGCGAGGCGCCCGTGCTGGGCGAGGCGACCGAGCTGTCCAACATCCCATCCGACGGCGCGCAGGCGAGCGGCGCGCGCAGCGGCAAGAAGCACCGCCGCGCGCGAGCGCCACCCGTCGTGCGCACCGAGGAGGAGATCGCCGCGCTGCGCGCCGAGCGCGCGGCAAAGCGCGAGCGGACCGGAGCGCCGCCGCACCATGAGGGGAGGGCGGCGGCGCAGCGGGGCTGAGGAGACATTCAGAGAAGCCGCAAGTATGCACAACCCGGCACAGGCACGGTATACTGTAATCTGTATACAAAACTCTCCTGCGGCAGCGGGCGGACCACCCTCACAGTACACAGATCACAGATCACAAGCCACGTGCAGGGTCCCGTACGACCATGCGGAATCGACCCTATCCAGTGCTCACGTGCTCAAGCCAAGACCCAAGTGCACGCAACCACTACTGGTTAGGGGAACCCCACCCCGGTTCGCCGAGCTTTGACCTCGTACTCGTCTACATCACGGCCAGCCCAACCGCCCTTGCTCGACCTCGTCACTGGCGGCCCCATTGCCTTGCTCAATGTTTCGTTTGCTCCTCCGGCCAGTCGCCAAAGCCCGCGCACGCTATCACAGCACCGTCGCAGGCGCTGGCGCCGCTGCTAGCGTCGCTGCGGCAGAAACGGTGGCAGTCGGCGAGGGCACGTTGACTTTCGCACGAACGCAACCATTCAAGGCGGCCACACTCCCTGCCTCCTTGCCATCGTAGAAGTTAGTGCCGCCATGACCACGTCCGTGTCCCCGTGCAGTTCAACATCATCGTCGCCACCGTGAAAACTGCGCTGTGCGACCTCCTCGTGCAGCGCTACATCGAGAAGCGCGACACGATCGACTGGAAGCGGAACGGGGTCTTCGTCATGTTTGGCGGCGCCTACCTCGGCGTCTTCCAGTACGGCCTCTATGTCGGCCTCTTCCAGCGGCTCTGGCCGGGCATGGCCACCTTTGCAGCGCAGCCGCTCTCGCAGAAGCTCCGGAACGCCGCGGGGCTGCGCGACCTCTGCAAGCAGATCGCCTTCGACAACTTTGTGCACTACCCCTTCATCTACTTCCCAACCTTCTACTGCATCAAGGAGGGCCTGCAGGGCGACAGCGGGCCGGTGGTCGCGGGCGGGCTCGCAAAGTACCGCGCAAACGGCGTCGAGGACAACCTCAAGATGTGGGCGCTCTGGATCCCGGGCGATGCGATCGTCTACGCGGTGCCTCTGTGGATGAGGCAGACTGCCGCCACCGCACGACCCGCCCACGCTCCCGCAGCCCGACTCGCCTCCACCCCCTCTGTGGCCCTCTCCCGGCAGGCTCCCGCTCAACCACGGGCTCAGCTTCGTGTGGACCTGCTACCTCAGCTTCTTGCGCGGCGGGCAAGACGAGGCCGACGAGATCGAGCCGCTCGTCCACGCACAGGAGTGTCGCGCGTGACAAGTCAGCGTCCCGCGTGATGATTGCGTGTGTCGATGTGTCCAACACTCTCTCCAGTCTACCGTCTGCTCTAGAAGACTTTCCCCCAGCCCCACCACCACCTCCACCCGCCATGTGTCCATGTTGCATGTCCACTGACATGTTAATCTCGTCTGACGTCTCGTAAACCACAAAACGAAACAGGCACACAGACGCCTCTCTCGTGTGTGGTGGACCGCGTGGCGCCGGGATCGAGAGCGGCGAGACGGGAGACGAGCGAGGGGCCGCGCCCGGCCTATAGGCCCTAGCTAGCGGCCCAGCTCGAGATAGAAATAACCCCGCCAATGGGCAATGCGCGCGTCCACCGGTCCCCGCCCGCAGCACAGGCCGCCGTCCTCTAGATCTAGCGCCCCAGCGCGAGCAACGAGCAATGCGGACTCTCGTCCATCGATCGCCCATATTCCACGCGGCTCTCATGCCTGCTTGCTGTGACGGTTCAGCTTGCGCCAAACGACACCGTCATCGGGGGTGCCCCGCCGCTGAGTGCAATGACCACTTGCGTGAGTCCGGTGACGCCGCCGCCTGCGATGAAGCCCGCCGCGATGAAGTTCTTCATCTTGCCCAACTCCGGGCTGAACGTCTCCCAGTAGAGCGCGAGCGTGCCGCCGATGCACATCTCCAACGAGCAGCTCGCGGGGATCAAGAAGCCAATGCCGCTCGCCATCGGCAGCGGTATGAGGGTGGTGAGGATCGGCATCGTCTCACGGCAGCCGCAGAGGTCGAGGATCTTGTGGATGGTGTTGATGACGAGCGTGATGCCTATAGCCGGAGAACGCTCTCCTCCCCTGGTTGGCCCTCAATTCTCCCCATTTCGAGCCAGGAGAGTCTGCCCGCTGCCGCAAACATCCATTCAAAGATGTGGTCTGGCAAGGAGTCGCCGCCGCCCGTGGTCGTGATAATAGCTAGGACACGATAAATTGGACCGTAGATGCCCTGTAGGTGGCGGGGAGGAGCGTACGCTAATGGTGTGTTGCAGCTGCCTACTGAGAACGAGGTAGAGGCAGGAGGTGCCGGCAGCGCTCCATCCTCGGACGGGATCTCATAGGCCATGTTGACGATGGTGAAGCAGGCAGGGGTGATGAAGCAACCACAGATTGCCCCTGCCATTTGCGCGAAGAACATTTGCGACGGCTTTGCACCTACCGTGGGCGATCACGACTCACAATCCCGGCAGAGTGTAAAATGGTGCGGCGCTTGTAAGCGCCGAGCAAGTATCCCGTCTTGAAGTCGGACATTAGGTCGGCGGCGGCGCCGCAGCCGCCAATGGTCACCTAGGATTATGGCGAGGATATCCATAGCACAGCACTCGGGTTGGGTCACCTAAGGCGTATGTGTTAGGTTCACCATGCACAGCGCGAGAGACGGGATGATCTCCCCGGAAGACCGGTTCCAAGCGCCGAACCCGAACATCAGAAGCTTGCCGAAGGCAGAGCACATGTTCCAGTCTGTCATTCCCACCGACTGCAGGATCGCAATGGCGAAAATTGGGATGATCAATATGCCGACGACCGTCTGATACCAAATCACGTGGAAGGCAAAGTGCATGATGGCGACGCACGAGCTCCCAAAGACTGCATACCCGACCAACGACGTCCACCACGGCAGCGACTTGTCCCCTTGGAACAACTCGTCGAGTGCCTTGGTCTCAGGGTCAATGTCCGCTTTTGTGCCATCTTTCGACAACGCCGAGCTGATGAGCATGAACGTGATCTCGACGATCGACCACACACCGTCGGCGAGCATGATACCCAAGCCGCAGAAGACGAGGAAGCCATACGAGCCAACGTAGGCGGACGGCACAGTCTCGTCGTCGAACCAGTAAGGGCAGGGCTCGTCTCCGGTCCATGTCGCGCAGTCGCCGCTGCGCGTTGTGACGAGGTACGGGTTTACGACGCCGTGCGCCACAATCGCGCCTGCGATGATGCGCAGATGTCGTGAGCGGGGGAGATGAGACTGGCTACAGGGGCGCACAGGTCGCACCGACAAGAATCGACCAGTTGGTGGCAGGTCCAAGCAAGAAACCGATCGCCACCTGTGATAGATCGAAATCGATCGTCCATCCGTAATCTGCAAGCCAGAGACCAAAGATGGGCCAGTTCCCGATCCCGTCGAAGAACCACAAGTACATGTTCATCAGATAGACGCCCAAGAAGGCCTTGAGGCCGACCATGCCATTCGCGGCGGCCTCTGCGCCTCCTCCCGCCGTGTGCAACGATTTGATGATGACCGCCACGCACGTGCCGCTCGGGTAGGTCAGCCGCTGCTCGATTATCATGCTACTCTTCATTGGGAACGCCTGCGGCCACGCGCGGGGTGCGGCGGGCGGTGAGGCCTCCGTTTCGTCATATCTGGCACATCCGGAGTGAGGCAGACCAGGAAGAAGCCGAACAAGCCGACGGCGAAGCACCACGCTACGCATAGGCCATACGTCAGCTCCACCGTGTTGCCTGGACCTAGCTTGTTCCCCTCGAGCTCCGCACCGCCAGCAACCTTGTACGACTCCTCGGACATTGCTAGCAGGCCAGAGGCGAAGCCCAACGCCGAAAGGCTGGCACATGCAGTGGCGGCGGTTTGCGCCACTGCATTCTCCTGCCTGGTGAAGATGCCACCGAGGCACTTGGTCAGGCCCTTGCACACGAGGAAGGAGCCGAGACCGGCGATCACGTTGAGGGCAGGGAAGACACCCGTCTTTAGTCCGTAGTAGATCAGAATGAACGTGTTGAGCGTTCCCATGAGAACGCCTGAAGCCACAGCCTTGAAGGTCAGGGCGGGCTTGTCGCGGTCTTCGATTTCCATCTCGTCCCCACCCCCGACTCCGGGTGCATTCCAGCCGTTCACTGAGGCGCGAATGGACGCACGCGAAGCCTTGCTCAACGCCGTGCCACGGGCCCCGTTCATGCCTGCCCCGCCCTCGGCCTTGAAGGCATGCACCCCGGAGAGCCGGAAAGCCTCAGCGACGGGGTCGGTCGAGCGAGCGGTCGTGCGCATCCCCTTCCCCGGGGATGGGAGCACCGCGTCCGACATCTCTCTTCAGCCGACAAGACGTGAGGTAAAACTTTTACAGTTTTCCCTCCCAGATTGGCCGTTCATTCCATGCTCTTCACCATTGTTCTGGGATGGTGTCTGCATCTTGTTTTGTTTTGTCTGCCTCTTCCTTAAAGAAAGAAAGAAACCCAAAAAATGGGAGGACGGCACGCCGCCACCACTCCGTCGCTTGGTTGGTTCTATATAAATAAACCTTGCCACCACCGGGAGCGGCCAGGACTCATAGACTCGGTCGAGAGACCCCAGATTGGCATCCATGCCTCTCTGGACAGGGTGGCCCGCCACAAGCGACAAGGACCCCAGGAATTGCGACTCGCCGCTTTCCTCCCGCTGTGATTCTGTGTGAGCTCTGTCTGTGTCTTGTTTTGCCAACACTACACCTACAACCACACAGGGATTTCACTGGAAGGAAGGTGTGTTGCTAGCCGCATATTATCTCTCTTCGCAGTCCCTCGCCGATCGATTCTCGCTGCAACCTTCATGCCACCTCGCGGTCGTCCCACTCTCGTCGTTCTCCCTCCTGTCGCTTCCTCCTCTGTCTGTCACGTCGCTCTCCTCTGCCTCTTCCTATCGCCCTTTGCAGTCTCTCGCCAATTCTCGTAGCGACCTTCATGGAAGAGCTCTTCCTTCATGCCACCTCGCAATCTTCCCACTCTCGTCGTTCTCTCTCCTATCCTCTCACTCAAGAATTCCCGAAAAGAAAACGCCGGGATTGAGATCTAAATTCCTGCTTGACGTGCGGAGCCGTCGCGCAGCTGACTCGATACAGTCCAATGGTGGACTCCCCAGACAATCCACCACTCGATTTCCGCAGCCGCCGCTCGCCCACCATCTGCACGCACGGCGTCGCCGCCGCCTCGCAGCCACTGGCGGCCGAGATTGGGCTTCGCGTGCTCCGTTCGGGCGGCAACGCTGCGGACGCGTGCGTGGCGATGGCTGCGGCGCTCAACTGTGTCGAGCCCTGCATGACCGGGATTGGCGGCGACGCGTTCTGCCTCTACTTTGACGCGGCGAGCGGAGAGGTGCACGGGCTCAACGGCAGCGGCCGAAGCCCGGCGGCGCTGGACCTGGCGACTGCACAGGCGTCCCTCGACACGCCTGGCCGCATCGCCCTCGACCCCTCCTCGCCGCACTGCGTCACTGTCCCGGGCGCCGCGGCCGCGTGGTGCGACGCCATCGAGCGCTTTGGATCGATGCCTCTGGCCACTGTCCTGCAGCCCGCCATCGACCTTGCCGAGGAGGGCTTCCCGGTGAATGTCGTCGCGGCGACTCAGTGGGCGGCACAAGAGGCGCAGCTCACGCGGTGGGGAGCGTCGAACCCCGGGGCGAGTGCGCTCCTGCGGGACGGCAAGGCGCCAAAGGCCGGCGAGCTGATGCGCATGCCCGAGCTCGCCAGTACCTTTCGCGCCCTCGCCGAGCGTGGGAAGGCTGGCTTCTACTCGGGCCGCGTCGCCTCGGCCGTGTGCGAGGTGCTGCAGGCGCACGGCGGGCTGATGACCGAGGCCGACCTCGCCGCCCACCGCAGCACCTTCGACTCGCCCGTCTGCGTCGACTTCCGTGGCGTCAAGGTGTGGGAGATGCCGCCGAGCGGCCAGGGCCTCGTCGCGCTCCTCGCTCTGCGCACGCTCTCGCGGCTGCCTCAGCTCGACTCGCTGCCGCACAACTCGGCAGAGTACCTGCACCTCGTCGCCGAGGCCCTCCGCCTCGCCTTCGCCGACGGAGCCGCCTGCATCGGAGACGGCGGAGGCGAGGCCGGTGCGGCGGAGGAGATCGCCCGCTTGCTGAGCGACGACTACTCGGCGGCCCGCGCCTCGCTAGTCGACAGCGAGCGGGCGGCGGAGCACTTGCCGGCGGCGGCGGCGGCGCTGGCCAGCACGGGCACCGACACGGTCTACATGACCGCGGTGGACGGGCAGGGCAACGCCTGCTCCTTCATCAACTCCAACTTCATGGGGTTTGGCTCCGGGCTCGTGCCGCGCGGGTGCTGCTTCTCGCTGCAGAACCGGGTACGACATGTCCAGGACACGTGCACGACATGTCCGAGACATGTCCCATAGGTGCGGCTTCTCGCTGCAGAACCGGGGCGCAAACTTCCTCCTCACCGAGGGCCACCCGAACAGCGTCGAGCCGGGCAAGCGGCCGTACCACACCATCATCCCTGGCATGGCGACCGTTGGCCGCGAGCTCTTCGCCTCGTTCGGAGTGATGGGCGGCTTCATGCAGCCGCAGGGGCACGTGCAGGCGCGGCGCGTGCGGTGAGGCCGCGGCGGCTCAAGTCCCTGACTCCGCCCCCCTCCCCCCCCTCCCCCTCCCCCCCCCAACCCCTCGCAGGTGCTGCTCAACATGCTCCAGCACGGGATGGACCCTCAGGCCGCGTCATCTCTTTACTTGAGAGGGACTCAAGGAAGAACTAGTAATATAATATTGGATGGACCCTCAGGCCGCGCTCGACGCGCCGCGCTTGTGCGTGGAGGCCACGGGCGGGGCGGTCGGCCTGCAGGAGCCCGCCTCCCGCCACAGCTCGGGCGTCGTCCTTCTGCTCGAGGACGGCATCCCGGACGAGGTGGCCGAGGAGCTGCGCCGCAAGGGGCACGCCGTGCGCGGGCCGGTGTGCGGCGAGGGGCGGCTTGTCTTTGGCAAGGGGCAGGTCATCCAGCGGCGAGCCGTGCCCTCCCCGCCCGGCGCTGAGGGACCGCGCGCTGTCCTCTGGGCCGGATCGGACGGACGAGCGGACGGAGCGGCCTTGGGATGGTAATACGTCAGCCCACGCGCTCTCGCCCACACTCGCACTAGCCACTAGAGTGTCGAGATACAGATATTAGATTGAGAGCGAGAGTGGCGGGTCTGGCGTCTGTGACCCTCTCTCTCTCTCTCTCTCTCTCTCTCTCTCTCTCTCTCTCTCTCTCTCTCTCTCTCTCTCTCTCTCTCTGCCTCTTGCGCGCGGGGTTTTACGGTTCATGTAGTCTAGGTGGAGCTGTGGAAAATGTGTCCGACGCGAATCGCGCGCGAAAAACCATGACAGAGGAAACAAGGAATGTGCGCGCCGCGTGCGCGTCGGCACACCTTCTCGTTGTGACTCTCGCTGACGCTGTACATGCTTTCTCTCTCTAAACGCACCATAAATGAAACTTCGAAAACACACCGACGGCGGTTCGTAAACCGAGATCCCACAACATACGGCGAGAGGACAAAACACTCTCTCTCACCGAACCGAAATCACAGAAGTGAACCGCCTTCAACCACATTGCTGGCACATGCTGCAGGGGAGGAAGGGCGGTCACGGACAGACGAAAAGCGGCCATCCAGGGGCCTCTACTCTAACGAGAGCTCTTGTGGCGTTCTGCTTCCCAGTCTTGCAGAAGGCGCAAGAGTTCCAAGATCCACAGGAGCCAAAAGCCAACCATCGTTGCTAGACCAGCCGGTCGGAGAGCACTTGCAGCAGCCGGTCAGCTTGGGCGACTAGCCCTCCCTCTTGCGACAAGCCGAGCTGCGCGTTGGCGTCTTGAATCGTGGCGAGGAGCGCGACGCCTGCGCACGGGCGGGCAGACCACTCAGCAAGGAGGGAGTCGTGGCGGTGACGCGGCTTCTGGTCCGGCGAGGCGAGACGCGCGCCTGCCGGGAGCGAAAGCGCGGAGCGGATCGCCTCGACCTTGGTCGGCAGAGGCATCGCTGCGGCGCCGCCGGGCGCGGGGCTAGCGGGCGGCACAGCGGCGGGCGGCGATGTAGCAGGCGGAGACGAGGCGGGAGCCTGAGCCAGCGGCGGCGGCGCAACCGTGCCGCTCGACTCCATCCAAGCGGATCGGATCGACGCTGGAGGAGAGGCGGGCGTGACGCCGCCGAAGAAGGCGGAGCTGCCGAACGCGCTGGGCGGCAGAAGGACGGGCTCCGCTGGCTGGCTGCGAGGCGCTTCGGCTGCACACCCGTGGGGAGGAGGCTGCGGCTGTGCGGCCGCCTGCCGCGACGCTGCACGCTGCGCCGCGAGCCTCTCGAGCCGCTCCACGCGCTCGCCTGGCGCGCGGTCGGGCGAGATGAGGCGTCGTCTCTCGACCGGCCCTAGGCCGACTCTGGGCCCTCTCTCGGTCCTCTCTCGGCCATACACCGGCTGCATCTCGGCTGCATCTCGGCTGCATCTCGGCGGTCTCTCGGCTGCATCTCGGCTGCATCTCGGCTGCATCTCGGCTATATCTCGGCTATATCTCGGCTATATCTCGCCTAGCCCGGGTGCTGCGCCACCGCCCGCCTCGCCCTCCGGCATGAGGATCTGCTCGAGCGCCGCCACACGGCCCACTATGCCGCCCACCTAGCGGCCGACGGCAGGAGCGAGGGTGAGCCTCCTCCGAGGAGCGGTGCTGGCGGGGAAAGTGGCAGTGTCGTGGAGGGCGGCACAGCGAAATGGAAAAGTGGCGGTGGAGGAGACGGTGTAGTTTTTTTTGGGGGGGGGGAGGGGTTGGTGGTGGTGTGGTGGTGGTGGTGTGTGGGGGGGGGGGGGGGGAGGGAAGGCCCGCGGGTCAAAAGGAGGGTGGTTTGGAGGTGCTCGCGCCGTCCGGGCGAGAGGGGCTCGCAGCTGGGACGCGGCAAAGGACTCGACCGCACTCAGCCGTTCCGGGAGCGGCCCTGTGCCAGCCACAAACGCCGGCCCCACCCCTACCGCTGCGTCGACTGCGCCCCCGCAGCAGCCTCCGGCGCCGCCCGGCCACCCGCCGCCCGCTCCGCCTCCTCCGCCCTCGCGCGGCGCCGTCGGAGGCGGCGATGCGGCCCGCGCGCTGCTGCTGCCGCCGTGCGTACCCGCCGCCTCGCAAGCGCGCCCCGCGGCCTCGCCGCCGCCCCTGCGCACCAGCTGCAGCGCCACCGCCCCGGAGGCCGCCTTGAGGGCGGCGGTGGCGGCGTGGTGGCCCCAGAGCGCCTCGCCGTGAGAGCGAGGAGGAC